GCAGATTCATGCTGAAGCTGGGAATATTTTTCACTGCTCCTCTTGTTTCCTCCTGTTTCCTCCATCCTCGTCCCCATCATCCCACCTTCGTTTGTTGTAGCTACTTTCGTGACGGCAGACTGCCTTGCTAGCCTGCTGCTGCTTGCCGTCTTCGCTCACGCCAGCCTGTTGATCAGGTAGCAATCATATAGCTTTCTGAGAATGAAAGCAAGAATCTTTTGAGACATCCACGACCCCTACACCCGTTTGACTTTCCACAAAAGATTTCGCAGTTCTTCACAGGCGGATCTTCGCCGCCATGGATCACGAACAAGGCTACTCTCGAGGATACCAACTCGAGGATATCCCTCCCACAGCAGATGTGAGCATATAATCCAGTACATGAAATTCGAAATAATACGCTAACAACAATTCCCAGTACGACGCTACGCCAGTGAACGAACTTGACAACGCCCGACGGTACTCTTTGAGCGACAATGGCCCGGCTTACAACGACCGGCCAGCTCCACCCTCCATGTCGCCAACCTCAGCTTCATATTATTCCCAGGATCACCCAACACCAGTATCAGGAATGTACCACATGCCTCCCTCAGCGAGTACAGCAGTCCACAACAGCGAATTCGAGGGGTATGGAGGTTTCGGCGACGGCTACGGTTACAGCCGGCCTCACTCATCATCCCAAGAAAGCGACACGGACGATTCTTGGGCACGACGACAGCAAGAGCTCCCCTTGACTGCCGTCCAGAAACTCACAAATGGCACGTCGCTTCGCCGGCGCGAGACGCGCAAGATCAAGCTTGTCAAGGGGTCCGTCTTGAGCGTGGACTACCCAGTGCCCAGCGCCATCCGAAACTCTGTCCACCCGTCCTACCTCGACCCGGAGAGCGGCACCAGCGAAGAGTTCAGGACCATGCGCTACACGGCCGCTACTTGTGATCCCAACGACTTTACACTCGTCAACGGCTACGATCTGCGTCCGAGGATGTGTAACCGCCACACGGAGCTCCTCATCGCCATCACGTACTACAATGAGGACAAGGTCCTACTCGCCCGCACGTTGCACGGCGTCATGCAGAACATTCGAGACATTTGTAACATGCGCAATACGAGCTTTTGGAATAAAGGTGGACCGGCGTGGCAGAAGATCGTCGTCTGTCTGGTGTTTGACGGTATCGAAAAGGCCGACAAAAATGTCCTTGATGTGCTAGCGACGATTGGTGTGTACCAAGACGGCGTCGTCAAGCGCGCCGTCGACGACAAGGAGACGGTCGCTCATATCTTTGAATATACGACACAGCTGTCCGTCACACCCAACCAGCAGCTCATCCGACCCGTCCTCGACGACAAGGACAAGAACGCAAAGGACAACTTTCCTCCCGTGCAGATGATCTTCTGTCTCAAGCAGAAGAACAGCAAGAAGATCAATTCACACCGGTGGCTGTTCAACGCCTTTGGGCGCATTCTGAATCCTGAAGTGTCTATCTTGATCGATGCTGGCACGAAGCCGAGTAGGGGATCCCTATTGGCGCTCTGGGAAGCCTTCTACAATGACAAGAGCCTCGGCGGCGCGTGCGGCGAGATTCACGCCATGCTGGGTCGCGGCGGTCGCAAGTTACTGAACCCGCTCGTGGCGGTGCAGAACTTTGAGTACAAAATCTCAAATGTGCTCGATAAGCCCCTCGAGTCATCGTTTGGGTACGTGACGGTCCTCCCCGGCGCGTTTTCGGCCTACCGTTTCCGTGCCATCATGGGCAGACCACTAGAGCAGTATTTCCACGGCGACCATACGCTCTCCAAGATCCTCGGGAAGAAGGGCATCGATAACATGAATATCTTCAAGAAGAACATGTTCCTTGCCGAGGACCGTATCCTCTGCTTTGAGTTGGTGGCCAAGGCAGGGCAAAAGTGGCATCTCTCCTACGTTAAAGCTGCCAAGGGCGAGACAGACGTTCCAGAGGGCGCCGCTGAATTTATCGGCCAAAGGCGAAGGTGGATGAACGGGTCCTTTGCGGCGTCGCTGTACTCCTTGATGCATTTTGCGCGAATCTATCGCTCGGGGCATTCTGTCGTCCGGCTCCTCTTCCTGCACATCCAGATGGTGTACAATATCGTCCAGCTCTTGCTGAGTTGGTTCTCGTTGGCCTCCTACTACCTCACGACTGTCATCATCATGGATCTGGTGGGCACACCATCCATCGTCTCCGGTAATCACGGCTGGCCGTTTGGAGACACAGCCTCGCAGATCTTCAACATCATCGTGCGCTACGTCTACATCATCTTCCTCATTGTCCAGTTCGTCCTGGCGCTCGGCAATCGACCAAAAGGCGCTCGTTTCACGTACGTCGCCTCGTTCATGGTGTTCGGCTTCATCCAAGCGTATATCCTGGTCCTCGCCTTCTACCTAGTCTACAAGGCCCTTAGAGATCCGATAGGCGATTCTATCAACGTGTCCTCCGGCGCAGCATTCTTCAAGAGCATGTTTGGAGACACTGGTGTCGCAGGCGTCATTCTCCTCGCACTCATCACCATCTACGGCCTGAATTACGTCGCCTCGTTCATGTACCTCGACCCCTGGCACATGTTCCACTCCTTCCCGCAATATCTCGTCCTGGCCTCGACTTATATCAACATTCTGATGGTCTATGCCTTCAACAACTGGCACGATGTATCGTGGGGAACAAAGGGCTCCGACGACGCCGGCGCTTTGCCAGCAGCGCACGTCACGAAAGGAAAGGGTGGTCAGGCCGTCGTGGAAGAGGTTAAGAAGGACCAGCAAGACATTGACGACATGTTCAAGGAGACTGTCTACCGCGCCCTTGCCCCGTTCGAGGAGGAAGCCGCAGTGGAGAAGAAAGATGCGGAAGATTCATACAAGTCTTTCCGCACCGGGCTGGTGGTCGCTTGGATCCTTTCGAATCTGGTCTTGATTGTTTTCGTCACAAGCGATGACTTTCAGTTCCTTGGTGTTCAGGTCAGTATCATCCCAATAGCCACGCGTCAAAAGTTTTGAATACTGATAATCCCCTGCAGGAAGCCTCCATAAGCCGCACACCTCACTATTTCCGGGCGCTGCTGTATGTCACCGCTGTTCTTTCGATTGTTCGGTTCATTGGGTTCTCGTGGTATTTGGGAAAGACCGGTATTATGTGCTGCTTTGCGCGCCGCTGATGAGCAGCGCTGGGCGAACAAATGCACGCGGAGTTACTACAGGTTCATAGCGTTGGGCAACGGAATTAGTCGGGAATGGCTCTGGGTATTTATTTGGTAGATTTGGTGGTGATATTGTCTTTAGGCTGATTTAATCACTAATGTCTTACATTTAATTTGCGCGCTTTCTCGTCTACGCTGTGATATTTGGTGTTGGTGCACTTGCTACAGACAGGTGATGCTGTGTGTTTAGGACCACAAGGCTGTGTTTACATTACCCCCTTTCTCAGGGGATGCGGGGGCCAGAGTCTACCCTGAACGCTGCCGTCGGGTTCTGGAAATCAGCCCTCACGGGTGTAAATGTGATTCAATGCTTGCATTAAAGTGCCTATGAAGTTTTCATGTTAGTAAATTCCTGTTTACCTAATTGTTGAACTTATGAGCACTTTGTGGTGACTAGTTTGCGTCGCTCGCTCAAGTGTTCCTTTAACCAGCTTCAGTCCCCTGAAAACGGGGAGTTGACGCGGCTTAGAGAAGCCACAGACCAACAGCGACTTGAACCTCGGATACCTTATTATAACATCCTTCAAGCCCTTTTGTAAACCTTCATCTCTACTGCATTCAATACACATATTAAACTTCAAAAGCTGCATGTCGCGTCGTGAGGCGAACGCGTCCTGGTGGATAATCACGGTAGACTAGGGCCAACCCTTTCTAGATAGTTTCAACCACTCGACTTGCTATGCTTCGTAAGTGTGCATCAAATATGCAAGCCCTGGCACAAGCCACCTAAATATCATTCGGAGAATTCTGGCAGCGTTCTTCACCGGTTTTTGTGCGTAATTTCTCCTTGAATGCAACGCAGTTGTGGCCTCGGCTGGGGGCTGTGGATTCCCAACCACCATCTGCATTTCTCTGCAGGCGGCGCCCACCACGCGATGCGCGTCTGATGATTGCGAGTTGAAGCACACAGCGGCATTGCCCATTGAGCAGATTTCGTTAAAAGAAAAAAAAAATTGAGACAAAGACGAGCAAGATCCATAATCTTCAGCGAGAAGACCTAATATTAATATGTTTTAAGTGCTTGCAGCTCCCTTACGTCGAGAGGCATGAGGTCATTAAGGAGCTGCAGCTGCGCTACCGCTGTATGCTCCTTCCCTGTAAAAATCGCGATCAAACGCGCCCGTTTGGGGGCTTCAGGACACCCCGCCCCACATACCGCCTGTGAACAGCGCTGTAGAGGGCAGAACAAGCGCTGGAAAGCCCCCCAGCCAGAGCAACTTAACGCGCCGCGCACGCGGCGAGAATGTCCCACAGGCGCGTTGACTGGGCGTGTCACGATAGGACGCTCTTGCCCTCTTAAAATACCGCCCATCCCAATTGCTCACCACTGCAGGTCTCCTCTTCCTCGGCCACCTCTGACCTTTGGAAACGCTTCTTTTTCGAGACAGACCTCCCACGACGACCAGGTCTCCTCCTCCCAAGACCACCCTCCTTCGATACGAGCATCAATCGACTCGATTTGTTCCCGACGCATCGCCATACTACCTGCTATATCACGCCAGGAGCGTGTAAGTGGGAGCAGCCAACGCCCACGTGTATCACGTCTTGATATACCGCGAATACACGCGCCTTAACTCGATATAACGCACCAAAAGATTCTCAATCTTGATTTCGAGTGTATGGCAACAAGATTCTGACCTTTGATTGCGAAATAATCCTCGCCAATCTCCCTCGACTCTCCACACGCAATGGCCGACGACTCTCCCTGCCCCTCCCCAACACGGGGAGCGAATGCTTTCTTCGCGGAGCCTACGCTGCCTGCACCGCCAGCTATGTCTCCAGTTTCGAAAATGCCAATGGGCATCCTCTCGTCGTCTCCAATGGCCGGCCAGAAGCGTCCCGCCGCGTCTCTTCTGCCCGCGTTTGAACCGTTGTCTTCATCGCCAGGCCTCCCACGCCCTGCGAAACGCCAGAACATGGGAACTGGTGTACGCTCTCGCATGCAGCTTCCTACTCCCGTGCCTACTTCCAGCACTGGTATTCTGTCCAGCTCACCGCCTCGCAACCAGCAGAACCATGTCACGCGACCGCCGTTTGTTCGAACGTCGACCGGCACTGCGAAACGCGAACCTCTATCAGACTTGCCTACAGTGATGATACCCGAGAACGGCGAGTGGTTGACAATGGGCCGATCATCTAACTCGTCAACGTACCAGCTGTCTTCGCACCGCGTCGTTTCTCGCGTGCACATCAAGGCGCGTTATATCCCAGCATCGGGCTCCGAAACAGCCCGTATCGAGATTCACTGCGAAGGGTGGAACGGACTCAAACTCAACTGCCGCGGTCGCACAACAGAGTTGTTGAAGGGTGACAGTTACACAAGCGAGTATGAGGGATTCGACATTCTACTGGACGTGCAGCAAGAGGCGCGGGTCATGCTTCAGTGGCCAAAGCGGGAAGCAGCTCAGAGCGCACCGTCAGATGGTTCGAGCTGGGATGACTCGCCGCCACGCTCGCAGGCGCTCAACCGCGGCGTGAGCGAGTCCCCGTTGCGACGTACCATGCGCGTACACTCCCCCGCGAGCCCGACGCCACGACACCTGTCTAGCTCCCAGAGACTGCAAGCCTTGTTCCCTCAGCGAGATTCCTCTGCAGATGATGAGGACATCCAAATCTACGAGGACGAAGCAGAGGATGAGCTGCCTCCTGCCGGCGGACCCATGGATCTCAACGCCAGCATGCGCACCGAGGCCACCGTCAGCTTCTCTAGCGACCTCAGTGAGCCCGAGTCCGACGGCGAGAAGGACCCCGATGAGGAAAACGACCCTATTGTGCACTCATTTGGCCCCTTTGGAGCCAACATCTCTGGTCGATTCGCTGCCATCTCCGCCGTGTCTCCCGGAGTCAGGTCGCCCAAGGCTGTCAGATCTCCTGTGAAGGTGAATCGCTCGCCTGTCAGGTTCGGTAGCTCGTTCTCCGGTGGCATCATTCCCTTTGAGCCGCTGCTGAAGCCTGCAGAGGTCAAGCAGGAGGCTGTGCCAGAGCCCGTGAAGAAGCCAGTCTTGGCTCCTGTCGATCCCGTCATTTGCAACCACGTGGTCAACCAGCTCGCGTGGTCCCGCCTTTCGTCAACGCCTCTCTCCACGATCATGCGAAACCTACCCGCCGATTCTCAGGTCGGTCTGCAAAAGGAGGCCCTGCGCATGTCCATCGAGTCAATGCCTGCTATTGGCATCATTCCCCGCCAGGGCAAGGACGCGGCCGGCAAACCTCTCGAGAGCGAGTACTACTACTTGCCGGAGAAAGATGAGGACGAGGAGCGACGAGCCATGGTTGTCGATGGCCTGAGGAAGCCTAGCTTGCGAGCATGTCGGAAACAACACAAGGTATGTTTGCCCGCAAATGGCCTTTGCAAGTGAATCACGCTAACGTAACATGCAGCAATACTACTGGAAGCGTCCACGCACGCCGTAGTGGTGTCGAGTCTTTGTCTTTACAGAAGGACATGGAGAAGATCCAGGGGCGGAGATGCGAGATACCCTTTTACGTCGTTCTTGCGTACATATTTGAGTAATGGTTCTCCAGTGTAGGAGCATGGTTTAATGCATAGCACACCGGAGTCTTGGTTTTGTTTGCTGCTTGGCGGATCCCTTTGGAAGTATAAGAGATGAGCTTTGCGCGTTCTGTGATGGATTTGGCACGCTACAGGGGCGTTGGATGGCACGTGTCAGGACGAACGATACGTGTATCAAGTGAGCGAGTTGTCTGTAAGGAAGAGACCTGAAGAGACGTGGTACAATTCACGTCATAATCTTCGCTGCTAGAACGTTTGCCCAACGAATGTACATTTCGGACCTGTGTCTGATGCTATGCTCATGGCAGATTTTCTGTCGCTCCACGCAACTTGGGGCTAGAGTCGAGGTGGCGATGGCCAGCGCCCATTCATCATATCGTCATGTCCGTCCCGCCACCGGCTACAAACCCCTCTCAACGTCCTACGTAGTACATCACCTCATCGCCTCACTCACCTAAACTCCCATCAGCTCACGAAAACTACAACAACCACTCGGCACAGCACACTATCCAGACGTGTAGATTTGCCATCATGAGCACATTCAATGCCTCCAACCCTCCCACCACGGACCCGCAGTCCTCCACGCAAACTGCCTCCCACGCGATCCCCTCGCACCCCGCACCCGTCGACGCGGCAGCCACATCGTCTGGCGTAGCCGCCGACAGCACCACCCCTGCGGAGACCGAGACCAAGCACGCGTCCACTGGCCTCACGGGCAGCGATCACCCCGCAGGCGGCGACGAGAGCAAGGCTACGCGGGAGGCCATGGAGCGGACAAACTCCTGGAAGCCGAGCTTGGACCGCAAGCAGAGCTGGAAGAAGGAAGACCAGAAACGGGCATTGCAGATGACGGGTATGCAAGATGCGGACAAATAGGGTGTCATTGAGTTCAAGCAACTTGTCACATAGTGAATGGAAAAAACAGATTCAAAGTGAGAATGGTCATTGGTATCCGATATGCAAGCAAGCCCCTAACACCGATGCCTCCCAAAAGAAATGAAAATAGCAAAGAGTTGTGCAGTCGGCCGTAGCAATGAAACGATCTCTGATCCCTCCCCAGTGAATGGCAAACCTTGTTCAATGGATGTATATACCCCTTCCTTCCTCACTTTGTGCCGCGCGTATCGGGAGCAACGCCTGGTCTGGGTGGTGCTCCTCTAGAGGCGAAGTACTCCCCTACGACCCCAAGAGCGCAAGCTGTGCCGCCAGCCCATGCCGTGCCAATCACCAGATTCCTCGCCAATGTATTCTTCTTGTTCTTCTTGGACACCTGATCAGATGTCCTGACGTCGTTAGAACCCGTCTCTTCCCTGTGGTCGTCAGCAAGGGAGCGGAAGGGTGGCGCCGGCTTGTGGACCTTCTCCTCTGCAATGGAATCGTAGTTAACGAAGCCAGTAGGGCTGGCAAAGTTGCCTGTGACGGGTTGCCCCATCAGGTCGATGGGGTTGATCTTTGGGCCGGGATTTGTATCTTCAGCAGCGGTTGCAGCGCCAGTCCTGGCCTCACGGACCCTTCGAAAGACCAACGTGTTGTCTGATCCTGAAAGCAGTTCGTACCCCTGGTCTTCTAGTGTGGCAAAGTAGGACATGAATCGGGCTGGATTGGAGAGACGCGGGATGATATCTCCAGGTGTCTGCGGGCGACTTGTGTCTTCGACAGCCGATGTCGTCTCCACCATACGGACCGAATCGTTCTGCTGGTCGTATGCCAAAATCTTGTAGTGCCAGAGCTGTGGTGCGCTGTGAGGTGTCGTGACGGATGCTGCAGAATCATGGCTTCCGTAGTGCTTAGCTATGGGGGACATGGTAGCAGCCCCGACCTCGTTGCGATAGCTCGTTTCGAGACCTTGGGCAACCTTAGAGTAAGGATCTTGTTGAGTCCAACTGGCCTCGGGCAACGACCTCCTGCGTGCATGGCGGTCGAGCGCAGGCTCCAAACGAGCCTGCTCAGTCGGGAAGCTCTCGTCCATAGAACAAGCTTCCGCCTCGCCAGGGAAAGCATCTTCCTTGCCTTCGCCTTCGCAAGTCTTGTTGCTTGGGAACAAGGCGCTCTTGGAGCTCGAGTTGTGCGTGCTCCAGGATGTCGTGAACTCCTCGGGAAAGTCGCGAACGTAGTTCCCAGTCAGTTTTGTCGCAGGGACGTCGCCTTCCTTCTGCTTCTGACTGCTTTCGTGCGCCCTACGCAGAACATTGGCGCGGATTTCCTCGGCAGACAACGACTCTAGCTCAGAATTTGGCGTGGGCATCGAATAGTCTTCGGGTTGACGGCGGGCAGATTCGTCATGGTGCTGGGTCGGGCTACCGGACCGACCATTGTGCGCCTGCTCAGATCCGTCGGCTACGAAGCCGTACATAGAAAGGTCATCGTACGCTTTTGAAGCTTCTTCAGGATGTGTTCTCGAAGACGTTTCGGGAATCTCCCTTGCAGAATACTTGGCCAGGTCCGAATAAAACTTGGACTCCTCCTCTGCAGTGAGCTTCTGAAGACCGTCCGGCTCGTTCCACCGGACTGGGCCATAGGAACCTAAATCCTGATATTCTTTGGACGCCTCTTCAGGATGCAGACGGGGAGAACGACACTCTGTACCGTCATACGTCTTGGGCGCGTAATCACGCAGATCCTTGTACTGCCGTGTCGCCTCCTCAGAAGTGGGTTGAGGTAATCCATCAGGCTCGTTCCATCGTACAGCCTCGTAAGAACTCAAGTCATCATACTTCTTCGACTCTTCCTCGGGCGTCAACTTGCGCAAACCATCAGGCTCATTCCAATAGACAGGCTTGTAGGCATCCAAGTCTTTGTATTCCGTCGCAGGATCTTCCGATGTCACTTCGATCTTGGGCGGAAGAGCGTTGCCTTTAATATTCGTGGCGTTCTGCGCGGCTTCGTATTCGGTAAGAATCGGATTGTCGACTGTGCGAGGGCCGTCGTATGTAGCGAGATCTTTGTACTTTCGCGACTCTTCCTCGGGGGTGAGCTGGCGTAAACCATCCGGCTCATTCCAGTTGTTAGCACCGTAACTGCCGAGATCCTCGTAGTCCTTTGAACGCTCTTCCGCAGTAGGCTTCGACAGACCATCCGGCTCGTTCCATTTGACGGCACCGTACTGGTCAAGATCATCGTACTGTTTTGTGATCTCCTCCGGTGTGGCTTCTTGCACGCGGTCCGACTCGCTCCATTGCATAGACCCATACTTGTCGAGGTCTGGATAAGCCTTGCTTATTTCCTCTGGAGATTTTCTCGGCAGTGTTTCTGTTTCATTCCATCGAGTTTGCTCGTAACGGCCCAAGTCTTGGTATTCCTTGGACTTCTCCTCAGTGCTCTTGGTTGGTAGGCCATCCGGCTCATTCCACCTCGCCGCACTGTAGCGTTGGGTGTCCTCGCATTCCGCAGCAGTTGCTTGTAGATTCGGTTGCTGATCAACGTCGTCGAATTTGGGTGTGAATGATGCTTTCGAAGGTTTGCTGTTCCTCGCTGGTACACGGCGATTCGTAATCGGATCAATCTTCGTGTTGTTGTCGTCGAACGAAGTAGTGGCATCCGGCGTACGGTCAGCAGTTGATTCTTTGGGCGATCGATTCGTAGACAAGTAATTGCGGATGCTTTTCAATGGCGTCTTCCACGGCTCGGAATCATGTTTTCTTTGTTCCGCGGAGACCTGATCCCAATCATTGCGTGGCTTGCCCTGAGCTTTGCTGGCGCAACGAAACGGTGTCTCAATCCACGAAGCTATAACTTGTTCGACGTCAGGCTTTCTACCCTTGTGGCTGCCCTTATTGTTGGAGAGGTTGACGCTTTCCTTGCAATCGCCGGTCTTTGGGTGGTCCTCCCAGAGCCTGCGATGGAGTGACTCCATGTATCGATAGCGCATCTCACGATTTTGTTTTCGGGCTTCGCGGAAAGCTTCACGGCTCTCTTCCCAGTCGCCATTGCGGGATCCCCAAGGCCCAAAGCGAAACTCGCGCTTCTGTCGACATACCTCGCACAGTGAGACACTGGCACGTCGGGTCTGGATGGCCCTTGAGGCCATCGCTCTGCGCGAAGCAGAGGACATCATCGTGTTGTGAGAGTGTGCACGACGATAGGGCGATGACGCAATAACAGAAGGACTGTGCCTTGCGAGGTCAGCTTGCCGTTGTGAATACGTAGTAGCTTGCGGCAGAGGGCTCGCAATCGCGCAGTCTAAACAATAGCCAGACGCCCTCCTAGGTCTTGAGAGAGCTTTCTCTCAGCTCAAGTGAGAGCTACTGGCCGGAACAGACGGATAAAGTGGTTGTTACCTCTATCACACGCCCAAGTCGTCTTCACGATCAATGAGGGGCGCGGTCTGCCGGGATTCAAGAGCGGCTAGTGCTATGGAGCAGTAATCGCGCCTGACGCTCGTGTAGAGTCTTTGGTATCAGGAAGCATCGAGAAGCGCAATAATTGGAGATTATTCGAACGAGGAGAGGAAGAAACAAGCTTTGGAGAGTTGTCAAGTAGGTAAGTGAGCATCATGGCGGCCTCGTCGACGAGGACGAAGACCCTCGGATCAGCTGGACAAGACTGCGGGGAGTGGACCCACAGACAGCAAGGCCAAAGCCAATTGGCAGCTTGACATTTTTGGACTAGCACCTGGACCCCTTCCGCTTAGGGGATGTGTCTCCACTATTGCGACACTAAAGCTTCCAGTGCTCCACTGGAGACCTGGAGTTGTAAGTACAAATACGCCCCATGGCCATTATCCGCTGGACCTCACAATAACATCCGTCTTCTTCCGGCGGTTAGTGAAACAGTTCGGGAACAACTGACAGCACGTTGCATCATGACCTTACTCATCATTTACCTACATGTAACCAAGCCGCCTACGGCATCCCTAGGTGATCACATGGAAGGAGCGATACCGTGACGGCGTGACCGCAGTCTCTGCGACCGATGGGTCAAGGCTGACAAGCTCACAGGCTCACAGCCAGGTTGACCATGGACACACACAATAAGAAATCCCTTATAAGTTCAGTGGCCATGAAAAGCTCATCTTTTATACGGCGCGTTCGCACTACGGGATGTCTCCACCAAAAGTCAAACCACAAAGTTCACATAGAGGGCCTGACGCATCATGGAAACACTTTTTAGAGCATGGAGCTACTTGTCGAACCTTGAGTGGACGGAAAGAGCCCAGTCCGACTGCAAATTCTGTGACCACAGCAAATTAAAACCAATCTACCAGGTATGTAGTCTCTTTTGGCGCCGACCCGAGGACCCTGAACACTGACAAAGAGAAGGACAATCTCGTCATTGCTTTCGAGAACATCAGGCTGGGTGGACGGCATCACTGGCTCATCACCCCCCTCCAACACATCCGCGACATCGAGGTTCTGGGTACAAAGGACCTGCCATTGTGTCAGTGGCTACTTGTGACGCGATTCGACAGAGCTGTACTTACTGGTTCCTTCAGTGCTTCACATCGACAAGGTGAAAAAACTGCTCCTAGACCGGCATTGTCCCGACCATAAGAATTGGACGATTCATTCGGGTTACCATCGCGGCAGGAGACCGATATCCCTCCTGAATGGGTTCTATTGGCCGGATATCATCTCCATTCATCACCTTCACCTTCATGTCATCGTGGAGCCCTTCTGGACACTTTGGCTGTTCAAATACCCAACCTGGCTGCCATTTATGTGGAAGTCGGATAGACAGGTTGTCCAGCAAGTTGAGAGGGCGAAGCTGAAAGGGGACTGAGGCTCGCGTTAGGTGCAGATGAGGTGGCTATAGCGCAACCCTAAGTATTGGTCACCGGAATCATGGCTTACACAGTTTCACCAGTCACTTCATGGCAAGCGACAGGATGAGGAAGTACTGAAGTATCTCGCCGTCCCACTCGGAGTAGACTTGAACGCCAACCAATATTGATGGTGGTAGATGCGTGATTCCGAGTACCGGGGATAACATGGATGTAAATGTACGTTAATCCGTGCACAAAATGGTCAGTGGTGTGACGAAGATGTGACAGCTTCAGGGGCGTCTTCTGATTGTCGGAGCCTGACCTGATCACAATGGAAATAGTCTTGACGCGTGAGAACGACCAACTGACCATCACTCCAATAGGCTATTCTTCACGAGTAGCTCTTACGATGTGTCGACTCTCATGAGCAAGCGTTTTACACACCTATTCCTCGCTGACAGTTTGCATAACCACTGTTCGTCACCTCGATTTGGGCGAGAAGATTGACATAGCACGAAGATTTTGTGGTTCTGTCTTGGTTTGCCTCTGGGCAAGATAAATAGAGGTGCTCGGCAATGCCCCTTATGTATGTGTACATAGAGTACAGCTATCATGCTGGCAAGGTTGGCTTGGGCCGGGGTCAGGCTCGGCTTCGTGCAGTGAATCACATTGTCACACTTATGCCATGCTCTACAGTGTTACACTGCGTATAGAAGGCTGGCGGCCCCCAAATTGCATAGACGACCAACCAACAAACTAAGCTCAATGGGACGTCAAAAAGGAGGCGATGTCCACAAGAAAGATCGTGTTTCTTCCAAGTTCTCCAGTCTATCTTGCTTTCGTTGCCAAGTTTTTTTGAACAAATTACACTCCTTATTCATCAGAAGGCACCAAGCACCATGCTTTGTCTTTCGTCCACTCTTTTGAAAGGTGCCGCTCTCGGCTTCCTGTTGTCTCTGCACCCCGGCGTACTGAGTCGATCAATCCCCGATCTGTGTCCCCCTTCCTGCTACGACGTCGAGGCCAGTCGTGCTGAGCACCACCGCCTTCAGGACTTCAGCTTGGAACACTGCGCTCTGGAGAGTCGCCTTGACTTCAAGATTCACAAGGACAGGTCTATCGAGAAGGCAGTGTGCTCCGGAAAAAAGGCAAAATCCGTCCAGCGAAGGAGTTCGGAAGTACATGCTCAGGCTGAGCAATTCATCGATCTCCAAGTTATCAAGCAGTATGATGGCATTCCTATCGTTCGGGCCGACTTTGCCGACCTTGTCAACTTCATAATATCTTATCCTGGATGGCTGACCGGCGTCGATGACACGTTGCCATATTGGTCCTCGATAGAGGTGGTTCCCGGCAATCTCACCCTTGGATTTTATATTGGCCGAGACATCGATCCCCAGAGTCTCTTCGAGGCCACGCAGCAGTGGGGCACTATGCTTCCAGGAGGCTCATCCACTTTCGCGGCGCAGCGATGTGGTGGAAGTCTGACTGGTCGTCAGACTATTGGCTTCGTAGCTGATGGTACCGGGAACGTCACTAAAGTCCAGGAAATCACGAGCCTGTGGAACGACGGCAGATGCGTTCAGAAGTTTGCAAAGGAAGAAGTGTGGAGCGACGTTTCGATCGTTGTTCGTGAGTCGTAAGACTCATGACTGGGCGAACCATGAGATCCTCCTGTTGTGGTGTGGCCCCGTCAGCACTAAGGGCCCATTGTCTCCGTGCTCCATATCAACAAGCACTCTTGATTCAATTCGGTTTATGTCTTAGCAATGGAAGTTATCATCGTCTTATTCACCTTTGTTGTGAATCATCCACTTTCCACTTCACATGAAACAGGCCCTCGGTGTGAGTCAGACGGGGGACTAAAGAAGGGATCTGCCTTTCTGAGCCAGCGCGCAAGATAGCGAGTGTAGGTTTTGGATATTGACAGATGCAGAAGAGAAGTTAAGAAAGAAACGAAATCTGTCCAGTCTGGACTCTGTCCACGTCTTGAGAAGGCGATTCTCACTCACACCTTACTCATGGTGAGGGAGCGAAGATGAGTGAGGACCCCACCTTACCCTAGACTACTAGTAGATTTTAGGGTCCAGGTTTTGCGTGACATCACTGAATCTTTGACAGCATCATCCCACCAACGATTACCAACCCCACGTCTATGCCGACCGCAGCTTGAACAATCTGACGAGCACTTTGAAACCCTGGCCAATAACGCAACATTGCGCCCGAGCTACGACCTGCTGCCTGAGTGAATGGGCACAGGTGTCACGATTGCGCAAAGGCGCCAGCAACACCCCACCTGGCAGTGGTACACACGATGAAGACAGCCAAAGGCAAAGGCAAGGGCAAGCCCATATCCCGCTCGACGAGCGGGTTCGGGAGCGCCAACGCAGCTGGATTTGGCGGCTTTGGCGACTCTGCCAGCGGAAGCTCCTTGTCGTACCTGGCGGAACCGCCTTCATTCAGCAATGTCACCGACCCTCACGTGGTGGTCTCGCTGAAGAATGTCCTCAAGAAGGATAGCACGACAAAGGCCAAGGCCCTCGAGGAACTGCTGGCCTATGTTCGGGATCATCCGTTTGAAAAGGATGGCGGTGTCGAAGAGGCGGTTCTGGATGTTTGGGTCCAGATGTACCCTCGGACGTCCATCGACAACGCCCGACGAGTTCGCGAGCTGTCGCACAACTTGCAATTCGAGCTGATGAAGTCGGCTCGCAAACGCATGGAACGGCACATTCCTACCATCGTCGGCGCATGGCTCGCAGGGCTCTATGATCGAGATCGCGCCGTGGCGCGTGCGGCGAACGATGGGCTGGCTTCTTTCCTCAACACGCCTGAAAAGGTATTGGGCTTGTGGAAGAAATGCCAAAGCCAGATACTCGATTACGCGATCGAAGCCGTTCAAGAGACTCAAGATACTCTCAGTGACGAGCGATCCACCACGAAAGAGGATGCCGAGGCCAAATACTACCGGGTCATCACGGCAAGCCTATCATTGGTGCTCGGCCTTTTGCAAAAGTTGAGCGACGATGATATCGCTAAAGCCCAAGCCCAATACGACAGTTTCTTTGAACAAGACGCTGTTTGGAAGGCTTTAACTTACAATGACTCCTCGGTGAGGAAAACCGTGTGTCATTTGGTATTTACTTGTCTCGACCGCAAGCTACCGTGCGCCGAGGAAACCAAAGTCAGACAAGCTATCGTCACTGGTGGTCTCAGAACGGATCAATCTGGATCAGCTCTAGAGTATGTTCGGGCCCTGACGAAGTTGACACAATCACAACCAGACATATGGACATCAGGGACGGAGAAAAAATCTCCTCTTGCGCGCTTGCAGATGTTCATCGCCAAAGGATCACAAGGCAGTCCCCCAAAGTTCTGGGAGTACCTGGATCAGCTCCTCGCCCTGATACCACTAGAAGCCACATCACTTGACCTTGCTAATGGGATCCTGACATCGCTCAAATCTGGGGTCACCCACCGTGATGAACCAAGGACAAACACATCATACGCATGGAAGTGCTACATCGACGCCGCGCGACGCCTACTTCAGAGTCTGGCTCCCACCGAGCAGCACTCTTTTGGACAAGCTCATCTATTTCCCCTTTTTGAGCAATTCATCCTCTCCGTCTCAGAGAAGCAGACGGCTATACCTCTTGGGCCCAATGCCATGGCTATCTTTGTTGATGCGTACATGGCAATTGCATCGTCAGAGGAGCCGTTGAGACTGGCTTTTGAAGACGAATGGAAGCGTGTTGCGTCCATTCTCTGTGCAAACATATCTGCATCTCTACCAGAGGTCTCCAAGGAGTATCAGGCGTCCCAGGAGAAGATCAGCGAGGAAGGCCGCCGTTGGTTCGGACTTGTCGGACAGATTATGGCAAAGATGGACAAAATGAGTGCCTCGATCCCCGATTACACAACCCAGCCGTCATCGGACATAATCGACCAAAGTCTCTCCCTCCTTCAAACCCGCAACCTGAAGCCGTACGGTGCAGCTCGGATATTGGAGTACGCTTTGAGCACCTCCCAACACCTTTTCAAAGGAGACAGGTGGAATGCCATTGCTGATTTCTTGATGGCTGTGGCCGTGAACGACATGAAGAAAGCTGCCACTTCGTCGTCAGCACCGTACCTGCTTTCTTGCGTTCAGTTGCTTGGTGCTGTGTCCGAACGAGATAGTGACTTCAGTGCTCTGTGGGCCACCTGGGCTGAAGGGGCTGCTAAGCTACAGCCGGGAGAGACACAGGACTCTACGCTGACTTCTCTCGTTTCCAACGACAAGGGGTCAAGGCTTGCCCAGCAACATACCGAGCTGCAGCGCATTATATCGCAACGGTCTTTGGCAACGGTATCCGGCACTGCCGATGCTTGGGGACTCCTTGATGGTGCTGTCACGTACCAGGCTCTTGAAGATGGAGTCTACACAAAGCTAGCACAAGATCTACTGGACCTCTTCAACCGAGAGCCGGAATCGTCTAGCAACAGCTTGAGGGCTGTGGAAATCTTGGTCAAGGGTCGACCAGCGCTTTTCTCCGCGAACGATGAGTTGAAGACAGCACTACTTGCCCGACTACTTAGTCTCTCCGAGATTGGCGACACAACTCTATCCACGCAAACACAGTCTATTCGGGCTCTGCTGGACAGCCAGTCGGAGGGAAAACTTCCAATTGTCGGTATCATCCAATCCAACCTGGACCGCGCTGGGCCACAGTCCCTCGGAATTGCGACCGTTCTCAGCCAAGCTGAGGGGTCTTCAGGGGTTCCTCCGGAAGATGTCCTTCCCAACGTCAAAGTCTGGGCTCAGGAGCTTGAACCATTCCTTGAACAGCCGATTGACTCCTCGTTGTCGATCACAAGCAACATTAGTGGGGCCGCTGCACTCATCAAGCCATCCACCAGGAGTGTTCCACGCGTTCAAAGAGATCGCAAAGGCCGCTCGATTCCTGCTCGCATGGCTCTCTTCCTCGACCAAGCTCTGAGAAGCCGACTTGACTTTGCAGCGTTACCGGTCGACACCCAGGCTGAGCTCCTGTGTCTCCATGGTCTCACTACTCAACTAGTTTCGGATCAGATCACCCTTGGAAGCAAAGGTGGCATTTGGCTATCACTGCACCATGGGCAATCTGCCAGTGAGGCCGAGAACCTTGTGTCGTCGTCGAAGAACTTCATCAACACTCTCGCTGCATCAAGCGATACATCGGAAACGCTATCGCTGCTGATTGATACGCTCATTGTGAGGTCACAGGAGCTATCGTCACGAGGAGTATACAGCGCGAGAGCCTTAGCGGAACTGATCGCCGCGAGAATCGAGGTGCAAGGACTGACTCCGGATTTGGAAGAGAAGTTGATGAAAACTGAATACCTCAAGGCAACACCAGAGACTTCTCTACTGGCAGCGGCTATTGTCGTTGGTGCGGGCGGCTCTGGGCAAATCTCTAAGCCAATCAGCAACTTCTGTAACCATCTCGTTAGTGACGCTGCCGGTGCCTCTGTCGAAGGCGAGAAGGTTGGTAAGACACACGCAGTCTTGGCGCTGCTGTCTCTCTGTGGGCAGACTTACGAGACTGGTGAGATGCCCGTCGCCAACAACCGAATCGTCTTCGCAACTAGGCAAATTACATCGTGGTTGGACGAGCCCGAGAAGCTGGAGCCTTCCCTGTCAGCAGAGCTTTGTCGATCTTTGACACAGCTACTTCCCTGCATGAAGGATGTCTATGGACAGTATTGGGAGAAGGCGTTAGGATTTTGCACCTACTTGTGGCAACAAGCGGGAGGATCGAGATTTGGCGAAATGCTATCGGCGACGCATGCCTCACTTCGATTATACAAGACGCTGTCATCCATTGCCGAGCCTAATGAAGACTTGCAGGACGCGTTGAAAGAGTTTAGCGATGCGAAAGCCAAAGCCCTGCTCGAGTTGCTTCGGGCGCCACGCTTCGAATCCTCGCAGCCAGTGGGCGTCGTGGACGGCATCATCTGCCGCGAGGTGGAAAAGCTACCCATGAGGCATATCCCTGATGTCGCGGACATTTTCCCTCTCGTTGCCTCGGAATCCCGAGATATTCAGACAGCGGCGTTCAACCTTCTCCACAAGGCTATTTCTGCACAGCAAGAGCAAAAGTCTGTGGACATTTTGCTCGATAACACTGGTTCGTGGTTCTTTGATCCGTCCCGAATACAAGCTAACCTCACCAGATGCACGGTTGCCTGACGAGCTGTTGTCTCTCCTGCTCGACGCGCCCACGCTCGAACAGTATCCCGACGAGATCTTGGCCCAATTCCCCACATCGATTCGTTGTTACTTACTGGCCTGGAAGTTGGTATTTGACGCCTATTCGACATCGTCCTTCAAAGTTCGGAACGACTTCACGGAACAGCTCAGAGCGGAGAAATGTGCTAACCCTCTGCTCGACTTCATGTTCGACGTGCTCGGCCACTCGGCCGCCCACCCACTCAACTTGCCCAAGGCTAGCCTGGGTCCCGAGCAAATCAAGGACTTTGACATCAAACTCGCCGATGCGGAAGCTGAGGAGAAAGGCATGCAGTGGTTACTGGTGCACCTGTTTTACCTTGCACTCAAGTACACCCCAGGCTTGTTCCGCACCTGGTACATTGACTGCCGCTCAAAGCAGACCAGAATCGCGGTGGAGGGCTGGACCACCAAGTTCTTCTCGCCTCTCATCATTGATGATGCGCTGGATGACGTGCAGACGTGGGCCGACTCCCAAGAAGCCCCATCCATGGACGAGAAGGAACTCAATGTCAAGGTGTCCCGCCCAGCTCGCGAGGTCACAGCGGGCTACGAGATTGACGAAGACGAAGCCGCCATTGCTATCAAGATCCCTTCGAGCTATCCCATTGACGGTGTCGCCGTAGAGGGGCTACGCCGAGTGGCTGTCGACGACAAGAAATGGCAGAGCTGGGTCAGAACCACACGCGGTGTCATCACGTTCTCCAACGGCAACATCATTGATGGCCTGCAGGTCTTCCGTCGCAACATTGTCGGCGCCCTCAAGGGCCAGGGCGAATGTGCGATCTGTTACAGTATCATCTCGTCGGACAAAAAGACGCCGGACAAGCGATGCACCACGTGTAAGAACCTGTTCCACAGGGTTTGCTTGTATAAGTGGTTTAGCACCAGCAACCAGAACACGTGCCCTCTGTGCAGAAACCCCATCGACTATCTGGGAGCGGACACGCAAAAGAGGCGTCAAGGGTGAAAGGCGATTGTATAGAAAAAAGTTAGATAGAGGGGCTACGAATGCTCTCGGAAACAACCGAAGCTGAGTGCCTGCAAATATTAGGATTTTCGTTTTCGCAAGGGCACCGCTAGAAACCAACCTGATCAGCAGTAGCTCGTTTCCCGTCATATCTCACAAGCGCGGCCACTAGTTCTGTCCATTCCTCAGCAACGTCCGGAAGTATCTCCTGCCATGTCTTTCCTGGAAAGACAGTCCACATTTCAAAGGGTGTTACTTTGAACTCCTTGGCCTCAGGCCAGGTATCCACTGTCGGCGTGCCCAGGGTTTTGAAAATGCTTAGGATTAGGCCGAGTTGATTGCCATCCTCATGCGCAGGCCTCGATTCGAAAATGGGCATCGGCGGGTTGGTGATGGCTTCGGATATCACGACGCCAAGAGACCACATGTCTACTGCCGTCGAGTACGCCGTGTTCCCAAAGAGAACTTCTGGTGCTCGATAAGGCCCTGTACCGATGTCGAGAATCTTGCCACTGGGTGGCTCGTCTCTGGCGCGATGGTCTGGTGACCATGCTGTTCCAAAATCTGAAATGTACGCGGGTCCTGAAGGTGACGCTAGCAGAATCGCAGAGGGCTTGATGTCGCGGTGGATGATGCCTCTAGAGTGGATTTCCCTTAGCCCGGACAAGACATCTTTGAAGATCCTGTTCTGCTGCCCGTCATCGAGAGGACCCTTCTCGAGTAGGTGTCCCAGCGTAAAGGGCAGATAAGGGAATTCGAGAACAAGGCGCTGCTCTTGATCACGGAATGTCGCTTCCAGCTGAATGATAGAGGGCCGTCCTTTGAGTGCCTCGAGTATGAGAGCCTCGCGTTGAGGGTCATGTGGTGGTGTATGGAACGTGATGACCTTCAGAGCCGTGCTTCTCGACGTCCGGTAGACTTCAGATGTCACACCTTCGGCAATGGGGCGACAATCGTCGTATGGGCCTATCGTGAAGCCATCTGTCCATGCTCCAGGTTGTGGCGGCTCATTCGGTGTAAAGGGGGGTGAGTCGGGGCAGGCTGCAGTTGGCACAAGACATGCTGATAGGTATTGTTCCTGAGGACACGTGCATTAGTCGAGGTGCGTGGGCCTGAATGGATTACATACTTTTGACGTGCTCTCGTTGTAAGCGGCGACTTCAAGTGGCAGCGCCTCGTTCATTGGAATGCCTCTCTGTGCCTGGCTGAAGTAGTCAGTAACCGTTCGAACTGGACTCGATGTTGAGGAAAACGACAGTATGGCTCACATTCTTTGTATGGTTTCATAACGTTCCGATGCCGACAACGTCGACTTCCAGTCCGACATGGTGTGCCCAGTACTGCTCTCAAAGGCAGTGTATATAACTGATGCTGCTGAGCACACCCGGTACACGGAGAGCAGAGTGTGGTGAGTGTCTAGCAATGTGAGTGCGAGACCCGGCTTTGAGGGATCGCGACCTGCCGTATCCCGTTTAGGTTAGGTCAAATCCGGTCTTGGTACGAACATGGAAGTACGTACCGTGCCCAGCCAGACATCCAACAATGGCAATGTTCCGATTTCAGAGGGCAAATGCGAAAGACGCAGACAGAACGTCATTATTAGGATTTCGAAACATTACCATTCTCATAAACGAAAAGCAGCTAACGTCGAGTCAATTACATGCTAGCACGGCTGGCCAGTGTCGGCAGACGGCGGAAGCTGCGGGCTCCAGCCACATTAGGCGGACTAATATGGGGACTTGAGCTTCGCTGCCCAATCAAGCGATGCGCCTTACCTCATCCATATCCAACGGAGCAACCGTCCAACCCAAAGGGCAGGAGCTCCATCCATCCAGCCAGCCTCCGGCTTCGTCATTTCACGGCTGGTAGCCGTGTCCCATCACCGTCGCCCTCACGCCACGCCGCTCCAACGTCTTCGTTCCCGGTGACAAAGGCAATTATTGACCTTTCGATTCCGTATTTGGCCTACAGAGACGCAGCTAAGGGACTTCTGCTTCCTTGACGATATTCTACTTGCCCTGGGCACAAATCATCGCCATGCGCATGTGCCTCATTTCGCTCGCCCAGAAACGCACATAGAACTTGCAGTTTACGACAGCCAAACTGTACCGACCCACGCGTCCCCGCGAATACCACCGGCAAGATGGAAGATACAGCGAGGAGCGAATACCCGGGCATGCTTGTAAGCTTCGCTACGCTTTCCAATGATCTACAGCGGCTGACACCCAACGCGACAGAGCTCGCTCCAGCCGAACCAAGCCGTCCAAGTGCTCAACGACCGAGTGAAGCGGATCAGCAAGATCAACACCGAAATCGCCGACTGGCTCCAAGTATGGCTCTCTTGTTCCTCTACCGCATTGGCCGCCTCTCAGCATGCATTCGCAATGCTCGGTGTTTGGGTGCGCTGTGTGAACAAGGACTAACGGGTTAATTCCAGGAGCGCCGTCGAGTCGAGGAACAATACATCTTGGGGCTTCGCCGCTTGGGTCAGTCCAAGCTACCGGGACCTTCATCTGAGCTTGGGTTCGTAGCTTCACTACAAAGTACCTCGGGCTCGCCGCTAACAACACCAGTATCTTCAACGGGCCCTGGCAAGCAATGGTGGACGCAGTCGGTACTCTTGCCCACTCGCACCAGCAGCTTTCCGATCGCATTGAACAAGATGTGGAATTACCGTTGCGCAACTTCAGTCAGCGCAGCAGCTTTGGCGAAATGACGACAATGTCCTCCAATTTGACATCGATAGCCAAGTCACTCGATGAGGCTCAGGCGGCTACAGAGAAGCTGGGCAGGAAGGGCGGCAAAGCCAGCACACAGAAAATCGATGCTGCCACATCGAAGCTTGAATCAGCACGCCAGCAGTGGGAATCCCAGGCACCGTACATCTTCGAATCGCTTCAAGCGCTCGACGAGTCCAGAATCAACCAGCTTCGCGATGTCTTGACACAGTACCAGACGCTCGAGTCGGACTGCGCTCAGCGCGCCCAAGATACGTCGGTCGCCACGCTTTCGCAAGTGATCGAAATCGCTACCGAAACAGAAATCTTGGCCTTTGTCAACAAGATGACGCACGGCAGGACGCCGCGAGCGCCTCCAACGCGCGCGTCAACAACCGCTTCCATTTCTACAGAGAACCAGCAAGGACGCCCGAGCACTGCGTACAGCGCCAATGCCCCCCAACCTTCAGCGCCTTCCGAGCAAACCCCCGTGGAGACGCCTTCAGAACCGGAGACCCCTGCGACAGTGGAACCAAAAGCTGAGCCACCAAAGCCCGAATCGAAGCTGCGTCGCCTAGGAACAATACTCAAAGGACGCAGGCAGAGTGTTCACGGCGGCGTGGGACCCTCCCCGCAGAAGGGTGGCTCATCTGCATTTGGACGACTTGGGGGCAAAGAGAGGCCCGGCATTTCGCCACGGGGTTCATCAGGCAATCTGAGGGAATCGAACCATCTTGGGGCGCTGGCCGAGCATCCATCACTCCCACGAACCCCTGAAGTTGGCGAGGACAGCCCCTCCAGGCCGCCCCATGAGGGTGCGAACGGATACAATGCACAGGAGAACATCATGGACTCGCCAATTCTTGAGGGAGTCAATGGCTTCCGCGAAAACAGAGGTGTGACTCTTACCGATGAACCGACCGCTCGGCCGCTTCAGCCGACAGCTACTGGTCCGACGCCCACGGCCGCTGGAAAGGATGCAGAGGGCTTTACGATACCCGCACCAGCCGATGATCCGATCACCGCAGCGCAGAAAGAGGCTGCTGCAACCGAGGAGGCTGATCAGCTCTTCAAGCTCAACATTCAGAACAAGCCCATAGATGAGGAGGATCCAGAGGCAAAGCGAGCCGCACTATCAAGTGTAGCCAGCTCCTTGCGAGCCGGTCCTGCTGTACGCCGCTCAGGGACGACGCGCGGCCGCAGAGATGTGCGGAACACGATCTATGCGCCTGCTCCCATAGCGGGTGAGCCGGCAGAGGGTGGTTTTCTGGCGGGCATCGCAGGCTCGCCCTCATTTGCAAGCTCTTTCGGCTCCAGGACAGGCGCTCCAGCACTCGCCCCAGAAGCTAGCATTGCTGGTACCTCTGATACTCAATCTGTTCGTTCTGGCCACTCGTTCGGCAATTTGGCCCATGCAAAGCATCCCGAGATGGTTGGCCCTGGTCTTCACGGTTCCATCATTGAGCATGTATCTATTGTGTTCAAGGCTGGCGGTGAGATCGAGAGCACTTCGATGGCGGGCGAGCTGGGATTTGTGAACAACGCCACCGACGATGACATGTACAAGAGTAAGTCTATGAGGACACCGTTGCCAACGTTACACTAACGATTGCAGCCCACGAGACCATCAAGATCAACAATTATCCCAATCTGGAGCGCATCGGTCCTAATAGGATCTTTGTGCAAAACAGCACACCTGACCAGCCAGATCAGTTCAGCCTCGACCTGTCGCATATCAGCAAGATGGCGCCCGCCTTCTCATACCGCGTCTTCGCCCCCGAGTCAGATCCACTCTCGCTTGCACGGAATGCGCCGCTACTGTTGAACCCCGCATGGAAGCCTCAAGGTGACAAGCTGGGTCTTTTGCTACAATATCAACTTAACCCCTCATGCACCTCGAAGGGCCCCGTCACCCTACAGAACGTTGTGTTTATTGCCACATATGAGGGTAAGGCCTCGGGTGCGCAGACGAAGCCGAGCGGCACGCATCTCAAGGACCGCCACATAGTGTACTGGCGCCTTGGCGAGGTGACGCTCACCCCTGAGCCGCAGAAGATCGTGTGCCGTATTGTCGGCAGCGAAGGAGCAGAGCCGATACCGGGCCACGTCGAGGCAAGGTGGGAGTATGTTGTGCCCGAGGGCGAGGTGGCCGGCAGTGGCATCTCTGTCTCAAGACTGCAAGAGACAAAAGGCAAGGGCAAGGAGGCCGAGTCGGACGATGATCCTTTTGCGGACGATGGCGTATCCCAGACCCACACTTGGGTAGATGTGCCATTGTCCAGAAAGCTCGTGAGCGGAAAGTATGAGGGAAGGTAGCAGTGTCGCCTGGTGTGTCGGTAGGGTAGAGCCATTGGATTTTTCATCAGCGGAATATCAAGGATGTAAATATGTACATAGGACCCATTGTCTTCATCGGTCACCGATGCACAAGTCACAGTTTGGACATATTTTACGTGTTGTCTGTCAAGATGGTGAGTTTTGACAGAGCCCCAGAGGGCGAGCTACAAATCTATCCCTTGTCCATAACACCTCGTGTCCGCTGAATCAAAACACCGCTGTTGCCTCCCGCCCCCTTTGCCATCCGGCAAGATGCTGTCAAGGTGATGCCGTACGTGCAAATTTTATACAATGAACAAACAGCCTCTTTCATTCCTTCTTCTCCTCGGAGGCCTCGGAAGTTTTGGTTTTCTCGCTCTCTTTAGACCCTTCCTGTGATTGCGCAGTCTTCTTTGCTGCCGCTTCCGCATCAGAGCCCTTCTTGTACTTTGCGTACTTTTCGCCGAGATAGCGGAACGTCCTCTTCCATCCGCTCATCACGGGGCCCTTGAGACTTTGCACGGTGCTCGGCCAGTTGACGGTCTGCTTGATGACTTGCCTGACGGTCTGGGTCAGCGCGGCAGGGTCGTCTTCGGCGATGCGCTTCTCAAACTCCCCGCCTTGCCGCTTGCCTTCGTCGTCTGTCGAAGCCTTCATCATCTTGTTGAACTCCTCCTTGGGCAAGCTGAGCTTTTTCTGGTACTGGAAGTAGAGCTTGGAGCGGAATTTGGGGGGTAGCCGGCGCACCATGTTGCCTCGTGGCGAGGGGTCCATGTCCTGCTGAAGCCTGCTGTTCGCCTTGGGGTTGAGCACCCAGTTCTCGTCGTCAAGACGGCAGTTGTCAAGGAACGTTACGTTAGGCAGCGTCTTGATCAATGGCGCGTAGAGACGACGGAAATGAACCATGTTGTTGGACACAATATTGTCCACCTTGGACCTGTTCTCAGTCGGCAGAGACATCCGTGGGTCGCCCAAGTAGCTGATACCGGAGATAGCGCTATACAGCTGCGCCTCTGTGAAGTCAGGCGGCAGGAGCAGCAGCGCCGTCCGCAATGCCGCGATGAGGTTGTGCTGGTTGGCGAGACGGACCTGAGGATGATCACGCAGGATCTTGACTGGCTTCTGCAGCCGTCCCGCGAGATACAAGCTATCCCAGGTCGATAGATCCGTGACCAAGTTATCGATACTCGTAACGCCGTACTTGATGAGCATGCCGTTGACCTCCACGTACGGGTGGAAGTAGACTCCTGCGCCCCAGTCCTGCACACGCGACACGAGCCCGGAGCCCAGCGAGGCAACCCCTGAGTAGTGATTGCGATGCTGCTTCATATTGATTGAATGCCAGTGCTGCGTGTGCGACACGCCAAAGATAAAGTCAATCATCTTGGGGGCGCCTTTTTGCGATTCGATCAATGCCTTCGGTGGCTTGGGGTGAACAGACCGAAAATCCGCCTCGCTGATGCTCCGACCCGCTTCCTCTTGCGGGAAGACTCCTGACCCGTATGCGAAGCAGTAGACAATAGGGGCGTTGAACTGACGAAGCATCAGGCGCATGGCTTCCTTGAGGTCGTAGTTGATCAGCATGTGCTGATTGTGCCCAAACATCTCGTGCGGCAGGTCGCTGAATGACTTGATGGCGAAATCAGCCGTGTCCTCCCAGTTGTCTCCATATAGGTTGTATTTGCCCTTGGCCGTTTCGCGCTTGCTGGGCTTCGTCGTGGTGGTGGTGGTAGAGCTCGACGAGGAACGGGAGGTGGTGGAGCTCGCATCGCTTTTTCCGCTGGAGTCGGAGCTAGAGGAATATCGCATGTATGTGAAGGCTGGCAGGCGTTGGTAGGCATAGTGTCGACCGGTAACGTATGAGGCTTGTGGTGATAATGCGCGAGGAGCGACGCCGCGCGCGTTTATGATGGGCGTCGCCTGGGTGCGTTAGCGGGCGGTTGGGGGTCATCAGACGGCAGCTAGACTTACCCATATCCTCGCGCTCGCCATATTGAGTGGGACTGTTGACTTTGGCGTTGTTTCAATGTCTTTTGGTCACCCAATGGCACCAAGTGTTGCCAAGATCGAAGGAAAAGAGCCGGAAGAGGGTGCGCGTAGCTCGGTACTCGAGCGATTCACCAGTGTTGTTTGTCCATAAAGAAACGAGAGTAAAGGTACTAAAAAGCTTGGGGGGTAACGCAATCAGCTTGCGTGCGCTGGGTGTTAGATGGCAATCGTAAGTGTGGTGCTGCAGGGTCCGCGTGAGGATTTATTGGCATCCAGGAACCAGACGACAAGCTCGGCAATGACATGATGCCATAATTGGCTTCGGATCGCTGCGGACTGGAGGCCCACTTCCAGTCAATGGCCCCTCCAATCTGGAATGCTGCTTACCCTAAAGCTTCTGTCGGTACTCTACGAAGCGAACTCAACATTGCTGCTTCGAGTACAAAAATGAGCTCGAATACTGATTAAGAGACAAACTCTCACGTTCCACATGGGAATATAATGTGTGTTTGTTTGGCAATCGTCACGCCTAATCATGTGTGACGAGCAGACATTTCAAATCTTTTTCAACACCAGCAACATTGTTGAATGAAGCCACAGCGAGTTTTGATTGTGAGCGTTACCAAGCCAGATGCTTAGATTTTGAAGCAACATCGGTCAAGCCCTTCGACTATCACTTGAAAATGACTATTTCAATTCCTACATCAGGCAGCCCTTCGCTGGCCCCGTTTGTTGTCACTTTCTGTTCTGCACGGGAGGGTCGAGGCTAAAATGCCCGAAAACGTCCATCAGCATGTCTGTCCCCTTGAGGCCTGGGTGCAGGGAGATGGCCGTGATGTTCTGGTCCGCAGCGGCTACGTGGGTGTTGAACTGAAGAGCGGCGAGCTTGCTGTTCGCTTGGCTCGAGATGGTCGGGAACGTGCCCCAGGCAGCGCCGGCTGTAATGGGGACGACGGTGGCGGGCGTCGATGTAGGATCGGGGAGGGAGTTAATGAAGGACTCCAAAAGGAGGCAACTCCTTAGAGTGTTGACTTTCTGAAACAGGTGGAAAGAAAGTCACTTGTTGTTTGTGTGAAAGCCTGCTGTACACGGTAGACAAAGGACTTTCCTCGTGTATGCCTCCGCCACCAGGATTGACTCCTGTATTGTTTATAAGAATCTCAGCATAGTCAAACTCGATATTGATCTGCTGAAATAAAAAAGCGACAGAAGCTGAGTCGGACATGTTGGTGGCCACAGTAAGGGTCTCAAGTCCAGGGCAGGCAGTCTTGACGGGGAATGTGCGATTCATCCTCATCCCTTGGATTCTCGTCTCACAGCTTACGTTGAAGCATGCCATTTACGGGTCTTCATTCTCGCGTACCTCGTGCTCCTACGACTCAGAGGTCCCCTATCCAGCCCACATGGTATAAATCTCTAATTACAAATTAAATCATCGAGCCACTCTCACCACTTCCTTAGCACCCACGGCATGGACCAGCCACGACTGTCGAATTCTTTCCAGAGGCTTGGTGATTTCCTGGCGTTAATTCCAACGTGGGGGATTGTGATGGGATTTGCACCACGGTGTGCGGATGACCCATGACCACGCCTTCCTCCTTGCTGTGTTTGTCTACCACAGTGTCCTGCGGGTGGTCCATAACCACGGTGTGAGTCGGCGGAGCATGTGCAGCTTCACACTCTGCTGGAGTCACTGTGACATGTACCGTCTCGGTGACTGGATGGGGGTTCTCCACTGTCTTCGTAACGTGCTCGACGACGGGCTCATGAACTGTCTCAATGACAGTGACGGGCTTCTCAACCTCAGACGTCTCCACAACAGTGACAGGCTTTTCGATGGCTGTGGTGACAAGCTTCTCCTGGACTTTCGTTTCGACCACATTCTTGACCTTGGTCTCTGTCTCTGTAACATGTACAACTTGCGGGGGCGCAGTGACGTGAATAGTTTCGGTGACGTGAATAGACTCGGTGACGTGAAGAGACTCGGTGACGTGAATAGTCTCGGTGACGTGAACGGTTTGTGGTTCTGCCGTGACATGAACAGTCTCGACCTTGTGGACAGTCTCCGGTGACAGTGTAACATGCTCCGTCTCCGTCTTGTAAAAAATCTCTGGTGGCAGCGTAACATGCACCGTCTCGATCTTGTGGACAGTCTCCGGTGGCAGGGTAACATGCTCCGTCTCCGTCTTGTGAACAATCTCTGGTGGCAGGGTAACATGCACCGTCTTGACCTCGTGGACAGTCTCTGGTGGTAGGGTAACGTGCACCGTCTCCGTCTTGTGAACAGTCACTTGTTGAGGTTCTGACGGATGCGGTGTTGTGACCAGGACAGGTGAAGCATTAACCACATTGCCGAGGGCGACGAGGAAGAGGTATCTCTGGAGCAGCATTTTCAGTCTCCTTCTAGGTGTCGCTCTCCAGGAGTTTTGTGTTTTCGAAAAAAGGTACCGAATTTCGTGGATATTGCAAGCGTTTGGAAAGTTAAATGTCGTATAGCTGATGTGAGACGATGCCAGATCGCCTTGTGAGAATGAAAATGAATGACAAAAGAATGAAAATCAAGGCTCAAAAACGAATGGTGACGATTCGGTGTAAGTGAAGAAGAACACGAGAATTCGGTCCAGATGACACGGCCACTTCAAGATTTTTGCTTGACGTGCGATTCTGGGTTGTCGTAAGGGGCAATCGTGAACGTTGCCATCCTTGCACGCGATGAGACACTTCTCTTACGGGAATCCACGGCTTGGCCTCTTGCCGACATAGTCTTTCGCTGCCAAGAACCGGCTATAGCAAGATCCCTTGTCTATGTCGAGGCAATCACCTCGGGCAAAGTCACGGGAGTTGTGGTGTAGAACTCTAGATACAAGAACTCGCCGAGGGGCTTGATTGAAGCTGTCGGAGACATCAGAATAATACATCACGCTTATCCAACATTTCATGGCCGAATGTCAATGGGGGTCCCAATCAGATAGACCGACCAACTCAGCAAATCCTCGGTGGCCCTTTCCCCATCCGAGGTACTAGTCTATAAGGTTAATTCAAAGCTTAAGACAAGTACAGTTGACATTAGGTTTGGATACCCTGTTAGGTGACTCTTGTATCAGGCTAGGCTATATTGGGGACGTGTCGCGACGCTGCCTTAAGGGTGAATGTTTTGTGTATCCGCCCTCGGTAGCTGAAAGAGCGTCAAGGGGATTCCGGACGATCTTGGAAACAGTCTTTCAGCTGAAGCTAGCAGCATATAGCTTTCGGTTCCGCGACCGGAGTTAGGGACTTGGTTCATTCCCTCGAGGTGTTGTGTTCTTTTGTGGCAAGAAGCTAGAAGGATGGGATGATAGCAGAAATATGACCGGATGAGGCTAGGCTGAAGCGGGAGGGTTTTCAAACTTTTTGCCGACAACTGTATTTCCCAAGTTGTTGGCATCTGCGAGACTGCGAGACGACCTGATACACGAAGCCTCGCCAAGTCACTGTCTTTGACCATGGCAGCCTTGGCAGGGTCCGGCTGCGGCCACGTCCGGTGTCCCTTACAATAGAGCCGCTAATAATGACAAAAAGAAATCGGTATTTAATTGATACCTGGTATATAACATAAATCGAAGCTGGAAAAGGAAATTAAGGAATATCGCTGGAAGTGTGAATCCGGCGACAAAGACTAAGGTACATGATATTTCAATCGTTTGTCGTCACTTTCTGTCGTGCACGTGACCTACCGTTGCAGCGCGGCCGGGGGCTGCCAAGCGCTAGCCCAACGCGTGAATCCCCACAATGGCCACTGGGTCAACGATTTGGTCTGAATGTCAACAAAGACAACAGCAACACAGTCGCCTTCCCCAACGCCACGATGCAGAGTCGTACACCGCAGCCTGGCGATGGTGCTCGTCAGAGAAAAGGCTCGGGGTCATCGAAATTCCGGCAAAGCACCTCCGCGCTGCCCATGCCGCAAGCGTTTCAGCGCTCGAGGGTACAGTTCGCGACAACAACAAAGGAAGAGGACCGACGACTCTAACATCAGTGCAGATCGCATCATTTCGCGCATCGCAGCCAATGCACGCATTTCCACCCGTCAGCGAAAATGACTCGCGACCGTCCTCACGAGCGAGCATGGCCGATTCTGGCAGACCCGAGTCGCGATCCAGTTTCAAGGAGAATATGGCGCCACCGGATGCAGACGAGTACGAGAAATACCGCAAAGAAATCGAGTCACTGAAAGCGGAGATTGGCACTCTCAAGTATCGCATTCAGACCTCCGAATCAGAGCAAGCCATCGAGCAGTCAACACAAGCCGGGCGTCTCGAACAGGCCACCCGGAGAGAGCAGGACGCAATCCAGGCGCGCGAAGCCTCGGAAAGAGAGCACGAGAAGCTCTTAGAAGAATTCAGGGCGACAAAAAGAGAGCTCGAAAGTGTCCAAGAGTCTATCGACACCGACAGAAAAACATGGGAGCGCAAGACTCGTGAGGCGCAGGACAACGTGCGTCTCCTCCAGGAGCAGGTGGACGATCTCACAGAAGCCAAGGAAGAGGCGGCGAGGATAGCCGACAAGAAAACGAATGATTTACAGGCGCAAATTACATCGATGCAAACTTCGCTGCAAGAAATCGAGCAAGACAGCAACGCAAAGGACACCGCGCTGCAAGAGGCACAGAACGAGCTTAATGCCCGCAATGGTCGAATCTCGGAGCTCGAGGCCGATGTGCTCCGACTGAAGGCGCACAGCGGCGACATGGAAACAATGCAGATCATCAGAAAGGAGCTATCCGAGCAAGTGGAATACATTCGAGATCTGGAGTCGAAGAATCGGCAGCAACTCTCCGAGCTGAAGCTTCTACGCGCAATGGCCAAGTCTGTTGAGGTAGTCGAGGAGGAGAAGAGGTCGCTGCAGCGCAAGGTGGAGTTTGCTCAGACGCTCGAGCAGGAGCTCTCCGAAGAGCGCATGCAACGTCAGAGGCTTGAGGACGAGAGGCTGGCTTGGACATCGTACCTCAAATCCGAGACTGGCGACGTTGAGTTCAAGTCGCCGGAGTCATTGGCTCGCGCTTACACTGAAGAGCGTTTTACGTCTGCCTCGCACGTCGAACGAATCGGCGCCCTGCAAGCAGAGCTGAGCTCGCTACAGAACACGGTGCGCTCCCTTGAGGAAGACAGATCAACGCTGCGCAACCAAGTGGAGGAGGCCAAGTCAGCAGCGACCTCACTCACCGCCGACAAGGGCCGCATGCGATTAGAACGACAGCGAGCACTGGCTGTCAAGGAGGTGGAGTACCTCCGTGCCCAGCTCAAGACATACGATGTGGAGGATCAGACTTTGGAATCCGAAAGCTTTGACCAAGCCCGCGTGGACCGAGTCAATGAGCTAGAAAGGATCGTCGACGAGTACAAGTCAGAGGTGCAGAACCTCCACAATGAACTGGCGACGGCGGAGGCTTCCAAAGGAGCCGAACTCTCCCCCCAGCTCAGCGCCGGTAGCAAAAGGCCACGCGAAGACGACAGTGCGATGCAAGAACAGCTTGGACAGCTCACCAGGAAGAACCGTAAGCTTCAGGAGGAGCTTGGCACCATGCAGACGCAGGTGGCTGTTCTGGAGAAGGATCTCTCCGCCAACCGCGAACAGTTGGCGGCGGCCAAGGAACACAACGCGACTCGTGTTCTGTCCTTGCGGTCCAACCCCACGTCTGATTACGAAGGTATCAAGCGCGCCACACTGCATGCCCTGCAGAAAGAGAACAAAGAACTCTTGGCGACTCTGCAGTCGCGCAACGCCAACAAAGAAGCTGGCATCAAGTACATCCCCAAGTCGGTGCTGGGATCTATGGAACGCGAGGTAGAAGCCGCAAAGGCCGAGACGGCATCGGCGCAAAAGTCTGCGCGTCGGCTGAAAGAGGTCTGGGGCTCCAAATCCCAGGAATTCAAGGAAGCTATCTTTTCCACTTTGGGGTGGACAGTCACGTTCATTCCGAACGGAAAGATGCGGGTGGAGAGCACATTCTTCCCATCTCAGTCAGACGAACACGAGAACTCTATTGTTTTTGACGGCGAGCGAGGGACAATGAAGGTCGGTGGCGGCCCAAAGAGCGCATTCGCCAGGAGGATCAGCGACCAGATTGGCTTCTGGGTGCGCGAGAAGGGCTGTATCCCTGGGTTCCTGGCGGCGCTCACTCTGGAGTTCTACGAGGAGCACGCGAAAAAGTCGCAGGACTGAGTGGCACGTACTGTGTATAACTGGGACACTGTGATAATTGGGCCATGCAGCATTTCTTTGGAGTTGCGTGCCATACTGTAGGGCTGCATTGGAGTTCACCGGCGATTATGGTCATTTGATGAATAGAAGTGCGCGGAACATTCACCAACGTACAGCGAATGCACTTCTTTGGCTTGACAAAGGTTTGTGATCGGCTTGTGTTGGAGGTACAGTGAAGAACACCACAAACGATAGAGTAACACAAGTGTAGCGAACTAACTTTGACGCATCCAAACAGGTACCGTCACTGAACTGGACTTGTCTTCTTGGTGGAACACAGCAAGCAGCTATCGAGGATGTCCGAATCAAAACCGTGGCCTCTCGCCCGCAAGAGCGCCTATTCACAAACAACCGGTAAGTTTATTGTATCTCGGAAGCCTCCACCCATCGCTCCCAGGTCCACGGAGAAACGTCTCTTGCTTGAATTCTCGGTGCAAGCCATCGATCATGGGCAAGAGTAGGAATCACGGAGGGCGCCGCAACCAGCCGCAAGGCAACGCAAGGGACGCGCATAGACATGCAGGGAACCGCGTCGAAAAATCCAAGGTAGAAACTAGCCTCCTCGACGGACAGAAGCATTCTAACAAGACAAAACAGCAGCAAGACGGTAAAGGTGGGAATAGACGACATCAAAACAGATGGACCATCACACCGAACACAAAGGAGTACCAATGGAGAAAGATGGTAGCAAAGTATGGCTTCGGGCCGCTGTATAGTTCCTTTGGAACGCCCTGGGCTGGGCAGCCACAGCACGAGTTCTACCTACATGGCCCTCGCCAGCCGTATTGGCGAGGCAAGGACTATCGGCAGAAGCGAGCGACTCAATCCTGGCCCTTTGTGAAGTATTTCGAGGAAGACGAGACAATGGGCGATGTAGGAGATTTGGAGCCGGCCATACCCCTGTCCGTCACGATCGACCAGGAGATCGACATGGCAGCGCATCACCCTGAAGACTATCTTGGATTCGACACTCCACTTGCACCCACAAGTGTTTCTTTTGATCAAGATATGTTCACGGTCATGGATAATTCCCATGGCATTCTGGAGCATCCCAAGCCGTTGGACAGTGTCAATGGTGGGCAAGGGCTGCCTTCGTCCTGGCATCAGGGGCTGTCAGTACCTGCACCGCTACTTTGGGGACAAGTGTCTGCACTAACACCGGGCCCGCAGACAATACCATATTCGCCGAGCCCTTTGAGGGTAGAAGTAACCGCTCCCTCAACTGAAGATTCCGGAGTGTCCAGCAGCAATGGCGAGGACACGGAGGAGACTACGCCTGCCAGTTCGCTGACCCAGGAGGACCCCCTTCTGTCCTGCCCAGCCATCCAAGTGCCAGATCAGCTGGACATCGAGGCAGCTCTAGGTCAGCTGTACGATCCGAAATTTGTCGAATCACTGGCTGTTCCTGGAAACCTGCCCGAAATACTGCGCCTCGAAGAAGTGTGCGTCCAAACGGCCAAGATTGCAGAAGAGGCCGGACTTGCCATGCTGGCCGCCGAATATCGAAACAAGGTGGATGCCATTGCACTGGCCAGGTCTGGTACACTGCTGACGGGTGAAGAGTCCTCGTCACCAGTTACCAATGGCATCCATGGAAGTGGTAGCTGTCACAACGGTTTACAACAGAATCAGCCCCCAGTGGGGGAATCATTTGGAGCCGACGACCAGCGCAACCACCATGACAAGGAACCTGCGGAGAAAAAAGACGACCACAAGAGTGGCAACACGCATGAGAAACGTAGCGCGCGAGGGCAGGTTGCAAGCCCCCAGCCGCCTCGGCATAATGGTGGTAAAAACGGTAATAAGGGGATCGACAATCCCAAAAAGGACAATAGGAACCCGAGACACCGCGTCCCCAACAAAGGCGGGAAGAAGAATGGCAAGGCGGCTTTCGAAGGGCACCGAGACCGGCATAGGAATCGTAAGTAATACCACGACGGATGGTGTCGCTGGAGCACAGACGCAAGCTGACGGACTCCTTCAGGTAGAACTTGAATTGTATAAACTGGCATATTGCATTGTTAAATGTCGCCCAAACCCCAACTGACTCACAGCTCGTCCAACTCGTCCTCGTCCTCGACCACAAAGTAGTCAACTACCTTGGCCTTCCCCTTAATGACCCTCTCCCAGGTCTCTGGTTGGCAACTCGAGGGCTGCAAGACGTAACACCTCTCCTCCGGCCAGTCAGGCCTCTCATTCTTGATCCACCGATGGAAGCCCTCGCCATCATTGATCAAGTCATCCCGCACGGGAATGGTCCCGCTGCCAATGTCCTTGTTGAACATGGCCCGCATGAACACCTCGTACGCGGCAACAGGCTGGTACGACGGGACCATGTGGCCGGCCTGGAAGACCCTGGTGAAGGAGAAGTTGCCGTACTGGCGGGTGATGCCACTGAAGCCGTCCGGTGTCCAGAAGAGGCCGTACGGCGCGGCGTTGAACTCGGCCTGCCGCGAGTAGGGCACGGCGAGGGAGGCGGCCTCGCCGCCGAGCCAGTTACACGCGTAGTCGCGGTCGCCGTACATCATGTGCACCTTGACGCCCGAGTCGAGGAGGTAGCCGACGGCGTCGAGAAAGCCGCCGTGGATCTCGTCGTGCGAGGCGGCAAAGGTCTGGCTCACGGGCAGGCCGATCCAGCTAAAGTTGACGGGGGTGCCGAGGGCCTCGAGGACGTGGGCCTGTGAGAGATAGCCGTGGATCATGGGGTCGGGGAAGGGGTCGGCGGCCGGGTGGGCAATGTCGAACCAGGAGTGGCCGAGCTGGTTGTACTGCATGATGGCCTCTTCGGAGCATTGGGTTGCCGTGTCGCAGATCTCCGCGACGGGGACGAGACCGCGGTGGACGGTGATGGGGTCGTAGGAGCGCAGGCGATCCTGGCAGGCGAGAAGCTGGTCTTTGCATCCGTCTGGCTTGGTCCAGTTGTGCAAGAGCTCGCTGTAGAGATCATCGGAGAACACTTGTATGTCGTAGGTCTGCTCTTGTTAGCGCATGCATGGTCTGTGTTACTAGAGGAGGGTTGCTCACGTTGTTGTAGGGGAATTCAATGTACGCCTCGCCTTGGACAACAGCGTCCAAGAGGCCATTCACGATACCCAGCGTATCGAGGTGCATGTAGTGCCCATTCTCAAGGGTGCCATTCTTGATCTTCTCGTTTTGTTCCTGGAAGAAGCGCATGAAGCCAGGGCCATAGTGGCCACCGTACGACTCGGCCCAGAGACTGATGCGGTCGTCATGCGGCTTGTAGTGAGGGAACTCCTCGAACCAGGTCTGCGCAAAGTGCCAGAGGGCGTGCGCTGCCTGGGCAGTGGAGTTGGTCGTGTGGCTCTGTTTCTGGCTGGACATGGTGCCCACGCGGTGCGTGTAGTTGCTCTCTGGCACCTGGCCGTCCGAGACGTTCAATGGCTTGACGTCAAACTCCATACCTTCAAGAAGCTCCATCGTTACATTGGTGGGTGTGTCGTACGAGAGGCCCACCTGGTTGGGCTCGTCAATGTACAGCATGTTGACAAAGGTGTTCCAGCTCCAGGGGTTGTCCTCGGTGTCGTTGGAGTCCAGCGTGATGCTGCATGGTCCGTTCTCGGTGAAGAGGCCCAGCATGGACGATCCACCAGGGCCTCCGTTGAGCCAGATAGCAAGGGGTGCATCTTCAGGTGCGATGCGCGCCTCGAAGAAGTAGAAGAAGGTGTTGAGCGGGTAGTCCTGTGGCTCGCCGTCGATGTCATTCAGGAAGCCTGGGGGCAGGTGAACGTGACCAGCGTACGACTTGACGCCATCGTTTGTCTCGCAGATGTTGGGCTAACATCATTAGTGAATTGCTGCCAAAGGAAGAAGGGTCCGTCACGTACCTCCTTGTACGTGATGGTCACATTCTCGTGGAACTTGGACTGGAGCGTCTTGAGGCCTTTGAGCGGCGGCGGGAATTGAGCCGCGACCAAGGTCGTCAGGGCGCTCCACGCCAACGTCGTCGAGACATGCATGTTCGAACGACAGTGTGCTTTGTCAATTGACGTGATGAGAGGTCAGAGGTGGAGGTGGAGATGTGAGACGCACCCAGACGCACGTCGATTCTCCAGATGGCGGCGGACTTGATCCTGCTTGACGGATTCAGCACCAGTATATGTGAATCGAAACATTTGTATGAGAGACATTCGCTCAAGCCCAATTCTTCTCGACACACCAGAAGGAGTCGGTCTGTCCACTACACCCCGTGACCTCGTCAATGGAACTTTTGTCGCGCCTTGTGCGCCTGGAAAATAGGATCAGATCTGGAGGAATGATAAGCACGCGTCTGACAGGCTGCAGCCTTGACCACACCTCAATACCCGTATGTGAACGGAACGTACGTGTATCGACACATATCAAACATTCATCGCTGTGAGTACAAGTATGGTGAGAACATGATGTCGCCATTGTATGAGACTAGATGCATCTATCACAAGTCTTCAGTCAGGCGAATGAATAGTAAAGTCTAATGCATTCGATATTTATACATGATATCCTTCTAAGCCCAACGCCGCTCATAGCTTGCTCTTTGTGCGATTGTCCTTTTTCAGAATGATGTTGTTGTCCGGGTACGGATCAAAGACAACTTTGTTGAGCGGGTTCAGTTCGCTCGCGCGGTGGAACAGGTCCTCGTAGACATTGCCGTCGTAACGGCCGAGACTCGAGTCCAGCTGCCAGTCCGGGAAACTCCACGAATCCGCCAGGCGGACGGCGTGGGGACGCACCTCCTCGAGGAGCTTCATGACGGCCTTGCGCGAGAGCTGAATCTGGCGCACCGTCGTCGCGCTGCTCGAGAAGAACTCGGACGCCTCGCGCTCCAGCGTGTGCAGGGCGAAGAGGCGGAACAGCTTGTGGAGGACGCCCGTGGTCTGTCGATCGAGCGAGCCAGGCGCCGACTCGGCGGCGAGGGCGTCGTAGAAGGACTTGACCACCATGTACTGCGCGTGCGCCGTGCTCAGGCGGTGGAAATCGACGAGGAGGCTGTTCCACGACTGCTTGTCCGCGTCGCGGTGCTGCAGGGCCTCAAAGGTGAGGTACGCCACGCGCCAGGCAAAGGCGTCAACGAGGTCCTTGTCGGATGTGAGGATGTCAAAGGCGGCGCCCGTGTCCCGGCGCGCCAGGAAGGCCTTGAAGCTCCGCGAGGTGTCGTTGTCGCCTGCGGTGCCGGCGAGCACGGCGCGGGCTGTCTTGAGCAGGTAGCGGCAGACCTGCTGTGTCAACATGTAGTTGTCACCCTCCCAGGTCAAGGTGGGTAGGTAGTCTGCAAACCAGGTCCCGATGCCCGAGAACGAGCTGTAGCCGTGGCCACCACAGGCACGGCGGCAGACCTCGAGACCCTCGCCTGCCACGGTGCTGCCGTAGGCCTTGAGGGCACACGAGGTGGCGTGCAGGTCGGCAAGCAGGTCGGTGCCAGGGTTGATCTCCTCGGGGCCAGGTCGTCGGTTGGCGTCACTCAGCTGTCCAGCATCCTGCCCTGCCGCCATCCTCTTCTGGGCCTCCTCGTACATGTTGATCATGCTGCGTCCTGTAAAGTGCAGCGCAAAGGTGGCAGCGAGAAGTGGCAACAGGCGGTACTGCACCATGGTGTAGTTGATCACCTGGTTCTCGCCCACGTTGCCCTTGGCGTCGAGATCCTGGAACTGGCGGCGCACGGCGCAGTAGCGGGTGGCAATGGTCACACCACGCGCCAGGACCGAGCCGGACTGCAGCACAATGTTGCTGCGGACCCAGGTGAGGGTGCCGTACACGGCTGACGGGTTGGATGGCCGCTGGTACCTCCCTGATTGGGGGTCGACGCGGGAGAATCGGGCGAGCATGTTGACGTGCGGCACCTTGACCTGGTTGAGGAGGAGGAAGCCATTGTCCATGGTGTTGTAGCCGAACTTGGGGCCAATGTCGCCCACGTGGACATTCTCCAACGGCTCGTGGGTCTTGAGATCTCTGATCTGGACGACAAAGGGGTGCGGACCGAAGCGCTTGCCATCAATGACGAGCTGCGCCATGACGACGGCGTGGTTGGCGACCTTGCCGAGCGAGCCGATCCACCACTTGGACGAGGTGAGGTGAGGCGAGTGGAGGACAAACGTCTTGTCGCTCTGGTTCCAGGTGGCCGTCGTCTCCAGGCCGCGGACGTTGGAGCCGTGGCCAAGCTCGGTCTGCGCGTAGCACCCAATGATCTTGTACTGCTCGGCCCTCTCGAGGAAGAGCTTGTGCTGCTCTGGCGTGCCCTGGTCGCGCAGGGTCTTGAGGAACATGGACGCGTGCAGACCGTACGGGGTCGGCTCGCTCAGCAGGTCGTTGGCGACGAGATACTCGTCCTGTGACCAGTTGTGCTCGACCTGCAGCTGGCGCAGGCGCTTGGCCTTGGCCAGGGAGGCCTCGATGCGCGCCTCGCGGCCCTGAAAGTAGTTTTGGGACTTGTCAAAGACGGGGTCCGCGGTGAGGACCTTGAGCACGCGCTCGCGCGTCTCGAGCTCATTCTTGCCAAACAGGTACTCGGCGAGCTGGTCGACGTCGAGGTTGCTGCTCGCGCGTTCCGTGGCCAGCAGCTCGCTCCCTTGCGGTGAGGCCACGACCAGCTTCTTCACCCACTCGGGGTTGGGCGACATGACGACTGTGGTGTTGGGGGGGACTGTGCGTTTGACTTGATCGGACAGTTGTTCAGAAGCGCGCGTGGTCTGGAGGGAGGAGAGTGAAGCGACGTCGGCATCTGGTCTGGGACTGGAATCTGAGGCATCTGGCCCAATTTAATCCATCGTCGTCAATACCGAGCCGAGGCTGTCCTCGATTAGCCTCCACGCCACGGAGGCTCCGCTTTGCCAATCCAGCCTTTGTTACCGAGCCTAGGCCTGCCTCAAAGCCCGTGGTCGAGGCATCATGGATTCCAGTTGATGGCTGAGCCTGAGGCCATCATACGCAGATGCTCGTGCCATCGGATAGCCGAGGAGCGCGCTGCTCACCACTGGACCGCATTGGAATTACACGTGGAATATTGAATGTCGCTGTACAATAGTACATATGTTGTATATACTTGCATGGAGTATCCGTACTGATCATTTCTTGAGCCCACTCTCGGGTGTCTTCACCTCCGACCCCGCCGGGGTCTCCTTCAGCACAGAGGTCCGGTCCGTGATGCCCTCATCCCTCACCCCCAACGACCCTTGACCACCACCTTCAGCTTTATCCTCCCCTTCAATACCCTCCTCTTCTAAAATGTCCCCCGTCGGCCCACTGCTCCTGACTTTATCGATAGACTGTACATCGCTGTCCTGATCCACGCGCTCCACGCCCTTGGTCCTGCTCTCTCCTGGCTCGGCTGCACTCGCGCTCTTCACGCTGCTGCCCTCACTGACGTCCTTGCTGTCGGGGCTCTGCACCCTCAGGCCCAGGTCTCTCTCCTTATCGACCTCGCCAGTCCACGGGGCTGGTCGGTTTTGTGCAATGGGCGTTCCCAACTCAGGCTCGACCACAGACTCTCCGTCCTCGCCTGCTACCCGCCACACCACAGCCAGTCTATCCAGCGCGCGCGCGCCTTTCCTACTTGTTCCTTTAATACCGTCCATGGCGTCCCAGTCTATTGAAAAGACACCGTTTGTATCCGGTTTGTTATCGTTTTCCGACCTTTGGCCCTCAAAGAATACATTGAACCACACATGCCCCACGGCCGTGACCATGGTCAACCCCATGCTCTTGTTGGTCTTGTTTCGCCGCTCGACGGAGATGTTGACGTCGCTCGTCGGGATGCGGACGGGTGTCTTCGGCTTGAGGATGACGGCCATGCCACCAGGTTCCGCCTCTTCCTCCTCGCTGTCGAGGCTTCTCTGGTCGGCAAAGGTCATACTCTTCAGCTTGCCGACCTGCCGTGCTGACGTGGACGATGCCATCTTGATGAGCTCCGTCGGTCGTTTCCTCCGCTTGTGTTCCTTGCTTTCGCTCGACGCGTCGTCGTCCCCAGGATTCGTCGCCTCCGATAGCTCCGCCTCCTCGGGCGCCTTGTTCTGCTTCGTCTTGTCGGCGGCGTAGCCTGCCATCTCCCAGACCACGTCGCTCAATCCCGGACCTGGAGGCGCGTCGCCCTCCACGACCACCCTCTCGTCCTTTGTAAATGTGTGAAAGGTCGATATTTTCTTCCCCTCGTCCTTGAAGCCCTCAATGTCCACCTTGACACCGTTTCTTAACCCCCAGACGTGCACCTCCACGATTTCGATCGGTCGGTCAATGTACTGCTTCCCGTTCTTGGTCCACTGATCGACGTATGCCACCCAGCGTAGTTGTGAAGGGATGGACACGCCAGCCCCAAACTGTGGCCTCATCCTTCGCGCAGTGAACCTCGCCAACGCATCCTCCGCCGTCCAGCCCTCCTCGGATATGAGGTAGCTGCAGCTCATGCTTCCACTTCTCCCCTTGCCCGCTTTGCAGTGCACCACCACGACCCTGTCCTTGTTGCGCTCTGACGTCACGTCCATCTTCTTCAGGAGATCCTCGTCACTGTGAGCATCCAGGTCCCCGCCGTGCAACCAGTTGCGCATGCTTCCCATGATCATGGGCACCATTCTGAACGGAGGCGGGTGATGGTCTGGCCACGGATAATGTCGTATCCGGTTGTAAACGAGATCATCAGGGTATCCCGTGCCCTCGGCGCGAAACTCCCATATCGCCCAATTGTCGCCATGTTTCTCGTCCAGAAACGCGACGAGGTGGTCGAGCGGGTTTCGGTAGGCGCGTTGCGGGTAGGTCTGTGAGGGGCCGGATGTGGCGATGATGTAGTCGGTGATGTACGAGAGGTCGAGGCCAGAGTCGGCATGTCGAGCGCGGGGCCCAGCGACGATTTGTCGAAGAATAGAGGCCATGTCTGTTGCCGACCAGAGGCGATCAAAAGGGCGGGTGGCCCTGGCGGTAATCGATACGGTACAGTAGAGGCTGAAGAGCGCAGAAGAGACTGGTGATAATCGGCCAATGTTCGAAACTGTTCGCACACCAGAAAAGAGGGCAGGAAGCTTACGCTGGTGAAGTCTCACAAGGAGACGGCCGGCTGTCGTGCGTAGCAGTTGGAAATCGAAGTTCAGTCTGGAGCCGATGAAGCTGGCCAGGGCAGCTACGTAGAAACTGGGGCGACCACTGGCGACGTCATTCCCCGAAGCTCAGGCTGGGCACTCATCTAGCCCCACCAAGCATCACCAAGTGAAGTGCGCGCAGTATCCAAGAGTTGGCACTGGGCTTTGGCACGGAAGACATCTGACAATTGCGTCTACCAAAAAGTCATTCAGGAGCCATTGCCGTAGAGGATAGTAACGAGGTAACATTGTCGTTCATCATATCGCCAACAGTCAAGTCAACACCTGCGAATCACTAGCAAACCCCTTTTCCGAACCATAACTACCCCTCTACCAAACCCAAAAAGCAAATCAACTGCAGAGTAAACGTAGGGCAAACGCATCGCAAGCAAGTTAATCTCCCTCTCCGCCCTATCCATCGTCGCAGACGGCCATTCGTGGCACTATCACGGCAGCCCAGTGCCACCCATCACATGGCTCACTCCACCCTCGCCCTGGGTATCGTATCACCATCATCTGTCATGTTTTCTTTTGCAGGCTCCATGTATCGATAGACCTCTGATGACTTCTTGCCCAATGTGTGTGCTTCAAGTGTCCGCACATCCACCACATGAAGCTCGCTAAGCTCCTATCGAGTCGCCAGATAAGCTCCTTACGAGGTCTTCTTGGCGGGGCCGGCGCCACCAATGTACTTGCTGACATCCGTGATGTCGACAAACTGCCTAGAGGCGTTCTTCACGACGTCCCAGACCTGGCGAGCTGCAGGGGGCGTGCCCTGCGCACCGACAAGCGCGTCAACGCGGGCGCCGAGTTGAGCGAACGAGTTCTTAATGTGCGTGCTCTGCGAGAAGCGGGCACGCAGGAAGGCAGTGTACAGGACGATCAGGATCCACGAGCGGCGCTGGAAAAGGATGGCGGAGAAGAGGACGCGGAACCAGAGGAGGATCTCGAGACCGGACACGACGGCCATGCTGGCGTCATAGTACTCCTTGACAAAGGCGCCAATCTGGGCCGCAAGGGGGCTGTCCGTCTTGACCTTGGCCGCGGCAGACGCGCCGTCGGCGGCATTCTTGGGCGGCGAGATGGTCGGGATCAGGTTGGCGCGGGTGTAGGTCGCAAAGTGGAAGACGGAGTAGACACAGTACGGCAGCAGGGCGAGCGGGTACTGGGGAGAGAAGAGCCAGACAAGGGCGAGCACTGGCACACATTAGCGGGGTCGATTCGTGCTGGCTGAACGCTTCGTCTACTCACGCAGGTACTGGACGTTCTCGTCAGAGAGCAGTCCGAGGGCGCTGGGAGGAGCCTTGGCGCCAGTCTTTGCCCTCGCGCGCTGGGTCTTGTAGACTACGATACCGTAGGTGAGCGCCGCGGCGACGAAGGAGGTTCGGTAGCAGAACTGGGCCATGCGGGTGTAGTAGTTCATGCGGATCCATGACAGTGCATAGCGGAAGGTCGTGAAAAGAAGAGTGACGTGTCTGTTTGTGTTAGCTGTCCGTCCGTCGTGGCGTTGTTGGTTTTCGCATTGGTGTTGCGAATGTGCCCATCTCCTCGGTGCGGTTGCTCGTTGTTGGCATGTGCGGATGGCGGGGAAGCTCGGTGCGGGCAGGCATGATGACAAGTGAACTTACCCAGCAAACCAAGCGACTGTTATTGTTAGCAATTGATTCCAACAGACGAATGATGCGGAGCGAAGACGCCGAAAAGCTTGCTCAGGCGGCAGACAGCTTCCAGCGTCCCCCCGTCATCACACGACCAGAAAGACCACGTACACTGCAGGGTTTGGACCAGAGCGAGCACCCGCTCCTGAAGCGGGAGGTTAGGGTTCGGCGCAGGAGCCATGGTGAAAGAAGATGCAGAATGTACAAGGTGTTGTCTGCTATGTTGTCGGTAAATGAGGCGTGAGTCGAGCTGTCGATGCGTTTGGGGATGAGGTAGTTGGTAGGAAAAGAGGAGAATCACCAGAGGTCCAAGTTGTGGAGGGACGGACCTCGAGGTAGTGGTGGGTGGGTGCGGCGAAGAACCAACCCCACTGTCCTGTCCTGGATCCAGCGCAACAACAACCTGCGTAACTAGGCCGCCAAAGTGACGCAGAACATGCCCGTGCTGCTGGGCTGCAGTACATCTTGAGCTCCAGTCCCGTTACTGACGATCATACAGCCCCATTGCAATCCGCTGCTATGGTTCCTTGACCAAATTCACGACCATCACTTCACCTTATCTCAGATCTGTCCTCCGCTGGTACGAGGGCCCATTGCGTCATGGCCGAAGCTGCTCTGCCTACCCGGTATGAAGTATGCTTCCTGTTCTCCTCACTTTCTGATATTTTGGGCTCAAATACCGGTAGCTTAGTGTGTCAATACATCACCATGTCTGTTGAAACCCTGCTTCAATGCGCCCGCTTGTCATGTACCACAAGCCTCCTAAGCTTGAGTGCCCGATGATGAAATCTAGACGCTACAGATCGCGCCCTTTCGTCATCGCCCGCCGCTAAAAGCCCCATTAGCTCCAGATCCGACACTCGAGGGACTGCTAGTCGGAATTTATCACGGCAGGCAGTTTTTGCATATGTATGGTTTTCAGGGGCACGGCGAACTTGATAGAAATCGTCAGGCACTATTCGAGATATGGAGTCCATCTCTTGGTCAAATTATGGGCATTCGGGTTGGGTCTGCAATACGGCGCTGCCATACACATGTCGATCTGTGTATACCAAGACGCGTCATAACAGTGGCTTTCCCAAGTTGGCATATTTGTCGACTGGTTGAATTACAATGCGTCTCAATAGGATATCTAGAATCTTAGCCCAGAACCGCTGGTTGGTATACGCGCGCATCGTAACCAAATGGAAAAGGGAGGTTGAGCGATGACGGAGCCCCTCCAAAACCGCCACCTGAAATTCTTACTCGATCCAGGGACAGATTTCCAGGACAGCCTCAATTCCCCATCTTCTAATAGACTATCCTCAGACTTACAATCACTCATTCATAGCCTCAAGGCCGTTCTCTGTCGCCACATTCATTTCCGTCACCATGCCTAAAAAGTTGACACGCCAACCCACGCTCCCTGTCTCATCCACCCAACCACCCGCCTCGCTCACAGAAGGCCCGCTGCCCAAACTCATAGTCTTCGACCTCGACTACACCCTCTGGCCATTCTGGGTCGACACGCACGTCACGCCGCCTCTCAAGCCCAACAGCACACACTCTGCCGCGACAGATCGGTACGGCGAGGACTATGCGTTTTACGAGGACGTGCCCAGCATCCTGCAGGCTCTGCCTACCCTGGGCGAGGGTGTGAAAATCGGCGTGGCCTCGAGGACGTCAGCACCCAGCCTGGCGAGAGACCTTCTCAAGCTGTTGCATCTGCCTCCTAGCACCGACGGCGAGAAGGTGAAAAAAGCAGGCGATGTGTTTGATGCGGGAATGGAGATTTACCCCAGCTGCAAAATCCGTCATTTTGAAGCGTTACACAAAAGGACGGGTCTCAAGCACGAGGACATGCTGTTCTTTGACGACGAAGCACGGAACAGGGACACGGAAACCCTGGGTGTGACCATGTACCTGGTCAGAGATGGTGTCACATGGACAGAGATTGAGAAGGGCGTGGCCGAATGGCGCCGGAGGCGAGGATACAAAGCATAGAGCGCCGAGATATATAGATCTATAGACAAAGACAATGATGATGATGATGATGATGATACCCAAAGTGCGTGTGTGTATGTTTTCAATCGCTTGTTTTCCTCCATGCCCTTTCCCGATGGTATTGTGTGCCGGGTATCGTACGTAAAAGTAGTCGTCGTCTTCGTCTAAGCGAATGGCATCATTTGCCCTTCCAAGCTCAAGCAGCAGGCACGCTCGCAGGCTGCTCTGCTTTATCGTTGATGTCAAGTTTCTTCAACTCCTCCCCACTGGCAATTGTGTCGTCGGACGAGTGATTTTCCTCTATGTTCTTGAGAACCTCGGGGTCGGGCACGACGCCGTTCATCTTCTGATAAGGAACTGGTGGCCACACTTTGGGAATCGTGCAAATACGTTCGTGGACCTTGTTCCCGTCGCGCTGGCCGTAGAGCACACACGCCATCTTCTTGCCGCCGTCAATCTCTTCCCACAATAGAGGGCCGGTCGGGAACGAGGTGTGGCCGTTTTCCCACTCGAGGATGCCCTCGAACTCAGGGTCAGGCAGAGGCAGCTTTCCAAACTCAAAGTCCAGCTCGCCACCGTACTTCTTGGGAATGTTCTTAATGTCAATGAAACTCTCGAGCGTGGGCTTGACCTCGTGCGCGCTCAAGATGAAGATTTTGGACACGGTGATGGGATCGAACCACCTCTTGATCCACCCCCAGACGGTACCGAAGAACATGGGCGCACCAATGATGAAGATGCGGTCCAATGTTTCTGGGTAATATGCTGTTGCGAGCTGCGATGCAGACTGCATATGCGACTTGAGATTCCAAAACTGCTTCAGCCCCACGCCCGAGATGTCTACAACGTTGTTACACATGGTGATGGGCACTTCGGGGTACTGCCTGTCCTTGAGCTGTGTGCAGAGGGGCTGGTTGAAGCGCGTCAGGTTCTCGTAGAGGGAGAAGAGGCGAAGCATCCCCGAGGGCGTTTTCCCGTCGGTTTTCGCATCGGAGAAGGTCTGGTTGCCGAGGCGCTCGTATTCAGAGACGGTTTTGGCGTCAAGGGGCTTGACCTCGTAGACGTAGACGGGGATGCCGCGGCGGTCACGACGACCAGTCCATTGAGGGTACTTTAAGGTTTGTTAGTACGCGTATACGGATGGCCAAGGCCTCGACGTCGGGATGGATGATTACCAAGCGCCTGCTTTGTTCGTAGGCATCAATCTCGATGGTGCGGTACAGAACATCAATGTCGTTGGCGACACGCCAATCCTCAGTTTCTTTGAATTGCGTAAAGGCATCTTCAGGGACCCATCGACGGGCACGGAGGAAGCGCCTATACAACGTCAGTCAACGTCTGGGTCTTTCACGCGCGCGCAGGGGGCTGGCTGCGTACAACAACGTGGGGTCGTCATGCGAGGCGGGGGGACCGGGTTTCCAGTATCCTCTCTCCTCCAGAAGAGCTCTGAATTTGTTGAGCGCCTCCTCTTCGCTCTGCGTCAAGTGACCCAGGTGGCCATTGGGGTAGGACTGCGCCTGCACGGCGGATGGGTCATCGGACGGGTGCACCGGGTCGGCGATGGCGTCGCTGCTCATGTTGAGGGACGGGTGATGAGTGAGCTCGTCTTCTGGCGCGTTGTTCGTCGAGGGTACGGGGTGGTAAGAGAAAGGGAGGGCGAGGCGACTGGAAGTAGACTGGAAGGACAGGAAAATTGGGAGGATTGACGTTGGTTCCGGTCTCAGGGACCCGCGTTGTCAGCACGGAAGGAAACTTTAATCATGTCGGACTTCGGGGTTTTATCAGTTGAGAAGGCGAGACGAAAAGGGAACTCGCTCTCTCGAGTGCTCCACTGATGTGCGCCCGTGATTGCTGATTCTTCAGGTCCGGGATTGTCGGCTCCATCTCCGCACATTTATCCTGGTGACCTCGTGTTTTTTACTCGTGACTCTATGGCAAACTTCTCCTCGTCTCCTTCATATTCTATTCGCACGAACTCTACTCTCAGCTTCTCACAGCTCCCACCGCGAGTCGGTCTGATGCCCTGCTGCATGGGGAGGCTTGAGTCGTGACGTCGTCCAGTCCATGCCGTGTCGGACAACGGACTTGGCACGTACTCCGTCCGATTTGCAGCGATGAGAGTCAAGATCATGCGTGATCCTACATTGGCAAGACAGAGTAAATCCGAAGAGCGATGACTGACGTCAGGCCAAAGTTAAATCCCTTTGCTATACTTCACATCAAATAACAGTGCCCTGAGCAGCGTACGGTGTTGGGTGCATGTTTTTGAGAGCGGCCAATCTGCTACCGGTAGTCCACGACTGGACTCGAAGCATCAGCGTCGCCCAGGGCTGATAGGTACCATCGTCCAGCCCTACCCTCTGGTGAGAGATCACCTATCGGTACTCACTAATCATATATAATTACTACGTACACATATGCATGCTATAGTTATCAGATCCGCGCTACCGACGCAGGATCGTAAACCTTATCTGTGCATCACTGCGTCTCGACTCTTGGGCCTTGGTAAGGTACCTGGTGAAAATACCCAACAACCAGCGGAGTGAAGGATGCTTACAAGTTGTCCACGATTCAATTTTCACAACGTGAGAAACAAAATCCCTGCTGATCGGTCACGAAGGCGCTGTTGAATGTCGTTCATAGTAGTAATTTTCCTCGCCGAGCAAGCTCAAGCTCCCGCTTCAATGGAGCCCATCTTCCGGTGAGATCATTCGGTGCGCTCGTGGTGCGAGCATCTCCCTTGATTCCTTGGCTCACCCTGCGCCTACTTGAGCGTTCGAACAGCTCTTGTGCCATAAAGTCTCGCTGACCTTGGCATCGACAAACGGTATCCCGAAGAAGTATCGCTGCGCGACCCCCACTGCGCCGGCCTCGCACTCTGGAGTCTGAACCGAGGTTGCACTGGGCTCCACTCCGACCGAATGCATGCTGCCGAGTGCCACGCGCAAACATCCAGTCTTCTCCCGTTCTATCAAACGAATTCAAGTCGTCTTTTCTCATTAATCACTCTCTTCACCCCCAGCACAGGCAACGGAGACATGGCCCCATCACTGGTCGAACAGGTCTCTGTGGACAGATTGGGTCCTAATGAGTTCGTCTCCAAAGCACTGCCTGTCCACATGGGCAACGCATCGCCCATGGCGTACGGTGGATGCGCCCTCGCAATCGCCATGAGCGCTGCGTATGCCACCGTGCCCGAGTCGCTTGTCCCGTATTCCATGATGGGCCACTTCCTCGGGCCCGCGTCCACAGACCGCAAGTTGTACGCTTCAGTCACGCAGACGCGGAACACCAGATCCTTTGCCACCCGGCGCGTGGAGATCAAGCAGAAGCTGGACAACGGCAACTTTCGAAGCTGCCTAGAGGCCATGATCGATTTCCAAATACGTGAGCCTTCCCTGTTCGACTACTCCACACCTACCTGGGATCGATGGCCGAAGCCAGACGATTGTCCTACACTTCTGTCCCACGCCGAGAGCCTCAAAGCGCGAGGTCTCGCCACACAGCAGGAAGCCGATCACTTTGCCAAGACATTCAGCGCAAACGCCGAGCTGTTCGAATCGAGATACTGCACAAACGGCGTGTCTGGGCAGAACCTGGGAGGTGTCGCGAAACATGCCCCCACGATGCAAGACAACCTGCCCATTACGTCCAGGTTCTCGGCGGAGTGGCAGCGCGCACTTTGCGAGCTCAAGACGCCGGCTGAGAATTTCGCCGCCTTGGCCTTTCTGATGGATGCGGCTCTTTCCTTCTTGCCGCTCACATTTATGAACATGTTCCTCGACGACGTCGGTGCGTGCGCGAGTCTGGACTTTGCGTTGCGCATGTTCGTCGGAGACCTGAAAATGGAGGACTGGCTCTTGAAGGAGAGGTCCACCTCCAGGGGTGGTGAGGGTAGGACGTACAGCGAAGGGAGGTTGTTTGATGAGCGTGGGCAGATGGTCGCTTCAATGACACAGCAGAGTATCATGAGGGCGAAGCCGGCTCCGAAAAAGTCAAAGATTTAGAGAATACCATGATGGAAGTGGAAGAGAGGAAGCATGTATGCATACATATTAGACGTGATCAGCAGCCAATAGCCCAATGTATCACTTTGACAGGTACACCTAGAGGATGCAGCGCGTCCAGCTGCATGATCGTTCTGCAAGCCACAGTTCCTACTCACTTGTTACAGGTATACTTGTAAGTACCTTTCACTATGGAGCCACACAATAGGACTTGCTCCTAGTTCTAAGTCTCAACCCAATAATCACACGCACAAGCTAGACGTTCTCTTACTGCAGTGAAGCTCGCGGCCTCGATCACGAAAGCGATCAGGGCAAAAGATATCTCGTTCTGTTTGCAGAGAGCAAGTACATCAAAGATTTGGTCTCTGAGGTGGAGTCTTTGTCTTAGAGTCGCGATCTATACAGTCATGCGACTTGCACTTGTCTCTGAGCAGCGAACACTCCCCTTTCGCGATTTGAAATAGGCACTGTTGCTACTGCGGGTCTTTTTTTTAACAGAAAGTCAAAGAGACTCAATGCCAACATTCGAGTCATGTATACACGCGTTTATTCAAGCACTCCTTGCAATATCTTGTTGAAGTTGAACGGTCATCATGTTTCATGACTGATGTACTTTTATAGCAGTGGTACTCGTGTATGTAAAGGGCCAAGGCGCGAAAGGTGCCTGTTGAAATGCCACGTGGGTAGAATGGAACCCGGACGCCGGACCACAGTCCCACTGCTTCCGCCAGGGCTCGGCCGCGCCAATTACCAACAAGGCACGTACCGAACAAGTGAAACACGTCGATCTGCTGGCTGACAATTCCATCCCAAGGTAATGACTGGACCAGTGAGTTCATCCGAGCAAGCCCCTTGCGCGCGCGCGGCTCCCGCCTACAAATGTACATCTGAAACTTGGCATCAAGAAATGAAAAGGCTCCTGAGAATTGATACATATTTGATAGCATCTGCTAATTACATGTCGTTTCCACAACCCGGCCTCTGAGTCTACATTTATGTAGTGGGGTTGGCGCTCCTAGGATACTCGCGAATCCGCCTGTTGGCTTGGCCCGGCCCCCAGCGGGAATTCTGCAGGATTCGTGGTCACAAAACACGACCTGCTAATTAATTCTGCAGGATTATGTGGTAGCATTGTTCCAATTTCTGGCCGTGAGTTTCTCACAGCCTGCTGACTGTTCGTTATTCGTTGACGGCTCCTGATCTGCAGCTGGCCAGCCTGGCATGCTGATGTCTGTAATGAGTCACTTTGGAAGAGTGGGCGGGCCATCCCGAACGCGCCAGACCGAGTCAGACCGTCAGACGGGTCGCGGACTGGTTGCAGGCATCGGCTGTTGGACTCCGCCGCGATGTGGCGTCGAAAATCTCATGAGAATGATGAGACTAGAGGGCAATTCCCGAAGGTTTCCGTACATGTACATTACCTTACACGATTCTTCGTTGCCCTTTGTTGAAGACGTGGCTTGCAATTTGTGTCAATCACTTCTACGTACGGAGTAGTACGCAGCTAGGTTACAGCAGACTACCCTGCGGCCACGCTCAATCACCACCTTCGGAGATCAACACACTCGCCAACGTTTTTAATTACATCCTATTCAATAGGAATCAAATACTAGTCTAAAATCTAAATTCTTACTGAGGTTGCAGAATCAATGTGATGCAAGGGGCTTGGTCCGGGCACATCTGACTAAACTACATGAGCATTGTCGCAACAAAAATGTACATATTGAGCAACGCGTGTAGTTATTATCGGCAAAGCACTCAGAATCCGTGATGTCTACCCGGACCTCCACTACAGCCTCGCTAACTAGGAAATACATATATACGGAGTAGTGCCTACAATGTTCTTAAGAGTGGCTCCCATGCAAGAATTAGCAGCAGGTCGAGCCTGATCGATCATGGCTAAACACAGGGTTCGCAAAGGTTTCTTACACAACCTCCGACGGGGAGAATGCTCCAAAGAAAGGTTTGATGCTAACACTAAGGATGCACACATGGAGGGCTGCTGCAGAATGAAAGGATGAGCCCATTCCTCCTCTTCATTTACACCCACGGTTCCATCAACAACACTCTGGTTCTACATTTAGTTATAGACCGCCTGATCGGCTAAACGGACGCTGGACGCACAGATCGGGGTCTGTTAGTTACATTAATAATATGTAGGCTTGCCTGCCCCCTGCATGCGTAATGCATTCTCTGGATGGAGCACGACGAGAGACGCGTCTGGGGAGTTGGCATCGCGTGTATTTTGAGGCTATCATGACGTCGTTGGAGCAGCTGCTTCCTCGAATTTCGAAGGAGCATGCGACGCACCGTACCGGGTTAGCGTGGGATTGCGACCCTGGGAGCCCGGGCCTTGTGGGGGGCGGGGGATTAGCATCTCACTGACTCGGAGCCTTGTTGGACTCAGTCTGGCAGCTCTGGCAGCTCTGGCTGGCTGCTGAGGAGTGCAGATACGTGCTCCTCAGTCAGTTGTGTAAGATGGAGCTACGTACATTCGGGGCTTCAACTAGTCGACCCCACTATCCGGGTGTACACCGGTGGGAGACGGGACCGACGCACTTGATCCACGTCTTCAGTGATCCCTCACATTCAGCTCACCTGCCTGTGGGTCAATGCCTTTGGCTCTTGGTACCTCGTTTAAGGAAAGATAGAGGGTCATCTATCTCGTACTCTCTGGTGCAATGTCGAACAAGTGCTATTGACATGTACACAGTTGGAGGTGTCTTCAAGTTCCGTCCGTGGTGGGGTCTCAAATTACCAGCGAGTACCGGGGCTCTGCCACCAGGCACACAGACGTTGACCTCCACCTCCAACCGCGCCTGACTGTACCATCGCGCGTTCTCAATCCTTCCGCGAGACTACGGCTAGTGCAACATCACGCAGCTCCAACATGGTCAGCCTTACAACTTCACCAGCTTACTTGCACCCACACCCCCTCGGGCCCCTGCTCACTGTCAAAGTGGCCGAAGCTGCGCCCGAGACTATCATGCACTCGATATCGAGCCCCAATTGGCAATCTGCTCTCACGCAGCGATGGTGCTCGCCGAAAGACCCTGGTCTCTCACGTTGAGCTTCGTGTCGGATCATGGGTCCCACCGTTGATCGAGATTCCTTCACACATCCAACATGGATGCACATGCTGGTGCCGAAGGACACGCCCTTTTGAGCGTGGCTATCGAGGATCCGCAATCAGCCATCGTGCAAGCTCGATAAACCTAGCATTTGCATGCGTAGATCTCGAGACCCTCAACCTCTCATCATCGCCTTTGTTCGAGCTCACGATACCCTTCCCAATAGCAAGAGACGACACTGCTCGTCTCCTCGTTGTAACAGCACAGCAGCGAGTCTGCATACGGATAGTCGACTTTGAGTTGCTTGGCGCCCTACGACCATTATCACAAAGTTCGATTCAGTCGCCCCCATCCGATAGAAACCCATTTCATGTACTTTACTTTACAACCTACGAATTCGAAAGAAGAAACCGCAGTCATGGAGCGCAACATGACGACCGCGAAACCCGCCGACAGACTGCCAATTGACCCCGTCCAGCAGTCCCTCGAATGGAACAACCAGTTCCCCGAGATTGTTGACACCACCATTCACCAATTGATCGAAGCCCAAGCAGAGGCTCGGCCAGACGCTGTAGCTATCCGCGCTTGGGATCGCGAGCTGACTTACAGCGAGCTCGACCGCGCCGCCAACCGCCTAGCAAACTACTTGGTTAGCCAACTGAAGGTGCAGCTCGAGGAGATTGTTCACGTGTGCTTTGAGAAGACAGCGTGGTACTTTGTAGCCATCTTGGCCATCAACAAGGCCGGTGCCGTTTGGGCCCCGCTCGATCCCTCACATCCTCCTCAGCGCTGCCAGCAAATCATATCGCAAACCAGAGCGCGAATCATTCTCTCATCACCGAGCAATGCTGAGCTGTGCGGCAGCCTTGTCGACACCGTGGTCGAGGTCACGCCGCGGTTCGATGTTCAACTGAAGCGCGATGCGAGCGCCAGCGAGACAGGACCGGACTCTGGAGTCGGGCCCAGGAACGCAGCGTACGTTCTATTCACAAGTGGCAGTACAGGAACGCCAAAGGGCTTCGTGATGGAACACGGGTCGGTGTGCACCAGTCAGACAGCCATTGGACGCCGCCTAGGCTTGTCGTCCGACGTACGGATACTTCAGTTTGCGACCTTTGTCTTTGATCTCTCTATTGGTGAGATCATTGGACCACTCATCTTCGGTGCCACCTTGTGTGTGCCATCCGACGAGACCCGTATGAACGGGCTCCCCCAGTTCATTCACGACCAGAATATCAACTGGGCCTATTTGACCCCGGCATTCACACGCACGCTCAACCCAGATGACTTTCCTGGGCTCGAACTGTTGCTGCTTGCAGGCGAAGCTGTCGGAAGAGACGTCCTGGAGACGTGGTTCGGCAAGGTTCGCCTAATCAACGGTTGGGGCCCAGCAGAGACCTGTGTGTTCTCGACCTTACATGAATGGAAGTCAGCCGCCGAGTCCCCGTTGACCGTGGGCACGCCCATAGGTGGACTGTGCTGGATCGTTGACCCAGAAGACCCTTCAAAGCTGAGCCCTATTGGTGCTGAGGGTGAGGTCATGATCCAGGGCCCTACCATTACACGTGAGTATCTCGCGGATCAGGAAAAGACCGAAAAGTCTGTGGTCCGAACACTGCCTTCTTGGGCCCCCAAGCGCGACTCGCCGTATTACAACAGGTTCTACAAGTCTGGCGACTTGGCAATCTATAACGAGGATGGAACGATCAAGTTCGCCAGCCGCAAGGATACGCAGGTCAAGATCCGTGGCTTGCGCGTTGAGTTGGGCGAGGTTGAGCACCACGTGCGGACGAGATTGCAAGGCGCCCGCCAGGTGATTGTGGACGTGCTCAAGTCTGAGAGGAGCGCAACTCTGGTGGCCTACTTTTGTTTCAGCGAAGATACCCGACCCAGCGCCACCATGTATGATACGACCAACGACGACAATGCCATTTTCCTACCGATCGATGCCGACCTCGAGACACAAATCACTGCCATGACCCACGAAATCAGCTCGATGCTCCCGAACTACATGATTCCCACTCTCTTCATCCCTTGCCGCTACATGCCTCTGATCACCTCCACCAAGGTTGATCGCAAGGGCCTTCAGGCCAAGACGGCCAGCCTCAGCCAGCAGGATCTGGCTGCTTATTCGCTTCAAAGCGCTGACAAGACTCCACCACAAACCCCCATGGAGTTCCGTCTCCGGAAGATCTGGGCGCAGATCCTGATGCTGGATGCAGACACGATTGGGCGCGATGATAACTTTGTTCGGTTCGGTGGAGATTCGATTGCTGGTATACGCTTGGTGAACACGGCGCGGGCTGAAGGGATCCTCCTCCAGGTGAAGAAGATCTTTGACGATCCGCGCTTGTCCGTCATGGCGGCTACTGCCGTCGAGCTCGACGCCGCGAACCTGGCGGATGGTGAAATCGGCCCCTTTAGTCTCATCTCCCCTGATCTTCGGGACAGTGTCACAAGCGTGGAAGTCTACAAGCAGTGCCGTCTCGGCAAGGAGCACATTATTGAAGATGCCTATCCCTGCTCGCCGCTTCAGGAGGGACTCATGGCTTTGGCATTGAAGAACCCGGGCTCCTACATCGCCAAGTGGATCTACAGACTCCAGCCGGAAACCGATGTTGCCCGTTTCAAGCTTGCATGGGAGAAGACGGTCGAAGCATGCACCAACCTACGAACGCGTATAGTTCATCTACAGGGCGCGACCACACAGATCGTCATCAAGAACGACTTTTCATGGGAGCCGACCAACGGCATGAAGCTCAAGGAGTTTGTGAAATCGACCGAAACGATCACCATGGGATACGGCTCGCGCTTGAATCGTCACGCTCTCGTCCAAGGCCCCGGAGGAGCGACATATTTCATCTGGATCGGGCACCATACCGTGTACGATGGCTGGACCATCCGTCTCATGCTCGGTACGATGCAGGACATGTACCAGGACACATCGTCAGTGAGCCTCGCCCCGTACCCGGGCTTCGCTCAGTATGTTCACAATCTGGATGACGATGAAATGTCCGACTATTGGCGGTCCCAGCTTCAAGGCGCAAACAGGGCTGCTTTCCCCCCGAACCCTCGTGCCTCGGACGACGCCGATCCCAACGAGCTCACCAAATCATACAGCAAGAAGATTGCCTTTGCTGATCTGGAAGATATGTCTGTGACCAAGGCTACCATTTTGCGAGCCGCCTGGGCCATGCTCATCGGCCGCTACTCTGACTCCGACGACGTGTGCTTCGGTTCGACTGTATCTGGCAGACAGGCACCGGTCAATGGAATCGAGACCATGCCCGGCCCAGCTATTGCTACCGTACCTGTCCGCATCCGCTTTGATCAGGACGACTCCACGCTCAACTTCCTTCTCAACGTACAGGAGCAGTCTCTGGATATGATCGCCTATGAGCAGTACGGTTTACAGAACATCGCGAAGGTCAGTGCTGATGCACGCGATGCCTGTAACTTCTCTAGTCTGCTGGTGCTCCAGCCCATGAAGTATCTCACAGGTATGGCGGAAGACCTGGTTCAACAAAGCAGCGACGAGGGGGAGTCCATCGAAGAACTTCCAGAGGGATACTTCAACTACCCTCTCGTTGCTCAGGCTTACGTCTACGATGACTACATTAACCTCGTCTTCACCTACAAGTCCGATGTTCTGACCGAGTCCGACCTGTACGGTCTCGCCAATCAGTATGATAATATCGTGCAGCAGCTGTCTGTTCAGCGCGATACCCCTCTGGCTGCTGTGGATATGGCCAGCCGCTTTGACCTCGAAAAGGCTATCGAGTTCAACCCCGAGGCCCCTCAGGTCGTGGACTCGTGTGTCCACCTCCTGATCGAGGACCAGGCCCGAACGCGACCTGACGCGCCAGCCATTGTAGGCTGGGACCAAGAATTCACCTACGCCGAATTGAACGCGGCCGCCAACAGACTTGCCCACTATATCCAGAGAAGCTTTGGTGTGCAGACTGGCGACCTTGTGCACGTGTGCTTCGAGAAGTCTGCGTGGCATTTCGTGGCTATTCTAGCCATCAACAAGGCTGGCGCCGCTTGGGTCCCGCTCGATCCAGGCCATCCGGCCCAGCGTCAACAACAAGTTGTCTCTCAGACTCGTGCCAAGCTGGCCTTGGCATCCAAGCTTCACGGCGTAGTATGTGAAGGCTTCCTCGAGTCGGTCCTTGAGGTCTCCCCTGAGCTAAACGCCAAATTGGACACGAAGTATCCCGACACTGCCTTACAGGCTCCCAAAACCACCGTCACGCCCCGTGATGCGGCGTACGTGCTGTTCACCTCAGGTTCAACAGGCACACCCAAGGGTCTCGTTATGGAGCACGGGTCCGTCTGCAGCAGTCAGACTGCAATCGGCCGCAGGCTGCGTATCACGCCCGAGGTCAGGATGTTGCAGTTCGCGGCCTTTGTTTTCGACTTGTCCATTGGAGAAATCTTCGGCCCGTTGATCCACGGCGGTTCCGTTGTGATTCCCTCTGATGAAACCCGAATGAACGGAATCAAGGAATTTATCAACGAGAAGAAGGTTAACTGGTCATACCTGACGCCTTCATTCGCACGTACCTTGTCTCCTCAGGATGTCCCTTCGCTCGAGTTGCTTCTCTTCGCCGGTGAAGCTGTTCCTCACGATGTCTTCCAGAAGTGGGTTGGTTCTATTCGCTTGATCAATGGTTGGGGACCTGCAGAGACCTGCTGTTTTAGCACGCTCCACGAGTGGCAGAGCGCAGATGAGTCGCCATTGAACATTGGCCGGCCCGTTGGCGCGTTCTGCTGGATCGTGGACCCCAAAGACCCCCAGAAGATTGCCCCCTTCGGGACCTTGGGTGAGGTCATGTTGCAGGGCCCGACTCTTCTTCGCGAATATCTGGCCGACCCTCAGAAGACCGACGCAGCTTCGGTCACCTCGTTGCCGGACTGGACGCCGCTGCGCAATCAATTCAAGCGCTTCTTCAAGTCGGGCGATCTCTGCTCGTACAACGCTGACGGCACGATAGAGTTCTCTTCTCGTAAGGACACCCAAGTCAAGATCCGCGGTCTCCGTGTCGAACTTGGTGAAGTTGAACACCATATCCGCGAGAAACTTGCTGGTGCAAAGCAGGTTGCCGTGGATGTGTTCAGAACCGAAGCTGGCGCCAACTTGGTGACCTACTTCTCCTTCAACGACGACACGAAGACGGCGATCGGCTCGGAAGAGAAGGTCTTCTTGCCCTTGGACAAGGACTTGCAGAATCAGCTTAGTAGTATGGTGAGCGAGTTGAGCATCACGCTGCCCCGCTACATGATTCCGACCTTGTTTATCAATTGCGAGTTCATGCCATTCATCACCTCGACCAAGCTTGACAGAAAGGGTCTGCAACAGCGTCTCAATGGGTTGAGCAAGGAAGACTTGGCGTCCTATTCGCTCGTCAACAGCGAAAAGCGTGCCCCAGAGACGGAGATGGAGATCCGCATGCAACAGATGTGGGCAGAGAAGCTGAACCAAGCACCTGAAGGCATTGGCCGGGACGATAGCTTCTTGGCTATCGGCGGTGACTCAATCGCTGCCATCTACCTGGTCACTGCTCTTCGGGAGCAAGGTCTTTTGCTTACCGTGAAGGACATCTTTGACGACCCTCGCCTGGCCTCTGTGGCCGCTAAATGCCAGGTTGCCGATGAGGACACTCCTGACTTTACCAACGTGCCACCTTTCAGCCTTCTCGAGCAGGCTCTAGCTGATAACGTGGCCGAAGCCGCCCGCAAGCAATGTGGCCTCGCCAGCAACCAGCGTGTTGAGGACGCGTACACATGTACAGCCCTGCAGGAAGGTCTCATGGCCTTGTCACTGAAGCAGCCCGGATCCTACATCGCCAAGTGGGTGTACAAACTTGGCGAGAACACGGAAGTTGAGGCCTTCAGAAAGGCCTGGGAGCTCACTGTTAAGGCTTGCCCTAATCTCCGCACACGCATGATTCAGGTTCTCGGTGCCACAGTGCAGGCAGTGGTGACTGATGATGTGGCCTGGGAGTCTACGGAGGGGGTGGACCTGAAGACCTTCCTCGCCAACGCCCAAGCTATGCAGATGACCTTTGGCGATCGGCTTAGCCGTTATGGAGTTGTTCAAGGGGACGACGGCGGCCATTACTTTGTCTGGATTGCCCACCACGCCATCTACGATGGCTGGACGATGCGTTTGATGCTGAGCACCCTTGCCGACCTCTATCAAGGGTTCGAGACATTGGCCTTGAAGCCTTATGCCTCCTTCATCAAATATGTCAAGTCCATGGACACCGAAGCCGCTAAGAAGTACTGGTCTCAGCAGCTTGATGATGCAAAGAAGGCCAGCTTTCCTCCCACCGCCAAATCCGGCTCCAAGAAGGACAAGGTCACTCGAATCATGCGGACACACATCGAGTTCCCCGAGACGACAGGCTCGTCGGTCACCAAGGCCACCCTCATTCGTGCCGCTTGGGCTGTCGTTCTAGGTAGGTATTGCAACATGGACGACATCACCTTCGGCACGACCGTGTCTGGCCGTCAAGCCCCTGTACCAGACATTGGCGAGATGCCTGGCCCGATGGTGGCCACGATTCCTGTTCGCGTTCGTCTCAACGCCAAGCAGCCTGTTTCCGACTTTTTGAAGAACATTCAAAGCCAAGCATCCGAAATGATTACGTACGAGCAGTTTGGCATGCAAAATATTGCCAAGATCAGCCCCGATGCACAGGACGCTTGCGACTTTAGCAGCCTGTTGGTCGTGCAGCCCTTCCAGCAGATGGCAGCAGTTGGCGCACATTCCGATGCCGTCCTTGAAATGGACTCATCCGTCAAGAATGGTACCGAGGATACCCTCGAAGGCTACTTCAGCTATCCGCTTGTGGTCCAGGGCGAGGTGTCTGACAGCCACGTCGACCTTGTGCTTACCTACGATTCCGAGATCCTTGAGGAGTCGCAGATGACCCGCCTCTCCCACCAATTCGACCACGTCGTCCAGGCCTTGTCTGCACAGGACGAGCGCCCTCTCGGCGATGTATCTGTGGCGTCAGCCGAAGACCTTCAGCAAGCTCTGAAGTACAACCCTGAGACACCGGAAATCGTGGACTCCACTTTGCATGAGCTTATTGCCCAGCAGGCAGAGATCCGCCCTGATGCCGTTGCCATCAGCGCCTGGGACTTGGAGTTGACGTACAAAGACTTTAACGCGTCTGCCAACCGTCTGGCGCACCATCTGGTTGGCCTTGGCGTCAAGTCCGGCGATCTCGTGCACGTCTGTTTCGAGAAGTCTGCCTGGCACTTTATCTCCATCCTCGCTATCATGAAAGCCGGCGCAGCTTGGGTGCCCTTGGACCCTGGCCACCCAGCCCAACGCCAGCAACAGGTTGTGAAGCAGACTGGCGCTACCTTGGCTCTTGCCAGTCCTGCTAATGTCGCTTTGTGCGAGGGACTACTGGAGAAGGTCCTTGAGGTCACACCGGAGCTTGATGCTACCCTTTCAGAGAACCACGAACTGAGCGTCAGCGCTCCCCAGACCGACGTCAACCATCGCAACGCTGCCTATGTGTTGTTCACCTCAGGAAGTACTGGCACACCCAAGGGTCTTGTTATGGAGCATGGGTCCGTTTGCACGTCCGCTCGTGCTATTGGCAAGAGACTGAACCTTACCGCTGATGTGCGCATGCTTCAATTCGCAGCGTTTGTCTTTGATCTTTCGATCGGTGAGATTTTCGGTCCCCTGACGCATGGAGGAAGCCTCTGTATTCCTTCTGACCAGGACCGTCTTAACAACCTGCCCGGCTTCATTCGCGACAGACAACTCAACTGGGCCTATCTGACCCCTGCATTCGCCCGAACCATCAGCCCAAAGGACCTGCCGTCACTTGAATTGCTCCTCTTCGCCGGCGAAGCTGTGGGCCGTGACGTGTTTGAGCAGTGGGTAGGCAAGGTCCGTCTTATCAACGGTTGGGGCCCGGCCGAGACTTGTTGTTTTTCGACCTTGCACGAGTGGAAGTCTATCGAGGAGTCGCCTCTCACAGTCGGTCGTCCCGTTGGCGGTTACTGCTGGGTGGTTGATCCAGAGGACCCGAGCAAGCTGGCTCCAATCGGCACCAGCGGCGAAGTCGTGATCCAGGGACCAACGCTGTTGAGGGAATACCTCGCAGACCCTGAGAAGACCAAGGCCGCGATTGTGCCCACCCTCCCGGACTGGGCTCCTCGCCCCGACGAAGCACACTGGAACCGGTTTTACAAGTCCGGTGACTTGTGTACCTACAATTCCGACGGGACTATCGAATTCGCTTCTCGCAAGGATACACAGGTCAAGATTCGTGGTCTCCGTGTCGAGCTTGGAGAAGTCGAATACCACGTGCGTAGCTCGCTCAAGGGTGTCAAGCAGACCGCGGTCGATGTTTTCAAGACCGATGCTGGTGCGACGCTTGTGGCTTATTTCTGTTATAACGAGGAAACTCGCCAGGCCGGAGCCACAAACGACGTATTTGCCCCGTTGACCAAGGAGGTACAGGGCCAGGTGACGGAGATGATCGGACAGTTGAGCGTGTCACTTCCCCGTTACATGATTCCCACGCTTTTCATTCCTTGTTCTTATATGCCTGTCATCACCTCGACCAAGTTGGATCGCAACAAGCTGAAGGCTTTCACAGCTGCCCTCTCGGATCAGAAGCTCGCACAGTATGCCCTTGATGATGCCGAGAAACGCGCCCCTGAAACGGACATGGAGAAGCGGTTGGTCGAGCTGTGGGCAACGATCCTCAAGAAGCCCGTTTCAGCCATTGGTCGCGACGATAACTTCCTGCGCATTGGCGGAGACTCAATTGCTGCCATGCAGCTCGTGGCCCAGGCTCGAGAGTCTGGACTTGGCTTGACGGTTAAGGACATCTTTGACGACGCTCGCTTGTCTGCTGTTGCTCTCAAGGCTGTGGAATTGGATGGCGAGGTAATTCATGGCCAAATCAAGCCGTTCAGCCTGCTGAGCGATGCTCAACGCAGCGCCGTCATGGACGAGACCACCAGTGAGAAATGTGACTTGACGTCTTCGCAGGAGGTCGTGGATGCTTATCCCTGTACTGCCCTTCAGTCAGGCCTCATGGCCCTGACTATGCAGACACCCAGCGCCTATGTCGTCAAGCACGTGTATAAAATCGCCGAGTTGGCCGACATTTCGCAATTCAAGGCTGCTTGGGAAGAGACCAGCCGTACCTGCGAAAACTTGCGTACACGCATCGTTGCTATTGACGACACGCCCCTTCAAATCGTCCTGAACGATGACATTGCTTGGGAAGACACCCATGGCATGGGGATCGATGAGTACATGTCATCCACCAAAGCCATTACCATGACATACGGATCCCGGCTTGCGCGGTTTGCCATCGTCAAGGACGGCGAAGAGCACTACTTTGTGCAGATCTTCCACCATTCAGTCTTCGACGGCTGGTCGCGAGGCATCCTCCTTGATGTCCTTCAGTCCCATTATCTCGAGGAACCCCTCCCAAGCTTGATCTCTTATGTCAACTTCATCAAGCACGTCACCCAGCTAGACGAGAAGGTTGCTGCCGGTTATTGGAAGGACCAGCTGGAGAACTCCAAGGCCTCCGTGTTCCCTGAACTGCCCACCGACGAATCGCACAAGTACGTGACGCGCAGCTTCTCGAAGCGCGTGACGATCCCCGACACCGCCACCGCTACAGTGACCCGTGCTTCAGTCATCCGTGCCGCCTGGGCCTTCGTCCTTGCCCGCTACAGCGAGACGGAGGACATTGTGTTCGGTGCCACCGTGTCTGGACGCAACGCACCTGTCCCTGGTCTTGAGTCTGCACCAGGACCTGCAATCGCAACGGTGCCTGTTCGTGTACAGATTGATACCTCTCAGGCGATTCCCGACTTCCTTCAAGGAATCCAGAGCCAAGCCCTCGAGATGACATCCTACGAGCAGTATGGACTCCGCAAAATCACTCGACTCAGCCAAGACATCAAGGACAGCTGCAACTTCAGCAGTCTCATCGCTGTGCAGCCTGCTGACCAGGACATTATTGCCAACAATGAACTCCTTTCCTTCGCTGAAGAGAAGATCGGTGATGCTATGGACAGCTACTTCAACTACCCACTAGTCTTGGAGGCCTTCCTGGAGGAGGAGTCCATCAACCTCCACATGACATACGATGCTTCGGTCGTTAGCGAGCACAGGCTCGAGGCTCTCAGCAACCACATGGACCATGTCATTCAGCAATTCTTCACACAGGACACGCCTCTGGGTGAGGTCACTCTTACCGGACCCTGGGACATGCAACTACTCAAGGAGTGGAACTCGGAATCGCATCCCATCATCGAGTCCACCGTTCCCGAAATCATTGCCCGCAAGGCCGCCGAGGTTCCTGACGAGGAAGCCATCTTCTCTACAGAAGCGTCGTTGTCGTATGCTCGTTTTGAAGAACTCACCGCAAACTTCGCAGCATATCTTTCTTCCCTTGGCGTTCGCCGGGGTACCTATGTGCCCTTCTGTATGGAGAAATCAGCCTGGGCTATAGTCGCCCTCATCGGTATCCTGAAGGCCGGTGGTTGCTACATTGCCCAGGATCCCGCGCACCCTCGAGCTCGCCGACAAGAGATCATCGACCAGATCGATGCCAAGTACCTCGTCGTGTCGCCCGAAATTGCCGGCGAGTGTACTGGCATGACACAGAACGTGGTTGTCATCACCCGGGAGATGATCGAACAGCTGCCTGCCGGTACACACGACAAGCCTAGACCAGAGGATCCCGCCTACGTACTCTTCACATCCGGATCGACTGGCAAGCCGAAAGGTATCGTTGTCGGTCACGGTGCTTGCTGCACCTCTATCGTCGGCCAGGTGAAGATCTGCGAGGTCGACATCGATGGGCCGCCCCGTTTCTTGCAATTCGGAAGCTTCGTTTTCGACTCTTCCATCACCGAGATCTTCCTGACCTTGTCTTCGGGTGGCGCTGTGACTGTTCCTGTAGGGAACGAGCGCTTGCAGGGTGCCCCCGAGTTCATCAGGCGTTCTCGCACTACCGCAGCCATTCTGACGCCTACCTTTGCCCGCACGTTCGGGCCCGAGGATGTGCCTAGGTTCAAGAGCCTGTTCCTTGGTGGCGAAGCTCCCGGCCGCGACAATCTCGAAACATGGTTCGGACACGTCAAGTTGATCAATGCCTATGGCCCTGCCGAGATCGTTGTGATGTGCGCTGGTCACACGTACCAGTCCGCCGAAGAGGCCGCTACAATTATCGGCCGACCACGCGCGCACACAAACTGGATTGTCGAGCCTGATAACCACAACCGTCTGACCCCAGTTGGTTGCATTGGCGAGCTGGTAGTCCAAGGCCACGCGCTTGCCAAGGGATACCTGAATAATCCCGAGAAGACCGACGAGGTGTTCCTCAATTCTGTGGAATGGATGTCTGAGTCGCTCAATGTGTCTGGGGCCTCGCAGCGTTTCTACAAGACTGGTGATCTCGTCAAGTACCTCCCCAATGGCGAGATGCAAATTCTGGGACGTCTCGATACTCAGGTCAAGGTTCGTGGCCAACGTATCGAACTTGGAGAGATCGAGTCTCGTGTCAGGAAGGCCGCCCCCGAGGTCCAACAAGTGGCTGGTGTTGTCGTGCGCTACAAGGCGCGCCAAACACTTGTCGTCGTCCTCAGCAAAGAAGGCGAGTCTTCCGACTCCGAATCTCGGTTCCTCCCGATGGACGAAGAGATGCAAAAGTTCCTTTCGAACATTGGCGCTGATCTCAAGGCATCCCTTCCTGGCTACATGGTGCCATCTATGATCGTCCCGATCCGAAAAATGCCCGTCATGGGTGCCTCGCAGAAAACTGATAGAAAGGTGCTCCAGGGCTTCATGGATGAGCTTTCTCAGGAAGAGCTCAGCTCTTTCGCACTGGGCGGCCAGAAGAAGGTTGAGCCAACAACCGAGAACGAGTTCAAGTTACGCGATGTCTGGTCCAAGATTCTTGATCTCGGCGTCGAGGAGATTGGCAAGGAAGATCAGTTCTTGCAAATCGGCGGTGACTCTATTACTGCTATTCAACTCGTCTCCATGGCTCAGCAAATCGGTCTCGGCTTGAGCATCAGCCAAATTTTCAAAGACTCGCGTCTCTCAACCCTGGCCGAAATTGCGACTCGTTCAGAACAGGCTGGACCTACCGAGATCGCTCCCTTTGCCCTCGTTGACGAGTCTCGCAAGTCCGCAATTGAGAAGCTTGTCCACAACCAGACGGGTCTGGAAAGGGTCGAGATTGAAGATGCGTACCCATGCACCTCCCTGCAAGAAGGTCTCATGGCCCTTTCGATGAAGCAGCCTGGATCCTACATTGGCAAACACATCTTCCGCCTGACAAACCATGTGGATGTAGGCCGCTTCCAACAAGCCTGGAGCCAGACTCTCGAACTTTGCGCCAACCTTCGCACTCGCATCGTGTCCGAGGGCGATTTGACTGTTCAGGCCATTCTCAAGACCGAAGCTGAATGGGAGGACTCCAAGGGATTGGGCTTGCGCAACTTCATGGATAATGTTGCGAGCCAGATTACCATGACCTACGGATCCAAGTTGTGTCGCGTGGCTCTCGTCGATGATGACAGCGTCAAGTACTTCGTCTTCATCTGCCACCACGCCATCCATGATGGTTGGTCGCTGCGCCTCGTGTTCAGCACCCTCTTCTCCATTTACACCGATGTTGAGCTCCCCGCCTTGGAAAATTTCAACCGTTTCATTGAGTATGTTGACTCGATCGATAAAAATGCTGCCCGCTCCTATTGGAAGGCTCAGCTTAAGGACGCCAAGCGAGCCACGTTCCCACCTCGTGCCCTTATGGAAGACGCCAAGGTCCGCATCGTCACGAAGATGATCGATCTTCCCAAAACTGGCAACTCGACCATTACCAAGGCTACCATTGTCCGTACTGCTTGGGCCATGGTCCTTGCGAAGTATTGCGATACTGAAGATGTGACCTTTGGCACTACCATCTCTGGTCGTCAGGCGCCACTTTCCGGCATCGCGGATATGCCTGGCCCGATGGTCGCTACCGTGCCGGTCAGGGTTCAGTTCAACCAGCAGGAGAATGCTGGGGTCCTCTTGAACAATGTGCAGAACCAGGCGGCCGAAATGGTTCCATATGAGCAATTCGGTTTGCAGAATATCTCGAAAATCAGCACTGAGGTTCAAGAAGCCTGCGACTTCTCAAGCTTGCTTGTCATTCAGCCCCTGAGCCTCGGCGCTTCGGATGACGGCGAAGCAATTTGGACCGAAGGCTCTGGCAAATTCGAAGATGAAGAATCGGTTGAAGGAACTTTCAACTACCCTCTCGTGGTTGAAGCCCACGTGGGCGAATCTCAAGTATTCATTGAGATGGCCTACAACCCTGCCAGTCTTCCCAAGGCACAAATGGAGATCATCTGCAACCAGCTCGCTCATGTCGTCCAAAGCCTCGTTTCTCATGAGGACAGGATGCTTGAGAATATTGAGGTTGCTTCTGCCGAAGATTACCAGCTCGTCGCCCAATGGAACGAGCAAATCGTCCCAGACGTAGTCGAGTCTACAATCAACGAGCTCTTTGAGACGCAAGCCCTTTCGCGACCCGATGATGTTGCAGTGCGCGCGTGGGACGCCACCCTGTCATACGGCGAGCTCTACAGCGCAGTCAACCGTCTGGCCCATTTCCTCGTCACCGATTTTGACGTACATGTCGATGACATTGTGCACGTTTGCTTCGAAAAGTCAGCCTGGTATGTCGTAGCGGTCCTGGCGATCAACAAGGTCGGCGCTGCCTGGAGTCCGCTCGATCCTTCACACCCCGAGCAACGTCACCGCCAGATTATTGATCAAACTCGCGCAACGGCCGTCCTCACATCCGCCTCCTCTCTCGATCATTGCACGCGAATGTTCCCCAAAGCTATTGCAGTCGGTCCCGAGTTGATGGCGCAGCTAACCAGCAAGGGGCTCGATGGAGAACGTGGTCCTGTCTGCAATGTCATTCCCCGACAGGCTGCCTACGTTCTGTTCACTTCTGGAAGTACTGGCGTGCCCAAGGGTGTTGTTCTTGAGCACGGCAGTGTCTGCACCTCGCAAGTTGATATCGGGAAACGTCTTGGTCTCAAACAGGGCATTCGAATGCTTCAATTCTCCGCCTTCGTGTTCGATGTCTCTGTCGGTGAGATCATCGGATCGCTTCTACACGGCGCCACGATTTGCATTCCTTCCGAGGAGGCCAGAATGAACAGTCTGCCCGATTTCATCCGCGAGATGGAGGTCCAGTGGGCCTATCTGACCCCTGCCTTTGCCCGTACCCTCAAGCCGGAAGGGCTGCCATCTCTCGAGCTTCTGCTGTTAGCTGGCGAGGCTGTTGGTCAGGACGTCTTTGACACATGGTATGGTCGTGTGCGTCTTGTCAACGGTTGGGGCCCGGCCGAGACCTGCTGCTTCAGCGCTATCCATGAATGGCAGGCCAAGGAAGAGTCTCCCCTAACAATCGGCCGACCTGTGGGTGGTTCAGGGTGGATCGTTGACCCTGAAAACCACAATCGCCTCGCACCCATTGGAACCTTGGGTGAGATTGTCATCCATGGGCCAACATTATTGCGCGAGTATTTGCGCTCGCCGGACAAGACCCAGGAGGCTGTCATCGAGGATATCCCGGCCTGGTCTCGCCACCAGTCTGGCAAGCACTGGGGTCGCTTCTATAAGACAGGTGACCTGGCGGCTTATAACGCGGACGGTACTATCCTCTTTTCTGGTCGTAAAGACACTCAGATCAAGATTCGCGGTCTTCGTGTGGAATTGGGCGAGGTCGAGCACCGCATTCTCTCCAACCTCGAGGGCGTGCAGCATGTGGTTGTCGACGCCTTCAAGAGCGAAGTCGGCGCCAACCTCGTTGCATACTTCTCATTCAGCCACGAGTCACGCCCCGCAAAGGCCACTGAGACTGTCTTCGAGCCGCTCACCGAGGAGGTCCGCGAGCATCTGAGTGCACTGCTCGGTGAGCTTGGTGTGTCCTTGCCTCGCTACATGGTGCCAACCGTGTTCATCATGTGCAGATTCATGCCGGCAGTGTCTTCCAACAAGTTGGACCGCAAAAGTCTCCGCGAAAGAACTGCTGCCCTCTCAAAGGACGATCTCAGCGCTTATTCACTGACCGACTCTGAGAAGCGTGCACCCGAGACTGAGATGGAATTCAAGCTACAGAAGACATGGGCTAAGCTGCTCGGTGTCGCCGAGGAGACTATTGGGCGGGATGATAGCTTCCTTCGCATTGGTGGTGACTCCATTGTCGCGATTCAGATGGTCACTGCCTTGCGCGACGAGAACATTCGCATCACGGTTAAGGATGTCTTTGATGACCCCCGTCTGATGGCTGTTGCACTCAAGGCACAGCAGATGGAAGGCTCCGTTGCTAAGCCCGCCGATGTCACACCTTTCAGCCTCATCAGTGCCTCGGAGAAAGAGCTTGTGGCTGGTCCTCTGGTTCGAGAGCAGTGTAACCTGTCACCTGCACAGGACATCGAGGACGCTTACCCATGCACAGCCCTACAGGCTGGGTTCATGGCCATGTCCGTCAAGCAGCCTCGTTCCTACATTGCAAAGTGGCTCTATCGTCTGTCGGACGATATCGACGTTGCCCGCTTCAAGTCGGCGTGGGAGCAGACTGTCGATCAATGTCACAACCTACGCACTCGAATTGTCAATATCAAGGGCACCACGCTCCAGACTCTCCTCACCAACGATGTCCACTGGGAAGATACACGTGGTCTGGACCTGCCGGCCTTCCAAGAAAAGATCAAGTCATTCGAGATGACCTATGGCTCGCGTCTCATGCGCTATGGTCTTGTTGAACAGTCTGACAACCAACGCTTCTTTGTCGTCGCCAGTCACCACGCTGCCTTTGATGGATGGAGCATGCGACTTCTACTGAGCACATTGGCTGACGCATACCACGCAACCAACACCTTGACGCTGCAGCCCTTCTCCGGCTTCATCCAGTACATCAATGAACTCGATCAGGAGGCAGCTGCCGTCTACTGGACTGAGCAGCTCGACAGCGCTAAGCGTGCTACTTTCCCTACGCCCAAACCTGGCAGCCAGGGCAAGGCACGGATGCTGCGCAAGGAAATGGCCGTTGCTCCGTCCTCCAACTCCTCGATCACCAAGGCATCGGTTGTGAGGGCAGCGTGGGCCATCGTTCTGGCCCGTTATTCAGAGACAGACGACATTACCTTCGGCACGTCTGTTTCCGGCCGTCAAGCCCCCGTGCCTAACATTGGCGAAATGCCTGGGCCTATGGTCGCAACTTACCCTGTGCGTCTTCGCTTGGAGAAGGAGAAGACAGTGTCACAGTTCCTTCAAGACGTGCAAACACAAGCCCTCGAGAACGTGGCCTACGAACAGTACGGTCTGCAGAACATCTCAAAGCTGAATGAGGATGCCAAGGACGCCTGCGACTTCTCGAGTCTTCTCGTAATCCAGCCGATTCAGCAGATGGCGTCAATCGGAACACACATCGACTCCATTCTTTCCATTGACGAGGCCGAGGATTCGGATGACCAGGTCGACAACTACTTCAGCTACCCCCTCGTCGTACAAGGCGAAGTTTCCGAGACGCAGATCAACTTTATGATCACCTACGACTCGGGCGTTCTTGAGGAGACACAGGTCCAAGCACTGTCTCACCACTTCTCTCATGTTGTCGAGCAGTTGCTGTCTCCCGGACAGAAGTCGGTCAGCGACATCTCTGTCGCCTCACCTTGGGACCTCCAGCGAGCCAACGAGCTTAACAACACCGCACCCGAAATCATGAACGTATGTTTCCATGAGATGTTTGAGAAACAGGCCCGCCTGCGTCCCGACGCACCCGCGGTGCATGGGTGGGACAGACACTTCACCTACAGCCTTCTGAACGGGGCTGCCAACCGCCTGTCTCACTATATCGTTCAAGAGTATGGTGTCAAGAGGCACGACCTTATTCATGTCTGCTTCGAGAAATCGGCTTGGTATTACGTTTCTATCCTCGCCATCAACAAGGCTGGCGCTACCTGGGTTCCCCTTGACCCCGGCCACCCATCGCAACGACATCAGCAGGTTGCCAAGCAGACTGGCGCCAACCTCATTCTCACGTCCAGTCTCCATGCTGATCTGGTTTCTGGTCTTGTCGAGAACGTGCTACAAGTCACAGCTGACCTTGATTGGGACTTGGCTCGCGATGTCGAATCTAGCAAGCAGGCCCCCGTCACAGACGTCGACCCAAGAACCGCTTGTTATGTCTTGTTTACTTCCGGTTCGACGGGTGTTCCGAAGGGCTTTGTCATTGAGCATAGAGCCTTGGTGACAAGCCAAATGACACTGGGCGCACGTCTTCGCATGACGCCACAGGTCCGGGCGCTGCAATTCGCCTCGCACGTCTTTGACATGTCGATTGCCGAGGCAGTGCCCGCCTTGATGTTTGGTGCCTGTCTATGTGTTCCGTCCGAGGAATCGCGCATGAACGGCCTCGCCGAGTTCATCCGCGACATGCAAGTCAACTGGGTCTTCCTCACGCCAGCCTTCGCCCGTACGCTCAAGCCCGACGATATCCCCAACGTCGAGTTCATGTTCCTAGCTGGCGAGGCTGTGGGTCAGGATGTTTTGAGCACTTGGTTCGGTCGTCTTCGCCTGGTCAACGCCTGGGGCCCGGCTGAGACCGTCGTCTGCTCCACGTTGTACGAGTACACCTCGGTCAATGAATCGCCCGCTAAGATTGGTACTCCAACAGGTGGCTTCTGCTGGATTGTCGACCCCGAGGATCCAACAAAGCTCGCCCCTATTGGGACGGTTGGCGAGGTTGTGATACAAGGTCCCACACTGTTGCGAGAATATCTATCCGATCCAGAAAACACAAGGAAATCCATGGTCACGGAACTTCCTGACTGGGCACCTCGTTCAACGGACCCCGACTACAGCCGCTTCTACAAATCTGGCGATCTTTGCTACTACAATACGGATGGCACAATTGAGTTCTCGTCCAGGAAGGACACTCAAGTCAAGATTCGTGGTCTTCGCGTGGAATTGGGCGAAGTTGAACATCATATCCTCGATGGCCTGCAGCATGTTCAGCAGGTAGCTGTTGATGTGCTCAAAACCGATGCCGGTTCCAACCTCGTCGCGTACTTCTGCAACAGCGATGAGACAAGCACAAGAGCTGGCCCCGAAACCTTCATGCCGTTGGATGCCGGCATGAAGAAGAACGTGACGGCTTTAATCGGCAAGATGTCGGTAGCCCTGCCTCGTTACATGGTGCCCACCATCTTCATTCCTTGCGCGCACATGCCTACGAGCTCTTCCACCAAGGTCGACCGGAAAAAGCTTAAGTCTTTGACTGCCGATCTCAGTCAAGAGCAGCTTGCCATCTACGCTTTGACTGATGGCGAGAAACGGGCGCCCGAGACGGCAATGGAAAGGCGTCTGCAGATGATCTGGAGCAGCATCTTGTCGCTGCCACAGGACAAGATTGGTCGAGACGACAGCTTCCTACGCATTGGCGGTGACTCAATTACCGCTATTCAATTCGTCAGTCTTGCCAGGGATGAGGGCATCGCGATCACCGTGAAGGACATCTTCGACGATGCTCGTCTCTGCGCTGTGGCCGAAAAGGCTGTCGAGACCGATAACACCAATCCCAATGCGCTGGCTCCATTCAGCTTGCTTGAAGGCCGTGTTGAGGTTGATGTTGTCAAGGACGCTGTTCGCGAGCAGTGTGGATTTACTGGAGACTTTGTCATTGAGGATGCGTATCCTCTTACCTCACTGCAAGAGGGTATGATTGCCTTGAGTGCCAAGAACCCTGGGTCCTATGTCGTCAAGCACGTATACCGCATGTCTCAGCACGTGGACCTGGCTCGCTTCAGGGCTGCCTGGGAACGCACTCTACACCAGCTCCCCAATCTGCGTACTCGAATCGTCAACGCTGGAGATTACGCAGTCCAGGTTCACATTAAGGACGAAATCTCCTGGGACGACCCCAAGGGCATTAATATCAAAGCCTTCCTCAAGAATGCCAAGGCCTATGAGATGACCTACGGAACCCGCCTTTCCCGGTATGCCTTGGTGGAAGAAGGTGACGATACCTACTTCCTATGGCTCTGCCACCACACACTGTATGATGGATGGACAATCCGGTTGATCCTCAGTAACCTGTTCGCCAACTACAACGACACTGAGGGCCTCCGCCTGCAGCCATACGCTGGATTCATCCAGTACATCCTCAACATGGACCGCGTTGCTTCCAAGGAATATTGGCTGCAGCAGCTCCAGGACGCGAAGCGGGCCAGCTACCCTCCAGCCGGCAAGAATGTGAAAAAGAGCAAGGGCACCAGGGTCTTGACGCACTCTATTCACTTTGAGGATGGGCCGAGTCAAGCCGTGACCAGGGCCACTATCGTCAGGGCTGCTTGGGCGATGGTCCTTGCACGCTACTGTGAGGACACCGACGTGACCTTTGGTACCGCCATCTCCGGTCGGCAGGCTCCTGTGCATGGTGCCGCCGACATGCCCGGTCCCATGATCGCCACTGTGCCCGTGCGTGTCAAGGTCGATAAGGACCAGGACGTGCCGTCCTTCTTACGAGAAATCCAAAGCCAGGCCACTGGCATGATTGCACACGAGCAATTTGGCCTGCAGAACATCGCCAAGTTGAGTCCCGCCGCGGCTGATGCTTGCGACTTTACCAGCTTGCTTGTCGTTCAGCCGTTCCAGAAGATGTTCTCCACCCATAGCGACAGCGAAGGCGAAATCTGGACTGATGCTGTGGACGAGATGATGGGTGAGGGCCAGTCTCTCGAGGACTACTTCAGTTTTCCTCTCGTCGTCGAGGGTCTGGTCTCCGATGAGCTTGTTGAACTCAAGATCATCTACAACGCCGACGTCCTCCAAGAACAGCAAATGGAGGCTATATCCCAGCAACTCAGCCATGTGATCAATCAGCTCACAGCATCAGCCGAGAAGACCCAGCCTTTGGGTGATGTTACCGTCGCCGGGCCCTGGGATGTGTCCAAGGTCTATGAGTGGAACTCAAAAATGCCTCAGGTTGTGAACGATACTTGGTTCAACTTGATTGAGGAACAGGCCAGGACCCGTCCTGACGCTGTCGCAATCAAGGCCTGGGATGGGCACATGACGTACAGCCAGTTGAACGAGGCCGCTGATCGTCTGGCGATGCATCTCGTGGACGCCCACCATGTACAGGTCGGAGACTTCATCCATCTGTGCTTCGAGAAGAGCTTGTGGTACGTCGTGTCCATGCTCGCCGTGAACAAATCCGGTGCCGCCTTTGCTCCCCTCGACCCGTCCCACCCAGAGCATAGGCACCGACTCGTTGTGCAGCAGACCAAGGCCAAGCTCGCCCTCGTCAGTCCTTCGGCAGCCGCTCTCTGCAAGGCCCTGGTGGATGATGTTCTCCAAGTCACCGATCAACTCAATGGTGATTTGTGCCGGGCCTACCCTAGCCCACAGGCACCCAAGGTCAATGTTGGCCCCAGCGACTTGGCCTACGTGATCTTCACTTCCGGTTCCACTGGCGTACCCAAGGGTGTCATGGTCGAGCACAAGTCACTCTGCACAAGCATGCAAGCCAATGCTGAGCGGATGAACATCACACACGAAGCCAACTTCTTGCAATTCGCTGCTCACGTGTTCGACATGTCCATTGGAGAGATCATCATGCCACTCGTGCGTGGTGCCACTACCAGCATCCCATCGGAGGCTGAGAGGATGAACAACACTGCCGACTTCATCAACGAGTATGGCGTCACGTGGTTGTTCCTGACTCCTAGCTTCGCTCGCACCCTCGATCCTAAGTCTATCCCGAACGTGAAATATCTGATCGTTGGTGGCGAGGCTGTCAATCGCGAGATTGCTGAACAATGGCTTGATCACGTTACGATCTACTGTGCTTGGGGCCCAACCGAGACCGTTATGGTGTCTTGTATTCACGCGGTTGATACTGTCCCTGAAACTACCCTCACAATCGGTCGCCCTGTGGGTTGCTTTATGTGGCTCGTTGACCCCGACGACCCTCGTCGCCTGGCGCCTACCGGCACAGTGGGTGAAATCGTCGTGCAAGGCCCGACACTCCTCCGCGAATACATTGAGAATCCCGAGAAGACCAAGGAAGCTATTGTCGAAGACCTCCCCGAGTGGGCTCTGGAGAAGAGCGGTGGCCGCTGGAACCGCTTCTACAGGACCGGTGATCTGGCCTACTATAATGCGGACGGCACGATCCAGTTCTACAGCCGCAAGGATAACCAAGTCAAGATCCGTGGATTGCGTGTTGAGCTGGGTGAAATCGAGCATCACATCACGAACCGTCTTGAGGGAACTCGCCAAGTTGCAGTTGACGTTTTCAAGAGCGAACGTGGAACAGAGCTCGTCACCTATTTCTCCTTCAGTGACGAGTCTCGCGTCGGCGGTTCAGTCCGTCACGATGGAGCCAACGACCTTCTTATGGAAATTGATTCCGATCTCCAGGAGACCTTGAAGTCTATGGTTGCCGCCCTCAGCGTCGACCTGCCTCGCTACATGATCCCGACATTGTTCTTCCCCTGCCGCTACATGCCTGTCACCTCCTCAGCCAAATTGGACCGCAAGAATCTACGTGAGAGAGTGGCGAGACTTTCTTCTGACGAATTGGCTGCCTATGCCCTGGCTGAAGGCGAGAAGCAGCCTCCAGAGACTGAAATGGAGTTCCGCATTCAGGCATTGTGGTCGAAAGTCCTTGGCATCCCTGCCGAGAATATTGGCCGCGACGAGTCATTCCTGCAAATTGGTGGTGATTCAATTGGTGCTATCCAGCTTGCCACGAAGGGTCGCGAGGCTGGGCTACTGATCACCGTGAAAGATGTTTTCAACGATCCCCGTCTTTCAGCTGTTGCAGAAGCTGCCATTGAGCTCGACTCCACCAAGGCTGATCAAAACGTGGAAGCGTTTGACCTCATTGACGACGAGACACGCTCGTCTTTGGTTGAAAATGTCATTCCTCGTCAGCTCAACCTTGCTGACGGCCAGGAAATCATCGACGCTTACCCCTGCACTCCCCTGCAAGCTGGCCTCATGGCCTTGGCTATGAAGGTTCCAGGTTCTTACATGGCACGCTTCGTCTACAAGCTATCTGCCGATGTTGATATCCCCAGATTCAAGACTGCATGGGAACGCATGACCCAGCTCTGTGTCAACCTTCGGACTCGTATCGTTGAGGTCGGTGGCGAAGCAGTGCAAGTTGTTGTCGACCCTGACCTCCGCTGGGAGAACACGGAAGGCATGGGCATGAAGGATGTCATGGCCCATATCAACACCATCAAAATGGGCTACGGCACCCCACTCAGTCACTATGCTCTGGTCAAGGAGGGTAACGACCGATACCTGGTCTGGGTTATGCATCACGCCGTTTCCGACGGTTTCTCCAACGTCATCAACGTTTCCACCCTGCAGCAGCTCTATGCTGGCAACGATGTCCTCCCTCTGAGGCCCTACTCTGGTTTCATCAAGTACACGCAGGAGATTGACGAGGAAGCGGCCGCTGAGTTCTGGAGGGGACAGCTGACTGGCGCAAAGCATGCCAGCTTCCCCCCTACGACTACAACTGGCTCTAATGAAAAGACCACACGGGTTCTGGAGAAAGCCATCACCCTGCCAACCCAAGGTGACAATTCGATCACCAAGGCCTCAATTTTCCGCGCGGCTTGGGCGATTTGCCTCGCTCGCTATGCCGATACGGACGACATATGCTTCGGCGCCACCGTTTCTGGTAGGCAAGCGCCTGTCGCGGGCCTCGAGACCATGGCCGGACCTGTGGTTGCGACGGTTCCTGTTCGCGTTCGCATCGACAAAACCCTCAGCGTCCACGACTTCCTGCACAGAGTTCAGAAGCAGTCCTCTGCTGCTATTCCCTATGAGCAGTACGGAATGCGCAAAATCACGCAGCTCGGCGCCGACATCAAGGCGGCGTGTGATTTCTCGAGCTTGCTCGTCATTCAGCCGATGAGCAAGATGAACTCAATGGACCCCGGCCAGAACGACATCATGTCGGGCGTCTCTGGCGAGTTTTCCCAAGACGAGTCAATGGACGGCTACTTTACCTACCCTCTGGTGACGGACTGCCTAGTCTACGACGACAAGGTCGAGATCATGTTCACATACCGATCCGACATCTTGAACGAGGCACAATTGACAGCCATGTGTCATCAGCTCGAGCACGTCATGGGTCAATTGATCACCAGTCCGTCCAGCAGCCTCGCCGATGTGTCCGTGTCTGGTCCCAAGGATTTGCAACAGGCCATGCAATGGAATCAGGAGCAGCACCCTCTTGCCAACTACACCGTACACGGCCTGATATCCGAGCAGGCTGCTCGGAACCCCAACCAGGAAGCTATCTACGCTTCTGACGGTACACTCACCTACGCTCAGCTTGATGATCTTTCGTCACGCCTTGCGAAGCACCTGATCAACCTCGGCGTTGTCCCCGAAAGCATGGTCTGCTATTGCTTTGAAAAGTCAATGTGGACTCCTGTCGCTATGCTAGGTATCGTCAAGGCTGGCGGTGTGTTCATTCCTTTGGATCCATCTCACCCTGCTGGCCGACGCAGGGGCACTGTCCAGGAGGCTGACGCCCAATTCATCATCGTGTCACCCAAGACTGCCCCCGAATGCAAGGGCATGACTCCTAACTTGGTTGAGCTGACGTCGTCCTTACTTCAGACTGTTCAGCCCGAGACAGCTGCTGAGATTGAGAAGCGATCACACCCACGCCAAGCTGCGTACGTTCTCTTTACTTCGGGTTCTACTGGCAAGCCCAAGGCTATCGTCGTTGAACACGCCGCTCTTTGCGGTAGTCTGCTGGGTTATGGTCGATCTTACCAAATGGACAGTAGCAACCGTGTCCTTCAATTTTCCAGCTACGTGTTCGACGTCAGTCTGTCCGAAATCCTGGAGACTCTTGTTCTTGGTGGCACGATTTGCGTGCCCTCGGATCAAGAACGCTTGGAAGACATCGTGGGCTTCATCCAACGCGCTCGTGTCAACACAGCCATGTTGACGTCGTCCTTCCTCAAGACTTTGGACGCCGATCAACTCAAGAGCTTGAAGACGTTGATGCTTGTTGGCGAGCCCCCCACCAAAGATGCTATCCAGACCTGGCAGCCTCGCGTTGACGAACTCGTCAACGCCTACGGTCCTTCCGAAGTATCCGTCTTCATCGGCTCCCACACGTATACCGATCCTCAAGAACAGTCGACCAATGTTGGTCGCGCATTCAGTGGTAACATGTGGATCGTCGAGACGGATGACTACAACAAGCTCGCACCTATCGGCTGTATCGGAGAGATCTTGATCCAGCGTGACATGGCCCGTGGCTACCTGAACGACGAAGAACGCACCAATGCCTCGTTCTTCCGCGAAGTGGCATTCCTTCCGCCACCGGCCGCTGATGACCCAAGGAAGTTCCACAAGTCGGGCGATTTGGCCAGATACAATTCGGACGGGACAATCAACTACCTCGGCCGACGTGATACTCAAGTCAAGCTACGTGGATACCGCATCGAGCTTGGCGAGATTGAGTACAATATCCAAAGGGCTATACCTGACGTTGAGCACGTGGGTGTCGATGTTGTCACAGTCGCTGACCGCGAGACTCTGGTTGCCTTTGTCAGCTTCGCCGATGATCAAGACCTACCCGCGGGCCAGCTTCCCGACCCTATCGCGAACATGACCGACGACTTGAAGGCCCGGTTCGCCAAGTTATCTGATGAAATCAGCCAGTATCTGCCCTCGTATATGGTGCCCACGCTCTACTTGCCGCTCACTGACATGCTCTTCAACACCTCTCTCAAGATGGACAGGAAGAGGCTCCGTGACCTGGCCGCTGCCTTGTCTCAGGACGACGTCAGCAAGCTGTCGTTGGGCACGGAAGACAAGGTCGAGCCTACAACGCCCATGGAGCTCAAGCTACGTGAACTGTGGGCCGAGGTTCTAAACCTGGAGGTTGAGTCTATTGGCAAGAACGACAACTTCCTCCAGATTGGTGGTGATTCAATGTCAGCCATCAAGCTTGTCTCCACCGCGCAGAAGCATGGCCATGGACTGACAGTCGCCAATATCTTCAGCCACCCAAGGCTGTCTGCCATGGCTACTGTCGTCGGCAAGATACCGAAGTCGTATGAGACCAGTCCTTTCAGCCTCGTCCCCTTTGACTTTGACGGCACCGCTGAAGCCATCCGCGATGTTTGCCAACTGTCAGAGGATCAGGTCATTGAGGATGCCTACCCATGCACATCTCTGCAAGAGGGTCTGATGGCCCTCGCGGTGAAGACCCCTGGTTCCTATCAGGCCAAGCTTTCCTTCCGTCTGGGCGAAAATGTCAACATCCCACGCTTCCAGGCCGCTTGGGAAGAAACAGTCAGGTTGTGTACCAACCTCCGCACTCGCATCATGCCCGTGCACGGCAAAGCGATGCAGATTGTCGTCAAGGACGATATCGAGTGGGCGCTCAACGAGGACAACAACGCAGGCTCCTTCTTCTCCTCCATACACGACTCTCCCATGGCTTACGGGTCTCGTCTATGCCGATATGGTATCTGGCACGAGAACGGCAAGTCGTTTTTCCTCTGGGGTGTTCATCACGCTGTGTATGATGGTTGGACAATGGGCTTGATTATGCGTACCCTGTACAGCACCTACCGCGGCACTGAGATGCAGCCACTGCAGCCATACTCCGGCTTCATCAAGTACACAGAGGAGATGAGCGAGACAGAGGCTCAAGAGTACTGGAAGGATCAGTTGAGGGGGGCTAATCGGGCCACTTTCCCTCCTGCTGCCCGCGCGCAAACCACCAAGTCTGGCAACGTCACTCGTAGCCTGACGCAGCAGATCGACTTCCCCTCCACTACTGACGGCTCAATCACCAAGGCTACTATTGTTCGCGGTGCCTGGGCTGTCATCCTTGCCAGGTACTGCGACACAAACGATGTCACATTCGGCACCACCATCAGCGGTCGCCAAGCGCCAGTACCTGGTCTTGGTGACATGCCTGGCCCAGCTATTGCCACTGTACCTGTTCGTGTGAAGCTTGATCGCGATCAGTTGGTCGCTGATTACTTGCACGATATCCAGTCCCAGGCTTCCGAGATGGTCACCTTTGAGCAGTACGGTCTGCAAAAGATCTCCAAGTTGACGGCCGAGACCCGAGAGGCTTGCAACTTCACCAGTCTTATGGTGATTCAACCATTCTCTCCTGTTGCTGCCATGAACAGCGAAGGCGAGCCCATCTTGAAGACCAACGAGGAGCGTCTCGCCGACGAGCTGCTGGAAGGTTACTTCAGTTACCCGCTTGTGATCCAATGCGCTGTGTCCGAAACTGAGGTTAGCCTGGACATAACTTACGACTCATCTGTCTTGGCTGAATCCCAAATTCGTGGCCTCTGCCATCACTTCAACCAAGCTGTCAAGGAGCTTCTTCCCGAACGGAAGGATCCGCTCAGTGCCGTCAACATCGCCGGCGAGTGGGATGTACAAGAAGCATATCGACTCAACGGAACTGGCCCGGAACTTATCGACTCTTGCTGGCACCACATCTTTGAGCAAAACGCCAGAGAGCAGCCCAACGCTCCCGCTGTCATTGCGTGGGATGGTCAACTGACATACGCCGAACTTGATCAGGCTGCTAATCGTCTGTCTCATCACCTGATGAAGACCTATGACATCAAGAACGACGAACTGATTCACATCTGCTTCGAGAAGTCGGTTTGGTATTTCGTGTCTATACTGGCCGTCAACAAGGCGGGTGCCACTTTCGTGCCTCTTGATCCCTCGCACCCCGAAGCTCGTTTGCAACAGGTTGTCAACCAGACCGGTGCTCGCCTTGGTCTTGCTTCGTCCAAGCAAACCCCCCGCTGCGCCGAGCTCTTACCCAACATTGTTGAGGTCCATGGTGACCTCGACGAGAAGCTCAGGGCTGAAGCTCCCGAGACTGCCAACCGTGGACCAGTCGACAACATCTCACCACGCAACGCTGCCTACATTCTGTTCACATCTGGCAGCACTGGTGTACCCAAGGGCTTCGTGATCGAGCACCGGTCTCTGAGCACGTCGCAGATCAACATGTGGCGCCGACTGCGCATGACCCCGAATGTCCGTATGTTGCAATTTGCTTCATATGTGTTCGACATGTCGATTGGAGAGACGATTCCTTCCTTCCTTTTCGGCGCTTGTGTCTGCGTGCCGTCTGAAGAGACGCGTATGAATGGCTTGGTGGAGTTTATCAACAAGAACCAGATCACTTGGCTCTTCCTCACACCGGCCTTTGCGCGCACCCTTCGCCCTGCCGACATTCCTTCCGTGGAATTCATCATCCTCGCAGGTGAAGCCGTCGGACAAGACATCCTCGATACCTGGTTCGGTAAGATTCGTCTTGTTAACGGTTGGGGTCCGGCTGAGACTACCGTTTGCTCAACGATCCACGAATATGCCACCCCTGACGGCTCTCCGGGAACTATTGGAAAGTCCGTGGGCGGATACACCTGGATTGTCGATCCCGAAGATCCTCACCGCCTGGCACCTATCGGCACCATTGGTGAGGTTATGATTCAAGGACCAACCCTCCTCCGCGAGTATCTCGCCGATCCCGCCAAGACGGCTGCCGCCACCATGGATGTGCTGCCGGCCTGGGCGCCGAACACAGACCATGAGGCTTATAGTCGCTTCTATAAGTCGGGTGACTTGGCCTATTACAACCCTGACGGGACCATGGAGTTCAGCTCACGCAAGGACACGCAGATCAAGATCCGCGGTTTGCGTGTCGAACTCGGTGAGGTCGAGCATCACATTCTCAAGTCATTGACTGGGGTGGTACAAGTCGCTGTGGATGTGCACAAAACAGAAAATGCCACGAACCTTGTGGCCTATTTCTGCTACAACGATGACCCCAGTCAGGCTGATATGGTGGAGGATCTCTTTATGCCCATGACGCCCGACATGCAGAGCCAAATCACGGAGATGGTGGCTGAAATCTCCATCGCCTTGCCGTCATATATGGTGCCGACGCTCTTCGTGCCATGCCACTATATGCCATTCATCACTTCGACCAAGTTGGATCGTAAGAAGCTCAAGGCTGAGATCAGTTCCTTGAGCGCCGAAGCTCTTGGACAGTATTCCCTGTCCGACACCGACAAGAGACCTCCCGAGACGGAGATGGAGGAGAAGATCCAGCAGCTGTGGGCGACAATTCTTAACCGGCCGCTGAATACCATTGGTCGCGATGATAGCTTCCTGCGTATTGGCGGTGATTCGATCTCTGCCATCTACCTTGTCACGGCTGCCCGCGATGCCGGAATCAACCTCACAGTCAAGATCATCTTTGACGACCCCAGGCTTTCAGCGATTGCCTCGAAAGCTGCCCTGATGGAGGCCGACAGCCTTGCAGAAGACATCAAGCCTTTCAACCTTCTCAACCCACAGTTGTACGAAGCCATCTTCGCACAACTGCCTCGCGACCAGTGCGAGCTGAGCGAAGACCAGGTCATCGAAAACGCTCTGCCCTGCACTCCCCTCCAATCCGGACTGATGGCTCTCTCGGCCACCAAACCTCGCTCCTACATTGCCTCTTGGTTCTACAGGCTGCCTGAACACGTGGACCACCAACATGTCAAGGCTGCGTGGGAGCAGACGGTCCGTGTCTGTACCAACCTGCGTACACGCATTGTCCACATGATGGGCGCCCCTATCCAAGTCTTCATCCAGGATGACATTCATTGGGAAGACACCGAGGGCATGAGCTTGGCCGACTGGACGGAAGAAGCCAACCGTACCGAAATGACATTCGGCGACCGTCTCTGTCGCTACGCTCTTCTGCAAGACACCGACGGGCAGTGGTACTTTTCGTTTGTTGCCCACCACGCCATTTACGATGGCTGGTCCATGCGTGTGATCCTCAGCGCATTCGCCGACGCTTACAATGGTTCCAACGACATTGTTCTGCAGCCGTTCGACAAGTTTATCAAGTACATTCTGAGCATGGATCAGACGGCTGCCAGTAACTTCTGGAAGAGCCAACTTCAAGACGCCGAGCGCGCCGTCTGGCCCGCCGCGCCCGCCAAGAATGTCAAGGCCAACACGCGCAACATGCATACTGTTCTTGAGCTCCCGCCAACGGTGGACTCATCCATCACCAAGGCCACGATTGTGCGTGCTGCTTGGGCTTTGGTCCTGGCCAGATACTGCAACGCCAACGACGTCTGCTTTGGTAGTGCCGTCTCCGGCCGCAATGCGCCTGTCCCTGGCATCGGCGAGATGGCCGCCCCTGTCGTCGCTACGGTGCCAATCCGAGTGATTGTGGACAAGGAGCAGACTGTCACCAGCTTCCTACAGGGCATCCAGTCTCAAGCCTCCGAGATGATTGCTTACGAGCAGTTTGGCCCTCAGAACATTGCAAAGCTCGGCCCTGAAATGCAAGAAGCCCTCAACTTCAGCTCGCTGCTGGTCGTGCAGCCTTTCCAGAGCATGTCCAGCATGGGCAGCGAAGCTGACCAGGTGCTGATTCCCGTGGAAACCGATGAGAAGCAGGTGAACGCCAGTCTTGAGAATTACACTGTCTTCCCACTGGTTCTACAGTGCTTTGTTTCGGACGAGGTGGTTGAAGTCAACATCAGCTACGACTCCAACATTGTCTCCGAGATACAGATGACGGGCTTGACAAACCACTTGCAGCAGACTATCAAGGAGCTCCTCACCAAAGTTGACGAGCCGGTCAACAAGATTGACATTTCCAGCCAATGGGATATTGACCAGGCTTACAGCTTCAACGCTGAAGAGCCCGAGATCATTGACTCGACCTTCAACGAAATCTTTGCCAAGCAAGTGGAGGCCAGCCCTGACGCCCTCGCGGTCGAAGCTTGGGATGGCGACCTCACGTACCGTGAGCTTGATCGGGCCACGAACCGCCTCGCGCATTTACTCATCGAGGAGTACGGTGTAAAGCCCCATGACTTTGTCCACGTCTGCTTTGAGAAATCTCTTTGGCATTTTGTGGCGTGTCTCGCTATCAACAAGGCTGGCGCAGCCTTCGTACCATTGGACCCTACGCATCCGCCTCAGCGCCATGCGCAAGTTGTCGAGACTAGCAAGTCCAAGCTTGTGCTCACCTCGGCCCAATACGCTGAGAGGATGGCGCCTTTGCTTGACAACGTCTTGCAAGTCACCCGTGAGCTGAACACGCAGCTCTCCCAAGATGAGTCGAAGAGCGCAAAGGCCCCTGATGTTACGGTTTCCCCAGACGCCGCGATGTACGTCGTCTTCACGTCGGGATCAACAGGTACACCAAAGGGCATTGTCACTGAGCACCGCGCCTGTTGTATCTCACAGGCCGCCCTCGGCAAGCGCCTGCGCATTGGACCACATGTCAGAATTCTCCAATTCGCCGCCTTCGTCTTTGACTTCTCCATCGGCGAGATCATTTGCACCTGGATGAACGGGGCGACTCTGTGTGTTCCCTCGGACGAGATCCGCATGAACAGCTTGGTCGAATACATTGCTGAGAAGGAGATCAACACGCTCTTCTTGACGCCATCAATTGCCAGGACCATCCGTCCAGCAGATGTGCCCAAGGTCGACCTGCTCTGCGTCGGCGGCGAGGCCGTTAGCCGCGACGTCCTTGAGCAGTGGTACGGCCACAGCCGCATTGTCAACGGCTGGGGTCCCACCGAAACCTGTGTCATTGTCTGTACTCACGAGATCGAAAAGGAGGGCCAGTCGCCGCTTACAATCGGACGACCTGTGGGCGGCTACTTGTGGATTGTCGACCCTGAGGACCCGACCAAGTTGGCTCCTGTGGGCACAGCTGGTGAGCTGGTCGTCCAGTCGCCTACGATCATGCGCGAGTACCTCGACGATCCCGAGAAGACTGCTGCTGCGGTCGTCTTCGCGGACGGCCTGCCAGGGTGGGCGCCCAAGAGATCTGACCCCCTATGGTCGAGGTTCTACAAGTCTGGTGACCTCTGCTACTACAACGCCGATGGTACCATCGAGTTCGCATCTCGAAAGGATTCCCAGGTCAAGATCCGAGGCCTGCGCGTGGAATTGGGTGACATTGAGTATCATGTCCGCACCAACCTGCCCCGCGTGGAACAGATCGCTGTCGACGTTTTCAAGACCGACTCTGGCGCCAGCCTTGCTGCCTTCTTCTCTTACACCACCAAGACGGACGCCACGGACACCACCAACGAGATCTTCGACACCTTTACCAACGAGCTCCAGGCTGAGGTTTCCACCATGGTCAACAACCTTAGCAAGTCATTGCCTCCATACATGATTCCGACCTTCTACATCCCTTGTCACTTCATGCCGACGAGCACAGCTGGCAAGCTCGATCGCAAGAAGCTAATCAAGCTCATGGGCAATCTCGATGACAAGCAATTGGCCGCCTACTCGCTTGACGATGCTGAGAAGAGGGCTCCGGAGACCGTCATGGAAATTCGACTTGCCCAGATCTGGGCTACCTTGCTGGGCAAGTCGACCGAGGCCATTGGTCGTGACGACAATTTCTTGCGCATCGGCGGTGACTCTATTGCTGCTATGCAGCTCGTCACCCAAGCTCGTGACGCCGGCATCTCCATCACGGTCAAGGAGGTGTTTGACGACCCCAGCCTCATAGGCATGGCCGCCAATGCGACGGAATTGAAGGAGAGCGCATCATCTGGCCGGCCAAAGCGCTTCAGTCTCCTGACACCTTTCCAGAGACAGGCTATCCAGGGCCAGGGTATCCGCGACCAGTGTGGCCTGTCCCGTGACGATGTCATCGAGGATGCCTATCCCTGCACTGCGCTCCAAAGCAGTCTGATGACCTTGACCATCAAACAACCTGGAGCGTACATCATCAAGCACATATACAAGCTATCCACCCAAGTGGACATCGACCGCTTCAGGAAGGCCTGGAGCAGGACCGTCGAGATGTGCGATGCACTTCGCACCAGGATCGTCGACATTGAGGACTCGTTCGCCCAGGTGGTCATCGAGAACGACGTCCACTGGGAAGAGGTGTCCGACAACATGGATCTTGGCTCTTTCATGGACTACACCAAGACCATCACGATGGACTATGGGTCAAGACTCACCCGCTACGCTATTGTCAAGGATACAGATGGCACCCATTACTTTGTGCAGATCATCCACCACTCGGTGTTTGATGGCTGGAGTCGTGGCCTGCTAATGGCGACGCTTTACAGCAACTACAACGACGAGGAGCCTTCCCCTGTCCAGCCCTACTCTGGATTTATCCGGTACGTCAACGAGATGGATCTCGAGGCCGCCGGCGATTTCTGGAAGCAACAGCTGGAGGGCGCCAAGCCTGCCACATTCCCTCAGCTTCCTGGCCCCGAAGCTGCCAACAAGCCTCGCGCCACCGAACGGGTCACCAAGAGCATCGAGTTTGGACCCTCGCTCAACAAAACGATCACCAAGGCATCCATCCTGCGCGCCGCGTGGGCCTTGGTGCTGGGCCGCTATGGCGAGACCGACGATATCACCTTTGGTGCCACCATCTCTGGTCGCAATGCCCCGGTTCCCGGGCTTGAAATGATGGCTGGACCTGCTATTGCCACGGTCCCCGTCCGTGTGCAGGTGAACCCGGAGCAGACCGTAGCCGACTTCCTCCAGGCCATACAATCACAGGCCATGGATATGACCACCTACGAGCAATTCGGTCTGCCCAAGATCACACGCATCAGCCAGGACGCCAAGGAAGCCTGTGACTTTACCAGCCTGATCACCATCCAGCCTGGTCAGAGCAGCCACTCCAACAGCGCGGCTGACGAGGAGGCACTGCTGACCTTTGACGCCTCCAAGATTGGCGACGCCATGAACGAGTATTTCAACTACCCCCTCGTCGTCGAAGCTGCCCTTCTCGACACCCACGTCGAGCTGGTCTTGACGTTTGACGCAAACCATATGAGCAGGGACAAGCTCACTGCCCTGTCGAATCACTTTGACCACTTTGTCCAGCAGCTTCTGGTCTCGGCCGACGAACCAGTTGGGTCGCTGACAGCTGCTGGTCAATGGGATCTCGAGCAAATCACCAAGTGGAACGATTATGTCCCCGAGGCCGTCGACTCTACCCTGCCTGATCTGATCAGCGAGCAAGCCAAGATTGCGCCCGACCACGAGGCTCTCTACTCTTCTGCGCTGTCTCTCACATTTGGCCAGCTGGACGCTCTGTCCACCCAGCTGGCTGATCATCTCGCTGAACTGGGCGTGAAGCCCGAGACGCTTGTTCCCTTCTGCATGGAGAAGTCGCCCTGGGCCATTGTCGCCATGGTCGGCATCATGAAGGCCGGCGGTGTCTTCATCCCTCTTGACCCTGAGCACCCTGTCAGCCGCAGGCAGGGTCTCATCAACCAGGTTGGTGCCGAATACCTGGTTGTTTCCCCCTCGACTCGCGCTTCGTGCGACGGCTTGGCTCCCCATGTGATCGAGCTGTCGGCTGCTCTGCTGGAGGGACTGTCGCAGCCCACTCAGCAACGCTTCAAGCCTGAGCCTACCAACGGTGCCTATGTCCTCTTCACTTCTGGCTCCACGGGTACACCCAAGGGTGTTCTCGTGGCCCACAAGGGCATCGCCAGCTCCATTGCTGGCCAACGCAAGATGTTTGACTTTAGCGGCTACAGGCCACGCTTCCTACAGTTCGCCAGCTTCATCTTCGATGGTAGCATCTTTGAGATCTTCACCACCCTCACGGCTGGTGGCACAGTCTGCTTGCCAACGGACAGCGAGCGCATGCAGCACACTGCTGGCTTCATGGAGCGCGCCCGCGTCGACTGCGCCATTCTCACACCATCCTTTGCCCGAACTGTCCGTCCTTCCGATGTCCCCACCCTCGAGAAGCTCATGGTGGCCGGAGAGGCGCCCGGCAAGGATACAATGGAGACGTGGTTCGGTCGTGTGAAGCTCATCAACGGATACGGTCCCTCGGAGACTTGTATCTGCTGTGCAGCTCATACCTATGAGAGCGCGGATACACCTCCCACGACGATTGGTCGTGGTGTAGCCCATGTCAACTGGATCGTGGAACCGGACAACCACAACAAGCTCACCCCCATGGGCTGCATCGGTGAACTCCTGGTCCAGGGACACGCTCTTGCGCGCGGTTACATCAATGATCCCGAAAAGACAGCCGCCGCGTTTGTCACGGACGTCGACTGGATGCCGGCTGCCTTGGCAGGCAAGTTGCCGCAAACTTTCTATAGAACTGGTGATTTGGTGCGGTACAACTCGGACGGTACACTGGAGTACCATGGCCGTCGGGACACGCAGGTCAAGGTGCGTGGTCAGCGTATGGAATTGGGTGAGGTCGAGGACAGGATCAAGAAGGTCTCGGATGCTATTGAGCACGTTGCCGGGCTGGTTATTCGCCACAACAACCGTCAGACCTTGATTGCAGTGGTCACCTTCAAGGAGGCCAAAGCATCGTCTGACGACAGCTCTCGCTTCCTCCCGATGGATGACGAGATGAAAAATTTCCTCTCTGAGCTCACAGAGGCTCTTCGCAACTCGCTGCCTGGATATATGGTTCCGGCCATGCTCCTACCGATCAAGCAGATGCCTTTCTTCGGCGCTTCCATGAAGCTGGACCGCAAGACACTTCAAGGTATCGCCGACGGACTGACTCAGGACGAGCTGGCAACATTCTCTTCGGCTAGTCACGTCAAGACACAGCCCACTACCGAGGCGGAGTTCAAACTGCGCGAGCTCTTTGCTCGCATTCTGGACATGAGCCCCGAAGAGATTGGCAAACACGATCAATTCCTGCAGATTGGCGGTGACTCCATTCTGGCTATTCAACTATCGTCCCTTGCGCAACAAAACGGCATGGGCCTCACGGTGTCCCAGATCTTCAAGGACTCCCGGCTGTCTGCCCTCGCCGAGGGCTCGTCGAGCGACAACAACTACGGCAGCTACCCCACAGAGCCATTCGAGCTGATGCCAGACAACAGCGTGCTCGATGTCATCCGTCGCGAGTGCAACCTCCCCGATGACGCGCAATTCGACGATGTCTACCCTGCCACCAGTGTCCAAGAGGCCTTTATGGTCGGCTCCAAGAAGATCCCTGGTACGCTCCTGGCCACTCGTCTTTGGCGCCTGGGTTCTCACGTGGACATTCCCGCCTTCAAGGCCGCGTGGGAGCAACTGTTCCAGTACTTCCCCAACATGCGCACTCGCTATGTGATGCACACGACAGGCGAGACGATTGGTGCTGTGCTTCAGGAGGACCTGACCTGGGAAGACACGACTGGCTTCAGCGTCCACTCGTACATGGACTACGCGGCGTGCAACATGAAGATGTGCTGCGGCACCAGCCTGTCGCGCAATGCCATCATCGAGGAGGACGGCGAATACTTCTTCGCTTGGTTCCAGCACCACGCCATTCTGGACGGATGGACCATGGGTCTCGTCATTGATAACCTCTTCTCCGCCTACCACGGCATGGAGATGCGCCCGCTCAAGAACATTGCCAGCTTCGTCAAGTACTGCAAGTCACTGGACGAAGAGGCCATGGCCGACTACTGGCGCAACGAGCTCTCTGGCTGCCAGCGAACCACATTCCCACCAGAGCGAACCCCAACCACACGCCTCCGTCACGTCACTAAGCACCACCCCAACATCATCAGGCTGCCGGGCGCTTTCAAGAACTACGACATCACGTCCAGCACGATCATGACGGTGGCCTGCGCTGCCATGCTTGCCCACTTTAGCAAGCAGGATGATGTGACCACCATGACTGTGTCGTCCGGTCGCCACGCCCCCGTCGAGGGCCTCGAGAAGATCCCCGGTTGTATCACAGCGCGCATGCCACTGCGCGTGCGCTTTGACCACAATCAGACAGTCCAAGAGCTCCTCGAGAAGATCCAAGATGACGCCGCCGATCGTGTCGCGTACGAGCAGTACGGCGTGCAGAACATGTCCAAGCTCGGCCCAGAGATTGCCAATGCCATCAACGACACGACGAGCGTCTTCTCGATGCAGCCCTGGCATCAAAAGACGGCTGCCAAGGAGGGCCTCGAGGTGGACGAGGAAGACGAGGCCGATATCAAGCCGCTCCTCCAGACGGCGCATGACAAGTACTCGCTCGCCGAGACGTCGGACGGCTTCTTCACGCAGTCGCTCATTGTGCAGTGCTGGACGGCCGAGGAGGACATTGACATTGAGACGTACTGGAACTCGGAGGTTCTCACGGATCTGCAGGCCGTCGCCGCCAATGATTACATTGGCAAGGTGGCGTGTGCGTTTGTCGAGAACATGGATAGGCCTGTTCTTGAGGTGCTGCGGAAGATGGGTTAGGCTTGCTTTTTTTTTCTTTTTTTCTGCTTTTCTTTCTTTTGTTATTGTTTCCATTATGGATTATGCTTCGTTAAATGATTAATATTTTCTGTTTGAATCTTTATTTACGCGCGAGTCTGCTTGGTTGTGACTTGAGACTTGAACATGTGGCTTGTTCTGGAGGCCGTGTCAGGATATAACCCAGGGTCTTAATTGAGCCCCCAGGTATCAATTTCGCAATTGATTTACTCTCTCACCATGATCTTCTTACTTGTTCACATATTACCGCATTGGTCAATTATGCCTTGTTGTGAGTTTCGTGAGCTGGAAGTTGAACTACGACCGTCTCTAGCGCAGTCGATAGCTGCTTCTGAGCTACAAGGTTATATGGTGATGAATACGACCTCTTGCCTCCTAAACGCCAAATGCAGCATCGCTTCATACGTGTACGCAACACTGCCTGTGGCAAGATGGCGACTGAAGGCCGGATAACCGCTTATCGGTCATCGGCAAGCAGTCCTCAGCTTGTGGACAAATTTCAATCGTGTCGTAATCTCACGATAAATCTTCGACTCCACTTACCGTCTTCTAAGACTAGTTACCTACCCCCTGAATCTTGACCCTCCAAACCTCCCCGGGAAGTGAGCTCCCCAGTTTCCTATCGCTCACCCGCAAAATCACTTTTTGCCTGGGATGTTGAGAGCGGCAATACCTCCCCAATGGCGGCCCCCGAAAGCAAACCCGCGATGGACGTGGGCATCTACAACGTTGCATGGCTTGCACCCCGCCAGATCGAGGCACTAGCTGCTTACTACATGCTAGACGAGCTTCACAGGCATCGGCAGCCACTATGCGACGAGTTCTCATACATTGGCGGGAGTATGGCGGGGCACAACGTCGTCGTAGTGAGCTTGCGCGGCGATACGCCGCCCAGGTCCGGCTCTGCGGCCGCCATGGCCTATCGAGTCAAGAGGACGTTTCCAAACTTGCAGTCCGGGTTCCTCGTTGGACTGGCAGCTGGTATTCCACGACGTCCGCCACGGCCCAACGACAATGTTGAGGGATGGCTATACACGTACTCTGCAACAGACGGCTGCTCCTATCCGGTCGGTATTTAGTTCCTTTCGCCTCATGAGGGAAGAAGCATTGGCACAAATGTTGCATAACTTCCGGCGTATCGAGGACTGCTGGCATGACGACGGCACGTTCGCCCATCCCAGTCATACGGAAGATCAACGGTACGGGTGGGCTGGAGACCAGACGGCGCCTGCGCAATTATCTTCAAACCCTCCAGAACAACAGTCCCGAGTGTTCTATGGAACCATTGGCTCGGGGAGCGAGTATATTCGCGACTCTGTTACCAGGAACATGATGAGGGACGAACATGGTGTCATCGCATTCGAGATGGAGGCAGCTGGCGTTCTCGCCCAACTGAATGTTGCGGTCATCAGTGGATTCTGTGACTTCGAGGGGATTCGCAGGAGCAAAGTCTTTCAGCCGTACGCGGCGGCCATGGCTGCGTCATATGCCAGGCTTGTCTTGTCTCAACTGGATGCCAACGTATATATTCCTCATCCACGTACAAGCTTGGCCTCTCCCAGTCCGCGCTATAGGGAAAAGTGTCACACTCCAAGTTACAATCATACCGTTTCCTCGCAACCCAAATCTTGTGGAACGCCAGGACTATAGGAAACTCTGTTGTCTCCTACCTCTCAACTCGCAGGTGCACCAGGAAGCAGCGCTACAGGGCCTGCCAGGCACTGGGAAAAGGCAGTTGGCTTTGGAGTACGCTTACCGGTGTTGCGAAGATCCGACGTACTCGGTCTACTGGATCCAGGGCCACTCAGTCCCTTCACTGAAGACAAGCTACGCAAATTGGCACAGTGCTCGGTCTGGGCAGAGGAAATGACCGAACTGCCATGCTGAGGAATGTCTGCCAGGCTATTGAGAAACAACGTCGCTGGCTTGTGGTTGTTGATAATGCCGACGATTTTCACATGTCTGGCCTAGAAGGACGCCGCGAGCCCATGATGGCGAACCTGTACGGTTTTTTGCCAAGAAGTTCAACGAGCACAACTATTTGGCTGACGCACGACTTGGCTGTCTCAAGGTTGTTGGTTGGTCCTGGCCGGACCCTGAAGATAACGAACATGACTACAGAAGATGCCGCGAAGATGGTGGAGAAGCTCTGTAAGTCACAGAGACCGTCACCACTGCAGATATCCCAAGCAATCACTCGCACGTGGGGGACTGGGACAACCCTGTCGGAGCAGACACAAAGAATGTCAAGTATGACGGCTGCTGCGTTTTGGCAAGTTCAGGGGGCCCCAGAAGGCGACATTTACCGTCCTTTGCACGAGGATACCTCCAATAGTCACTTGCAATCCCTCAACGAAGCCATCTCCAGACTCGGGCGCCATGATGATTTCGCTGTCGAAATACTCTTCATGTGTACGGTGCTGCGAGCCCAGAGCATACCACATTCACTGCTACTCGACATGTTCAGTCTCGCACGGTCCCTCACTGTGAAGTGTTGGCGATTGCCAAAGCCGAAGTGTCCCGGAGGTCGTCATTGCAGGTGGCGGTGACTTTCCAAAGTCTGCTGTGTGTGACCCTTTACCGATCGGAAGGCTCAATGTGGAGGCGAGTCTGGACAAGGCGTTGACGTTGTTCAAAGATTTCTCTTACATACTTAACCATGAGCAGCGAGGGTGACGAAAGGTACTATACCGTACAATAGCAGGTCCATGACGCTGCGAGATGGGCGCTTTTGACGCAGCACGAAAACACACATCTACAATCCATGCTGCACAGTGTTGCGCTTCATTCGATACGACGACACTTGCCCTCCGACGAACCCTTTGACCGCAATGATGAGCACCTTCTGGACCATGCGCTGTATGCATGTGAGTCTGCCAGGTCGAGACACTCCAAAATCACAGCGGCGGAGTTGCTGCTCCAAGTCTCGGGTCATTTTTGGGGATATAGGGAATTTCAGGCAGGAATCTCAAGCGGACGACAAGCGTTTGCTGTTGCTGACAGAAATTCACGGACATCAAAACGCGCAGGCGATCCGTGCACAGGAGGCCCTTTCCAGATACAAAAACAAAGAGCAAATGCGGCAAGCCGTTGCTGCAGTAATCAAAGCCGACGAGGGCGTTGTGCGTTACCGAGGACGAGTAACCATTGGCGACACCGACAAGTTTCGAATCTGACAAGTGGACGCCATTTACATCAACTTGACAGCGCAGGCAGACTGAGCGCTTGGTTTCCCATTCGACACTCGTCACCCGTACGCAGGGCCAGATGCGCTTTCCAGCCCAATCGAATGCGGCAGCTTTGGTGAAGATGAGTCGCGACTCTGCAGGGCAGACAACCCGCCCAAGTGTTTACGTTAGGAAAATGCATAGCACAGCTACTGTACTCAATCCTCAAATGTTGGGTGACTTAGCCACGTACGCAACTTGGTCAGAGCTGAAGTATCATGTCGGGTCTCCGACGTGGTATAGTCCTTCATCTCGCCATCAATCCAGCCTTTTGTACCACGGCTAGTCGAGAGCGCCTCTCCAACCCTACGAGCCGAGCCAAAATCGATGAGAATGGGTCTCTTGTCCTCTGCCACGAGTATGTTTGTTGGGTTGATGTCATTATGGGCCCAGCTAAGCGAGTGTAGGTGATGAATGGCGGACTCCAGTGCTTCCATAAACAGATCCTCATCGTGTATGATGTAGCCGCTCTTTAAGTAGCTCTCCAGATCGTGGACATGTCGGTCAAGCACGAGTCCTGTGATATAGCCCCGTCGCACATGGCAGCCGTGGTATCCCACGATATTTGGGTGAGGATGGCTCCTCAGTATTTCCATTGCTTCTACCTCTTCGGCCAAACTCTTCTGGAGGAGATGGGTTACTTTGTGCTCCCGAAAGACGTCGTATAGTGCTAGCTTGGGCCGCTTGATGAAAATTTTTGATGGGAGCTCCTGGGGAGCCTTGGTGAGAGTGAAGTCTTCTGGCCACTGGGGGAGAATTTCCTCGTCAGGAATACGGGCAAGGGCATCGGTGACCTGCTGAAATGATATGTCGGTCTTTGGTCTGTTAATTTGGCCGTAGTATATCATGTCATCTTCCATGGTTGCGAACATGGTATATTTGAAGTCTCCGGTGTCCTCATCGGTTTCTTCAGACACCCAGAGCAGGCCCTCCCAGCTGGTCACCTGTGGCGCCATGGCGCTGGGGTAGTGAAGAATCGTGTCCTGGTTGGACAGCTCCTGAGTAATTCGAGTCGCGTTCGTTCCGGCTACCGAGTGTCAATGAACATGAAGTTGAGTCCGCCTACGCGCTTGTTGATGGTGAAAAGGGGACGGTCACAGGATTGGTCAGATCCTATAATGTGCGGGGCTTTTCTGGTTCCTTAGCAGAGAAGGGATGTCAAGTAGTCATTGGTCAGAGTGGTGCTGGCTGGACCCACTCGCTTCTGGCTACCCGCGACTAGGGCGACTGTGAGTCTCTGCATTTCTTCACATTCAAGTATGAACTTGACGATTAAATAACCAACTTGCGTAATTAAATGAGATATTTACAATTATAATGACATACCATAAAGTAAAATAGCTTCTGTTTCTTGGTATGGTCGTGCCACGTGAAAAGCCAGACCAGAGGACGCTGCCGAGTCGCCGACTCTATCCGAATGTTGCCTCTGGAACTTACCCGCTCGTTTTTATCCGACGCTACGCTCCGTACTAGACATAGACATCACTACCTTTGGCTCACTTGTGCGTCACTTTTCCAAACCTTCTGCTTCGGCTCACAAGAACAGCACAATGTCCGGCCAAACCATTGACGTGCCCCTCGAGCGGGGCATCCCAGCCCACCTCCTCCCTCCCAGCTGGAAAACATCTGTGACCGCGTGGCTAGCCGAGGACACACCCTCATTCGACTACGGTGGCTTCGTCGTCGGGGACGCACCGCGCGAAGCCACGCTCTGGGGCAAGTCAGCCGGGATCATCGCCGGGCGGCCCTTCTTCGACGAGGTCTTTACACAGTGCGGTTGCACCGTGGAGTGGTACGCGGAGGAAGGCGCCCAGCTTGATCTCAGCAGCCATGGGAAGAAGCAGAAAGTCGCCACGGTCCGAGGACCCGTGCGAGGCATCCTCCTTGGCGAGCGCGTCGCGCTCAACACTCTCGCGCGATGCTCGGGGATCGCCTCGCAGAGCAAACTCCTCGTCGACAAGCTGCGGGAGGCGGGCTACGAGGGCATCCTGGCCGGCACGCGCAAGACGACACCCGGCTTCCGCCTGGTCGAAAAATACGGCATGCTTGTCGGCGGTGCGGACGCGCACAGGATGGATCTGAGCACCATGGTCATGCTCAAGGACAACCACGTCTGGAGCCGGGGGAGCATCACCGATGCCGTCCGTGCCGCCAAGGCGGTCGCCGGCTTCAGCGTCAAGATTGAGGTCGAGGTGCAGAGCGAGGACGAGGCGGACGAGGCTATCGCTGCGGGCGCGGACGTTGTCATGCTGGACAATTTTACGGGCGACGGTGTCAAGGTCGCTGCCAAGAGTTTGAGGCAGAAGTGGCAGGGAAAGAAAAGCTTCCTGCTCGAGGTGTCGGGCGGCTTGAGGGAGGACAATGTGGGCGCCTACGTCTGCCATGGTAAGGCTTCCACTTTTTTTTGTGTTGGGTGTGATGCTAACATGTTTCCAGATATCGACATCATCTCAACGAGCGCGATTCATCAAGGCGTTGGCTATGTAGACTTTTCTCTCAAGATTGAGCACTGAGTGCTGCTGGAATGTAAGAGTAATCGTGCATAATGGACTCATGTCACCGGACAAATGATCGTGAAACATGACAAATGGCTCTACTGGGGTATCTCGTAAACTTAAACGGAAGAACGCTCACAAAAACAAAATGCAGGGCACACTACTCCGCAGCCGTTATCTGTACAATAGGCGCTTCCATCGGAGCAGGGGCCTGATCAGAGGCCTGATCAGAGGCCTCCTCCTCATCCTCATCCTCGCTCTCCCTCTGCTTGTTCTTCTTGGACATCCGCTGGAACAGCCGTCCAAACGGGGACCACATGGCCCTGAACATCTTCCCCAGGAAACGGTAGGCGACCACGACGGGGTATCCGACAATCCTCACAATCGTGGCGAACCACGTGTCGGGAAACAGTCGCACGAGCACGGCCCACGGCCAACTGAAGAGAGCAAGGATAATCGAGATGGCCCACTGCGTGCCGTCCAGACCGTTCTCGTGAATCTCAAAGGCACGACCACCCACAAAGATGATGAGGACCTGCAGGCCGACCATGAGGATATTGATGCCGATGAAAAAGTAGTTCCGGTGGACCCCCTCAAAGATATTGAACTTGTTGTCCAGACGGCGGTTATTGAACTCGTTGAAGATCTGCATCCACACAAACGTATTGAAGATGACGGTGTTGAGCTGGAGCCTCTGGTCGGCATCGCTCATGTCGTAGTTGAGGATGCTGGCACCGGCAAAGTACAGGACGAGCGTGACGGTGAGCTGGAAGATGGCCTGGCCGATGATCATCTTCCACATCTGGGTGCGTTAATATGATATTTTCCATTGTAGTACAAGTCCACGTACATTGTTCGTGATCAAGGGCTTGTCCTTCCCTTGCGGCTGTCGGTCGAGGATCTTTTCCGTGGGCGGATCCGTGGCCAGAGCCAATGCAGCAAACGTGTCCATGATGAGGTTGATCCAGAGCAGCTGGACAGCATTGAGCACAGACTCCATCCTGGGCGACTCGACGGCCGAGATGAAGGCGAGCAGGACGGCCGTGATATTGACCGTGATTTGGAACTACACACCGGTTAGAAACATCACAATAAAACTGCCAAAGTCACGTACCTGGAGGAACTTTTGGACGGCGTCGTTGACGGCGCGTCCCCACTTCAACGCGGTGATGATGGACGCAAAGTTATCATCCATCAGGACAATCGAGGATGCCTCCTTGGCAACCTCTGTACCCGAGATGCCCATTGAAAAGCCCACGTCCGCGGCCTTGAGCGCTGGCGCATCGTTGGTCCCGTCGCCAGTCACAGCAACAGTCTCGCCCAGCTTCTTCAGCCTCGTCACGAGAATCCTCTTATCCTCGGGCGAGGACCTGGCGAGAACCTGCAGCTTGGGCAGGGTGGCATCCATCTGCTCCTCCGAAAGCGCCCTGAAGACGGGGCCCTCCATGACAATGCCGCCCTCGTGGAAGATGCCACACTCTGTCGCGATGGCACGCGCCGTGGTGATATTGTCACCGGTGACCATGCGCACGACCACGCCCGCATTCTGCGCCTTGCGGACGGCTTCGGGCACGCCTGGGCGCACGGGATCCTGGATGCCGACGACGCCAAGGAAGATTAGGTCCTCAAGCAGGGATGCAAACTCGACAGAGCCCGTCTCTGTCAGACGCGCCGTCTTGGGGGGCCACTGCTCATAGTCGCGGTACACGAGACCAATCGTGCGCAGCGACTTGGCGGCATAGCCCTCAATCTTGGCGTTGAGCGAGTCCTTGTCGCTCAACGTCAGGTCCTCCTCCTGCAGAGTCTCAAAGTTCGCCTTGGACGAGCAGTATCTTAGGAGAATCTCCGAGGCACCCTTGACGAGGAGTCGGTACCCTCTGCCCTGGCGAAGCTTGATGACGGCGCCCATGCACTTCTTGCTCGAATCAAAGGGCATCATCTGGACGACCTCTTCGTTGTTGCGGACTTGCCCGAGGGCCGCGAGACCGAGATGGTCTTTGGCCAGTTGGAGCAGCGCCGTCTCCGTCTTGGAGCCGATAAAGGTGACGACGCCCTCCTGCTCGCCCTCGAACGCTGTGGCGTTGATGGCAACCGACTGGATCAACAGGTCCTTGGTGGCCTCGGGTATGTCTCTGGCCCAGGAGACGATACTCTCGTCCTTACCAGCGTCGGCTGCCGAGAAGCTCGTTGATCCAAATGTGCCAGCCACAACGGTCATTTTGTTGGTTGTCTAGGCTTATCAGTGTCTGTTTCTTGCGTCGAACAAGGGAGAAACTCTTACCAGAGTGCCTGTCTTGTCGGAGCAGATTGTAGTCGCATTCCCCATAGTCTCACAGGCGCGGAGCACACGGACCAAGTTCTTCTCTTTCAACATCCTCTTGGTCGCAAAGGCCAACGCCAGGGTCACGGCCAGCGGTAGACCCTCGGGGACGGCGACCACGATGATGGTTATGGCCACAATGAGAATGTCCATGAAGCTGGATGCCTTCTCCGCCGGGGATCTGGAGTCGCCCGGCAACGAGGCACCAAAGCGGATGAGGAGGATGACAAACAGCAGGCCAGCCGCGGCGCTGCCCAGGTAGCCGATAGCCAAGGCGAGCTTACCGAGCTTCTTCTGGAGTGGCGTCTGGTCAATCTCGGTGCGGACCGACATCATGATCTTGCCGAAGCTGCTGTTGACGCCAACCGAGGTGCACACAAACGTGCCCATTCCTGTGAAGGCCTGTTAGTTTGGAGATTGTAGTCTCAGAGCTTCTTAACTCACCCTCTAGTACTTTGGCACCCGATATGATAAACGGGTCCAGGCCGTAGCCACTATGACCCTCGTTCAGAGCCTTCATGACAGCCTCGCCGCCCGTCTTCTTAAGGGCGTCCGACTCGCCCGTCGCGGACGACTCGTCACATTTAATCTCATGCCCTTCAATGAGGACGCCATCGACGGGCACGAGATCGCCGGGCTCGAGATGGATCACGTCACCCACGAGCACGTCGTTGACGCTGATCATTTCTGACCGCCCCGATCGGATGACCTTGATCTCCCGCTCGTCCTTTTTGGCGTTGAGCTTCACAAACGCACGCTCCTTTTGCCAGTCGTTAAACGAGCCGACGCCGACGACAATGACAATCGCGACGACAATGGCTACGCCCTCCACCCAGTCGAGCGAAGGGGGGGCGCCCTCCGGGTGGTCGACGCCTAGGGTTTCGTACAGACCGAGCGCCAGCGAGATGACCGCGGCAATGGTCAACACGATGAGTACCATGTCGTTGTAGGCAGCCCACATGAGTTTCCAGAACGGTGTTGCCTTTTTGGGCGGCAGGGTGTTGCGGTCAAAGACCCGTATACGGTCCGCAAAGGTCTCATTTGATGTGTTCCCCCCATGATCGGTCTTCTTGGGAGGGACAGACTCTGAGGAGTGCACGGCCTGCTCAAAGGTGACTGTGGTGGTGGCGCCCTTTTCATCCACGCTCAAGCCGCTGGTTAGGTCTGTCTGCAGACCTTTCTCGAGCCCTCGGAGACCGCCGAGCGCGTGAAGAGCCGATAATGATTTGGGGTTGAGGAGCTTGTTCAGCTGTCCCGGTGAGAAGGCGTATGGGTTGTTGTCGACCGCAAAGTCGGCTTCTGTGCCTGGGTCTGGCCGCAGGGCCACGTCCGGGTCGTCGAAGCAGGTCGAGCTCGACGACATGCCACCCGGAGACGCCAACGTCCCCGAGGTGGAGGAGGGCGTGAGGAGGCGGCCTTTGGTGGTGGTGGAGGAGGAGGAGGGGCGGCGACATGATGTGTCCAGCGTGAGCTGGGGAGGTGCCAATGAATCGCCCGCCATGATAGCAGCTCAGCGATGGCTGAAACTTCTGAAGCTGGATGGGCAAGGGATCGAGGCAGGTCGAGGTAGATGGAGATGGCAAGCTGGTGGTGTGTCGAGTCGCCGACGGACGACGTACTATAGTCGGGGTCCGGTGGTGGTGGTGGCTATGCATAAAGTGTAATAAACCTCAAGCGTCCAGACCATCAAGTCACAGCCTGCGCGACGCTCGAACCGGGTTCTCTTAAGGAAGCACAAGGCAGAATACCGGACATGTGCAAGACAGTGAGTGAGTGTGTGTAGGCGGAGGTCATGCTTGAGTTCAGGCTTGAGTCCCGACTCCTGCTGAGAGCTGGGTCATTAATGAACTGCACTGCCCAATCTTACGCAACAGCATCAGATGGAGCAGCAGAGAATCAGACATCGAATCAGTCGTCGGTGCTTCGCCCATCTTTCCGGCAGTGGCGGCTTGTGGGGGGGCGAATCATCCAAGGCGGAGGTTTGTGGTGGCCACATGAAAAGGAGGCAGTGCAAAAGAAGCGTCAAACGTTGCGATGTGGCCACGTGACCGGGCGGCAGCCTCCGCGAGCCATCGTGAGATGTGTAGCACATGTATAAAGAAAGCTCTAGGCCCGTCTGAAAAAATCATTGCGTACGTGTTTTCAGCTCATGACGATGGCACTGCCCTTTCTCTTGTGCTGATTCGAGTCACGTTGAGACAAAGGACGAGGCGCACCGGAGTAGCGCATCTCGATGGTGATGGCAGTGCTGGCTCGAAAGTGCGGGTTGCGAAAGTTCCCGACAGAGTTCCCGGCAGAAAGGGATATCTGCGTGCACTTTGTGCGATACTACATGCAATTTCTTACATCCGTGGTAAGAGATACTGATCTCATCGTCTGCATACATGTACATATCATGTCGAGACATTCTGTACGGTTCCATCTGTAGGGTAGTCATGAACTTGACGAAGTGAACAACATTGAAGACTTATCAAAGTCAACATGAGTCTCGTCATAGCGGAACACGTGTCTTTTGTGATTAATTCAATCAATGCACTGCCCCAACTGGCAATAATACGGTCATCGCAAGTGCAAGACTTTGCTCACATGCTTTTCCCGCATCCAGGCTCCAGCTCAGCGCCACGCAATACATAGGGGCTGTTCTGAACATGAACTTCTGGGTCCTGACCGACGACATCAGCCAGTCAGCCCGCCCAGAGTACGTAGTACATTTCATAATACAGTGTCTCAATGACAAGACAGCCCTCACAGCTGGAATACACCAAAGTCCGTGATCCTCCCCTGCTCCGCAAACCTCGCGGCATGCATGTCCACCGTCGCACGCGCCTCCTCCACCGCCCGCAGAGCAAAGCTCCTCTCCTCGAGGGGCAGGGCAAACTCCACCACGAAGCGTAGCATCCAGTTGTCAAACTCGTGCGTGGGATGGTTCCTGGCGCTCGCTAGCAGGCACATTTCTTGGAAGGAAGTCAGGCGATGGATCTAGCGGAGACGAGTCAGCAAAAGGAGAGTACAGCATCCACTACACGCTGAGAGAACCCTACCATCTGTGCGATGAGTTCCGGCCAGTACTGCTGAAAGTCGACGAGGACCTCAAAGTTGGAGTTGAGGGCGCCGCGCGCCGACGCCACCTCCCACTCGTCCCCAAAGAGCAGCGTGTGCAGCAGGACCGACGACGACACGACGGTCATGTGGCTCGCGGTCGGGAAGACGGCCTCGCAGCCTGCGTGGTCGCGGCTCATCTTGACGAGGTAGCTGTAGGCCCCGGCGCACTGCTTGCAGCGCTGCACGTAGGTCTGCACGGTCGGGGCCTGCGGCTGCTGGTGGGCCAGGTACTGGAAGTAGAGGAGCAGCGAGTAGTAGTTGTACGCCAGATGCAGAGACACAAAAGGTCCGCCCGTGCCCCTCTGGCGATGGAGGTGGAAGTTCTCGTCGGTCATCTTGTCCCCCGAAGGCACCATGTCCTCCCAGGCCGCCAGCCTCCCGGCAATGTCCATGACAGTCGCCTCCCGCTCGTGGCTAGGCATGTTACCCTGAGCGCAGCGTCTGTTTAGATCCAGCACGGGACCAAACAGCTGATGCAGGCCAACCATGTGCGCCCAGAGGCCTGGTTTCCACGGTACGGAGAGCGCCATGTCGGTGGGATCCAGAGCGTGGAAGATGTCCTCGTCCATAGGGAGCTCGATGCTCTTTTGAAAGTCCTCGAGCTGCCGCGAGAGACGCAGACCAGAGGAGAACCACCGGTCGGCGGCAAAGAGAGTCCACCACACGCGACGCTTCATCTCGCGCTCCGCAATGGGGCTCTCCGTGTCGGGCGCAGAGAGGTCCATGATCTCGGCCATGCCAAGGGCGATGCCTGATATTAAGTTATGAGTACACTTGTAGCAAGGGACGGGGATGGCTGCATCCTTGACACTTACGGAAAAAGAGAGCCCCAGAGGACCTGTTGCAATCCCATTCGCACAGGTTGGCGATGATACAGCACGTCTGCACATTCTCGAGCGTGATGTTCTCCAGATCAGCCTGCAGCAGCCGCTTCGCCTCCTTCGCCAGCGGCCCATGCATCTCGCGAAGAGCCACGTCGTCGGACACCCGGCATCCCATGCTGCAGATGGCCAGGACCATGGCTCGGCTACAGGTCCCCTGGCGCACGCGCTCTTGCAGGGTCCGCGGATGGAACAAGCTATGCGGGCGATGATGGATCTTCTGCAGGTAGAGTCCGACGAGATCTTCGACCACCGGCAAGGGGAGGTCGGGACCGCCAGGCACATGGTAACCCGGGAGAACTCGTGGCTCGTGGGAGGCCCCCCTCCCCGGCTCTGACGTCGAGCCGCGCTGCAGAGGAGGCCGAGGAGACGTCGCCTTGAGAAATAGAGCATGACTTTCCCTCAGCTGACGCGAGTAGCTGCAATGCAGAAACCGCCCCTGGCAGGGTTGGCAGGCCGCGTTGAGGGAGTCGCCCACGGTGCATCGTCGTCGGGCGTCGCGGCACTGCTTGCAAGCCGTGGGCCTGCGCATTCTCTGCTTCGGGGCTGATTGATGCCTGGCACTTGAAAGATTTGGCCTCAGAGAGCAATGCTCAAATGGCCGCTACATCCTTGTGCATTGATGCGGGATTGATTTCAAAGTGTGTTTAAAGATTGAAGAGACCAGACGTGGAGGCGGGGTTTCTGTTGGCGACGTTCGTTCATGATGGTTCTATAATCTATTCCCGCTTCGGATTGACACCAATAGATCACGTGGTGCTAAGTCATTCTATTACTACGACGAGACAGAACAGACGCAGGTTGCAACTGAACACCATACGACTTGGTGTTTCAAGAGTCAATTCATGCTTCATGTTGGGTCCAAGATCTATGTCTAGTCTAGACAAGGCATCCCACGCCTTGGCAAACAGACTCAAAAGCACGCGTCCACCATCTACATCTACTGACCCTTCAACGCCTACATACCAAACGCAATCACCTGCTTCTGTGGCGGCCAGGCTTCCTCCTCTTTTGGGAGCGGCCAGTCGACAATGTGCCTGCCCGAACCCACCACGTACTCGCCTCGAGGATCGTCCACGACAGCCTGGACGTTGGGCGGGATCGTGAGATGCACTCGGACCATGCGGTTGTCCTCGACGAGTTCCCAGCGGCAGCTGATCGTACCATGAGGGCTCTCAAACCTGCCCTGCGCACTCGTAATCGTGCCCCCCGGCTTCGGGCTCACGAGGACCTTCTTCCAGCCGGGCTCGAGCAGACTCAAACCCGCGACAGTCCTGTGCAGCCAGTCGGCCACGCTGCCAAGGGCATAGTGATTAAAGCTCGTCATCTCCCCCGGGTTGATGCGGCCGTCCTCGAGCATGCTGTCCCACCGCTCCCAGATCGTCGACGCGCCCTGCGACACCGGGTACAGCCAGCTCGGACACGACTCCTCGAGCAGCATCCGGTACGCTAGCTGGCTGTGGCCGCCCTGCGTCAGCGCCTCGAGCACCGCTGGTGTGCCTGCGAAGCCCGTCGAGATGCGGAACCCTGCGTAGCGAGCGAGGCGCGCCAGGCGATCGCCCGCCACTTTGCGCTGCTCGGGCGTCGCGTGGAGGTCAAAGCGCATCGACAGGGACAGGGACGTCTGGGAGTCGCCCACGACGAGGCCTGACTTGGCCATGTACTTGTCCTGGAATGTTTGCTTCAGCCTGGCGTGCTCGCGCGTGTACATGTCGGCAGAATCCGCGTGGCCCAGTACGCTGGCAATCTTGGCCATGAGAGACGTGACGTGGACGAGATACTGGTCCGCCACCAAGACGCCATCTGTGCGGCTGAGGCCCGGCTCGTGAGGAGGTGCTGCCGGGTCGAGCCAGTCACCAAGCTGCCAGAGCGCCGGGTCCCAGAGCCCATCGCTAGCACGACGCACCGACCGGAGGTAGCTCTCCATGGCGGGCCAGTTGTCCCGCAGCACCTGCGCGTCGCCAAAGTTGCGGTAGAGGTTCCAGGGGAGGATGATGATGACATCGTCCCAGACAGCCTGGGGCACCGTCGGCCACGGACCATCCCTCATGACGTTGGGGATGACGAGTGGGACAATGCCCCCGTTCATGGCCTGCTCGGCAACCACGTCGCGCAGCCAGTTTGCCAGCATCCCGCTGCAGTCGTAGATGTAGCTCGCCGTCGGGCTGAAGACCTGGATATCGCCCGTCCAGCCCAGGCGCTCGTCTCGCTGTGGGCAGTCGGTTGGAAGGCCTACAAAGTTTCCACGCATCGACCAGAGGACGTTCTGATGTAGCCGCGTCACTCGCTCGTCTGAGCACGCAAAGTGACCGGTGCGTCGCATGTCGGTGTGGAGGACCTCGGCCACGAGCGAGTCTAGCGTCAGCGGTCCCTCCGTGTCGTCAGGATGCCATCCACTGACCTCGACGTAGCGGAAACCGTGGTACGTGAAGCGAGGGGCCCAGTTCTCGAGTTGTCGACCACCCGCGAAGATGACGGTGTCGGTGACCTTGGCCTGCCTCAGCGGACGGACGCCTAGTCTGCCCTCCTCCAAGACCTCTGCGAAGCGCATGACTAGCTGATGACCGTCTGGTCGGGCGAGGAGCGGTATCCTGACTCTCCCCACCAGGTTCTGTCCAAAGTCCACCAGTGCCTTGCCGTCGGGATCCTTGGAGATGGATACGGGGCGGACGACCTGCGTCACCCTGACTGGGTCGCAGGAGGAGGGGACGAGCGCGGAGCGGACAGGCTCCAGGACCTCTGCGGGAGACCATCCGGAGTCATTCAGATCCCACGGGTCATACTCGAGGCCCAGATTGTACGTCTCCCCGTCGTACAGGCTACTGGACGTGGTGGCCTGTGGCTTACACTCCCATGTCTCGTCCGTGACGATCCACCTCGACGGGGTCGACGCTGCGTCCGAGTCGAATAGGGCGAGCTGCGCCAGCGGTCCTATGCGGTCACCGTAGATGCGAGACTTGCCCTCGCCCCAGAGGAGTCTCCCAGCGTACCAGCCCTCGGCCACGTCCACCACCAGAATGTTGGTGCCAGCAACAAGAAAGGAGCTGATATCAAATGCCTGGAACTGGAGGCGCGCGTCGTACGTCGTCCAGCCTGGGGCAAGGCACTCATCCCCGATGCGCCGTCCGTTAAGACGGGCTTCATAGAGACCCAGGGCTGTGATGTACAATCGGCTCCGCGCAGCCTTCTCGGGGACGTCGAAGACTTTTCGAAAGCGCATCGGCCGGAACCCATTCTCCGCTGAACACTCGCCGCCTGGCAGATCTGTCGGACTGGTGATGGGCTTTGCGATCCAGCTGTCCTCGTCAAGAATGGACGCTTCGACGGTGAACCAATCCGACCACTCCGTATCGGCTGGCGTGCCGCTGCTTGTGCCAAAGGAACGAACTCGGACATGGGCTCTCTCGAGCGAGTTGAGGGGCGTGTCGGGCCACGGGATAAGGACTGTGTCGGGGCTCTGGACACCAAAGGACAGTGTCTCGCCGTTTCGTTTCCGACGGCGGCTGACTTGGACTTGGTATCCTGTCTGCATCCAGTTTGACAGCCCTGCTGGTGCGTCAATATGCCAGGAGAGGCGCGGTGTCGTAACGTGGATGCCCAACCCAGAGGCGCGCTGCTCGAACCTGAAGTTGGCTATTGACAGGGACGATGATCCCATGGTTGGTGCCTTCATTTTGCAAGTCTGTGTTGAACACATGCACAGAAAATGACAGGGACAAGTGGTGTGCAGAGGCGAGAAATGGTGGCATGGGTTCGTCAGAGCGCGAAGCGTGCTCAGCACCTAGCTCGGCCCATTGCTCCCCCGAGAAACAGCTCCATCTTCTCGCGTGCAAGTCATTCGGGTCATGCCATGACGAAGACGAGGTGCCATCTCGACAGCAGGAGTCAGACGCCCAGCCTTGCCCAAGACTCCAAGATCCTTGAAGGCTGCATCGACCCACACAGTATCAGACTACGTATCTCGCCCTTAGCTTCATGTCCCCCGCATTCTGACTCCGATTGAGCCAGCAGGGGTCGGAGTAAGACGGCCTTTCGTTGGCTCATTCTCCGGCCCTTGTTGCTTTCGTCGCTGGGGAGTCGGGACTGGGGACTGGAGGAGGGCGAGGCATCAGCTGGTCGAAGGGTTCAAGTCGAAGCAACGAGAGCGACGGCGACGGCCCATTCGCTTGGTGCCACAGAGCACTCGCGGTTTCCATGATACTCACAATGGGTTTGGAGGCTTAATTCGTGTCAGAAAACTGTCATATTGATGGACAAATGGCAAAGGAAACATGAAGTCTCGGAGATTGACCAACTATCGAACTAGGACTCTAGGACCATGAATCACGTCTCCCATTGCCTAACAAACCCCCTCACACCGTCAGGATGACAATCTCAAAAGGCTTGGTAAAGGCCACCTCAAAGACGCCCCTCTTGCCCGTAATCCTACGCGTGGTGATGCTGTGCTCATCCCCTCCCTGCGACGGCAGCTTGTTGCTGCTCGTCTCCTTGTCCGCCGTAAAGACGGTCAGCTCCGCCGTGCAGGCACGCGAGCCCTTGACATGGACCTTTACCGCATTCTCCGCACCCGTCGCACCATTGTAGTTGACCATCTTGAGGACAGTCCGCCGACCCGCCTTGGTGGCCGACCACCAGACGGGGCCCAGGCCACCTTCTGTCGCCGTGACGGGCAGCGTCTCGGTGCCGACGTGCGCGGCAAACAGCTGCTGCAGGTAGTAGCTCATGGAGTGCAGGATCTCGTTGGCCGTGTGCTTGATGACGGCGACGGTGTTGGGCTCCTCGTTGTACTCCTTGATGAGCGCGCCGTACGCGGACCCGAGGATAATGTCCGAGTTCTTCTCGATGCCGAGCAGCATGATGGCCTCGCCGCAGGCCATGCCAAACGTCTGGGCGCCAATCTCGGGTCCTGCGCCGCTGCCCTCCCGGATGGCCGCGTACTCGCCCACAAAGACAGGGTACTTGCGGCTGGCCTGGTCAAAGGTGTTGTACAGGCTGGCAAAGTGGTTCTGGTTGTCGTAGATGTGCAGGTCGACCATGGCCCCGCTGCCCGTGTCCGGCGAGGGCGACGGGTTGATGGTCGAGACGACGTGCATGTCCGGGTACTTTGCGCGGATGGCGTTGTAGAACATGTCGAAGCGGTACGCGTAGTAGGAGTCATACCCGCCGTTGAGGTAGTCCTCGTTGCTGATCTCGACCCAGTCAACCTGGAAGGGCTCCTCGTAGCCGAGTTGGACGCGTTTGGCCCCCATGGGCGTCGATGCGTCGCCCTGTTTCGCTGGTTAGCTCATGCGACTCTCCATCGGGGGGCGGATCTCACTGTCAAAAACTCGAGCTCGTCCATGGCCGAGTCCACATAGGGCTGCAGCTCGTCCTCGGGGACCACGTCGCCGTTGAGAGAGAGACCGCCATAGATACCCAGGACGACGGTCAGGTTCATGTCCCTGGCCATGGTCATCTGCTCGAGGAGGCCGAAGCCCTGTGTCTCAATGTCGCCCCAGGTGCTGAGCTTGCCAAAGCGCTGCTCCAACGAGCCAATACTCTCATTCCACTTGAACTGGTTCCCCAGCGACAGGCCCTCCATGTTGTTGCCGCCTGGCAGGCGGATCCAGCTGGCCTTGAGGTCGGCCAGGGTCTGGGCTAGATCCTCCCTCAGCCCGTTGTCGCGGTTCTGGTAGGTCTGCTTGAAGAGGCTGAGCAGGTTGACGTACACGCTCTGGCCCGCCAGCTGGCTCCCGTCAAAGACAAAGGAGAAGGTGTTGTTGGACGTGCTCGCGCTGCTCTGGGGCTGGAACGTGGGGAGCTTGTGCTGGACCCAGTCCTGCGAGGCGTCCTGGCTGGCGCGCGTCGTGGCAGATGACAGCTTCTCGCCCGTGAGCGTGTTGGTGAAGAAGCACTCGACGTCGCCGTCGTAGTCGCCGCGCAGGTAGAAGCTCGCCGCGTACCGCTTGGCCGCGTCCACGTGGAAGCCCCAGAAGCCGTCGTTGTAGAAGCCGACGGGACCCGTGGTGCCCTCGGGCACGTCCATGCGCATCTGGTAGGTGAGGCTGTCGGACAGGGCCGGCGCCGTGGTGTCAATGCTCAATTCCACGTCGCCTATGGGGTGCCAAAACTCTGTGTTCCTGTCAAAGCTGGCCCGCCGTCCGGGACCAGGCGAGCCCTGGAACGCACGGTTGCGGATCATCTCGCCGTAGAGGCCGCCATCGCCCGAGTGGTAGATTTCCTGTGGGGCATGGTTAGTTGGGGACGAGGAAGATGCAAGCTGGGAGGGCCAGGGCGTGGCGAACCTCGTAGAGAAGGCCGTACAGCAGCGGGCTGGACGCATTGCCTCCGTTGGGCGCAATGTCGAGGCGTAGAGACGAAGCAAGCTTGCAAAGCAGCGGAAGGGCAGCAAGGAAACGCATTTTGAGCAATAATTGGTGTGGCAGGACAGAACGTATCGTCTGAATCGGGTGATCCTGGCAGCTGAACTTGAGACTGTCTCCCTCCCGGTACTTATACAGGAGGTCTATGGCAACCTGTACTCGAGTATCTGCCAGACACCGCTGCTAAATCGCCCAAAGAAGAAGCTCGCCACTGTTCTTCGGCTCCTGATGTCCCGAGGAGGCATGTTCTCGTCGTAAACGAGCCACGAGCTCCCTGTCTATACTCTGTGCCCTCGAGTCTTAGACTCCTGGCCTCGTCCACAAAGTCGGCTCCCCAGATCGATCCCCCACACGTCTGCCAAGGGGTCCGCATGCAGATTTACCGAGTCAGCGGGGATTTGGAGGCGTACCCCAGGTCTGGGTCCTCGTGGCGTGGACGTGCATTGGTGCGCGTGTGAGGCCGCGAGTTCGCACTGGGCTCGAGACCAATCTCGTCGAGATGCCTTCATCTCTAGCCCTCCTCTCCCAATCCCAGTCCCTGGCCCAGACTATAGACTCCCTGGACCGAGTCACCCTCGGTCTAACTCTGGCCGTGCCCCAGCATGCCATGCGTTGACCCTCGCGACGACACCTTCGGCAGCATCTGATCCGGGCGCGCATTTAATAACCCCCAGAGCGCGTCTCCAAGTCCAACTCCCAAGAGTCACAAGGCTCAAGCTCAGCACAATCTTGACCATCCTCGCCAAGTCAAGACTTCACTCTTGTATTCCCTAGCCTCCAAAGTCAAGTCCCAAGCACATAGCCGCCATGGCCTTGCCGTCCAAGGTCTACCAGGTCCTGGTCGGCGTCTTCGCTGCCCTGGGCTCGTTCCTCTACGGCTACGACCTGACAATTGTCGCAGAGGGTTCGTTCTATTCTTTCCCCCTACCTCCATTCCATCTCCCAGTCCCCTCTGACCATTCTCAGTCGTCGCCAGCCAGTCCTTCAACCGCAAGTTCAACCCCAGCGTCGACGAGATCGGCCTCGTCGCCTCCCTCCTCACTGCTGGCGCCTTTGTCGGCGCTGGGCTGGCTGCCACCACCAGTGACTTCCTCGGTCGCCGCGTCACCATCGGCACAGGTGGTCTCGTTTTCTGTCTCGGTGGTGCCCTTCAGACGGGCGCAGAGAACTATAGCTATGTCATCGGCGGCAGATTCATCAGTGGCTGCGGGTACGTCTCAAGGAGGACTTGACAAGTATGGACTGTGCGTGCAATGGGCTGACAACTCCAGTGTCGGTATCCTCACCATGATCATCCCCCTGTATCAAGCCGAGCTGGCGCACCCAGACATTCGCGGCCTCGTCACGGGCCTGCAGCAGTTCATGCTCGGCGTCGGTGGCGTCTGCGGTGCCTGGATCAGCTACGGCACCTACGTCGGCTTCGACGACGACCGCCAGTGGCGCATCCCCTTTGGTCTCCAGATCGTCCCCGCCGCCCTCCTCGCCGGTCTCATCGTCTTCTTTCCCGAGTCCCCTCGCTGGCTCATCAAGAAGGGCAGGACCGAGGACGGTCTGCGGACGCTGGCCAGACTCCACTCAGGTGGCAACACCGAGGATGCCTGGGTCATCGCCGAGCACCAGCAGATCCAGGACTCGGTCGCGCACGAGTCCGAGGTCGAGGCCAAGTCGTACACCGAGCTCTTCCGCGACCGTGCCAACTTCCGCCGGGTCGTCATCGCCTGTGCCATCCAGGCAGCCACGCAGATGACGGGCATCTCGGCCATCCAGTACTACTCTGTCACCATCTTTGTAAGTCCAAATTCTTGCCGCGTCCCGTTTGTGCGTGTTGCTCACATCTGACCCCGTCCAACAGGCCCAAGTCGGCATCACGGGCGAAGACACCCTTCGATACCAGGCCATCAACTCCGTCATTGGCCTCATCAGCGAGGTCCTGATCATGCTCCTCGTCGACAAGACCGGTCGTCGCACCATCATCATCGCCGGCAGTCTGCTCATGTCCTTGACCTACATTATCAGCACCGTCCTCATGGCCATGTTCCCAGCCTCCGCGCACAGCACGGGGGCCCATTGGGGCTTCATCATCATGACCTGGCTCTTCAACTTCTGCTTCTCCAGCATGGGTTCTCTCTGTACGTTTTTTCCTCCCCCTCGGCAAGCCATCATGTCACTTACCTACCAATTAGCCTGGATCATCCCCGCCGAAATGTTCGACACCCAGACACGCGCCAAGGGAGTGGCCCTCGCCACCATGACCTCCTTTGCGTTCAAGTGAGTCCACTGCCTTGCCAAGGTACCAACAATTGCTGACACCGTGCGCAGCACCATGATCGGACAGGTTACGCCTCTCGGCATGGCCAACGTGGGCTGGCGCTTCTACATTCTCTTTGTGGTATGTGCTCCTCGATGCTTATCCATTTTCACCTCTTTCTGACACGTCTGCCTCCAGGTGACCAATATCACCAACGCCCTCTTCTTCTGGTCTTTCCTCCCGGAGACCGGCAAGGTGCCGCTCGAGGAGATGAGGCGTCTCTTCTCCGAATCGCCCCTCTTCATCGGCAGCAGGGACACGAGCCAGTATGTCAACCACGATGTCTCGCACCTGGCCCACCAGCTCGACGAGAAGCACCAGGCCACGACTGTGGAGTAAGGCAGTGCTGGGATGAGATACCTTGGGTGACGGGGATCCTAGAATTTGTCCATGCCGGATTTTCCGTCTTCTTCAGCACTTGGAGGCGGAACGAAGCATGTTGGTGCCTTGTTGCCAGGAAGATGTAGCTGTAATGACCATGTACTATTCAAATCACCCATCGACACACAATATCACCTCGCAGAAGGGCATGTCTCGTATTCAACACACCATAAAACACACGCTCTTCAAAACCACGCCTACGACGTGCCCCCACCGAGCTTGACAATCTCCGCCTCAATGGCCTTGCCAAACCCCTCGGTCTTGCCTTGACCACCCATGTCCGGGGTCACGACGCTGCTCTCGGCGCGCGCCAGCACATTCTCAATGGCCTTGAGCATCGTCGCCGCCGCCTCCTTGTACCCAAAGTGCTCGAGCATCATCTGCCCGGCCCAGATCATGCCGACCGGGTTCGCCACGCCCCGGCCGTAGATGTCCGGGGCACTGCCGTGGACGGGCTCGAACAGGGAGGGGAATGTGCTGCTCGGGTTGATGTTGGCGGACGGGGCGATGCCGATGGTGCCGGTGCAGGCAGGCCCCAGATCCGAGAGGATGTCGCCAAATAGGTTGCTCGCAACAACAACGTCAAAGATCTGCGGTCGCTGCACGAAATGCGCCGTCAGGATGTCAATGTGGTATTTTTCCACACTGACGTCGGCAAAGTTCTTGGACATGGCCGCCACGCGCGAGTCCCACCAGGGCATGGTGATGCTGATCCCGTTGCTCTTGGTGGCGCTGGTGAGCTTCTTCCTCGGCCTGCTCTGCGCCAGCTCAAACGCGTACCGGAGGACACGGTCCACGCCCACCCGCGTCATCACCGTGTCCTGGATGACCGTCTCCCGGTCGGTGCCCTCAAACATCGTGCCGCCGACGCTACTGTACTCGCCCTCGGTGTTCTCCCGCACGATCCAAAAGTCAATGTCGCCAGGCTTCCGCCCAGCGAGTGGGCAGGGCACGCCCGGCATGAGCCGACACGGGCGCAGGTTGACGTACTGGTCAAACTCCCGGCGGAACTTGAGGAGACTGCCCCAGAGGGAGACATTGTCCGGTACGCGGTCTGGCATGCCGACGGCGCCAAAGTAGAGGGCGTCGAAGCCCTCGAGCTGCGCTTTCCAGTCGTCGGGCATCATGGTGCCGTGCTTGTCGTAGTAGTCACATGACGCAAAGTAAAAGGTCTTCATCTCCAGCGGGATGCTGTACGCCTTGGCGGCGGCTTCGAGGCAGGCCACGCCGTGTGGCATGACTTCTTGGCCGATGCCATCACCGGAGATGACTGCGATGCGAAGCGTTTTGGGCATGTTGGAACTTGGGGTCGAACGTTATGCTACAATGAGAAGATGAGATTCTTAAACTTAGTTTTTATACACGCCCAGCGAGCGACCGGACTTGATCATGCCGCAGTCTGAAGTGAGCGTGGGGTGGGTAACCGTGGGCTGCGGGGAAGAAAAGGCCGCGGACTTGTGCATGGCCGAGCGCTGGTTTTGCGTGACGAGGCCAATCTCATCTTGGAGGAGGCGATGTCAGGATCGTCTTGCTACATGGCAGATCAGACTCGGTCTGTCGGGTCTCAAATTCGGAGGATGGAAGTGATGAGATCTCATCGTCACATGCTTCAATTGAGCTTAATTGAGCAGGTGAGATGACTAAGCAAGCTGCCCAAATTGCGGGGTACCAAAATCATCAGCCACATTGGTCTGCGCCACAACTTGAATGTGGCTGATTTCAATGCCCGCTTGCAAGGGTCCAAGCGGTCGCCTAGCAACGAGGAAGATCAGCAAAGGGATGGATGGATGCATGCCCAACGCACCAGCGACTCTCCAGTCGTCAGCGTCACACGAGCTCGCGCTGAGCTTGCTTCATTTTCGTGCGGCATAATCTCCTGCCCGCTGGACGATTGTTTGACTTTACACCATCTGGAATCGAACGACGAGCAAGCAGCAAACATACCTACTGAAATGCTACAGTGGACGCCGTCTTCGAACCCCGTCTAGCCCCGCTGCCAACATTCCTCCCCAAACAATCGCCCACATACCGACAGTCTACAAGACCGACATTCCTCCCACCACGGCTGCGAAGCCGCCAAGCACGCTCGCACACCTCGCACGGAAAGCGCCGGGTGCTCGTGCTGTTGGAGAGCCCTCAGCATCGTCGCCGCCGTCATGGCGCCGACAGGAGACGAGTTCTCGTCGCCTGGGTCCGTCACCTACGACTCCGAGACCATGGTCGTGGGCGACGGTACCTGGGACTTTTCCAAGAACACGTTTCTCCTGCCCAACTTGGAGGGGTTCAACTTTGATACCATGCGCTACAATGGTATGTGACTGTTTCACGCCCTCCAGCGGCTGCAACCAACTGACGAGGTACTATAGGCATGGGCAATCGCTTCTCTACCCTAACACAATATCACAGCATCATACTTGCGCACGGCATCCTCGCAGCCCTCGTCTTTCTTCTCTTTGTCCCGACAGCCATTTTCGTCGTGCGGTTTCACACGGGCCGACCCGGTTTCGCTGTTCGCTTCCACGCCCGCCTGCAGATCGTCTCGGGCCTCCTACTCATCGTCGTCTTCATTCTCGGTTTCCTGGCCGTCGGACCCAGCAGAGCCTTGTCCAATCCCCACCATGGCATCGGCGTCGCCATCTTTGTGGTCTTTGTCCTTCAGTTTGTCGGTGGCCGCATCATCTACCGCATTCAAAAGGCGCACTCGCTGCGTGTCACACTGCACCAATGGGGAGGTCGCACCATCGCGCTGCTGGGCATGATACAGATCCCGCTGGGGCTGACCTTGTATGGCGCACCCAAGTATCTGTTCATTCTGTACGCGGTGTGGATGGCCTTTCTCCTCCTCGTATACTTTATCCTCAACTTCCGAGCCGGCAGCCGCAGAGAGCTTTTGATCGAGCCGACAAGGTCGGAGATTGGGCGCTCGGAAATCGGCGGTGCTCGCTCCGAAGCTCGCACGCGCGTCACAGACTCGGAATACTTCTCTGAGCATCGCGACGACGGGCACAACAAGTGGAAGTGGCTTGGACCACTGGCTGCGGGTGGTGCTGCTTGGTGGTGGTCGAAGGGGAGGGGCAAGGGCGCGCGAGACCGCAGTCGAACGCCCTCGCCATCTGGACGAAGGCGTGGCCCCGAGGTGGTCCCATCGCGCAGAGGGTCTGCCAGCTACTACGAATCTGACAAGTACACTGATGTCACGCCCCGACGCAAAAGTGGTGGTGGCGGCGGTGGCATGATGCGGGCATTGGGCGGAGCCGCAGCATTCGTTGGTGCGGGCAAGCTTTTCAACAACTACATGGACAAGCGCAGGGGTGGCTATGATGATGAGTACTCGGCCGTCTCGACAGAGACCCCACGACGATACCCGCCAGGTCGCGGTATCCCCCCGAGCGACATGAGCTCTGAGCTCACAGAGGACATTCGAGGTGACCCGACGGCGACATCTCTGCTCTCGCCCCCGCCAGGTGAGCGCGCTGCAATGGCGGGTGCCCTGGGCGCTGCAGATTCACGAGTGGGCTCACAACGACATGCTCATCCCCGAGGCCCACCGCCAGCTCGCCGCCCAGGGGCCAGACGTAGCTTTGACGACTCTGAATACTCATCGTACGTGAGCCCATCGCGTCGTCCCGTCGACGCAGAAGGGTCTCGAGGGGGCGGCATGGGCAAGGGCATCCTTGGTGGCATTGGGCTGGGGTGGATCGGCAAGAAGATGGCGGATAGGAAGGCGAGAAAGGAGGAGCAGCGCCGCATGGACGAGGAAGACGACATGCGCTCGGGGCTGACGGATTCGAGGTACACGGGCGACGGCTACCCATCCCCGACACGCAAACCTGCTCGGAGACCGACTGTACGACGACCAACGGGCTATCCGCCGCCGTCTGCGCCGACTGAGATGACCGAGTCGTCCATTCTCACCGAGGAACCTTCGACAGTTGCCCCGATGCCACCTCGCGCGAGCGGGCCAAGCAGCCACGCAAGATCACGCTCGAGATCACAACGAAATATTGCGCCAGTAGCGATGCCGGCCATGCCGCCAGATCACTCCGAGACCGAGAGCTCATACGTGTCAGACGCCCGGCCTCGACGTCGCGAGTCCTCCAAGAGACGGAAAGAGGGTGAGAGAGCATCAGCCGCCGCGGCAGCCCGGGCATCCGAGCTGGCGGCAGAGCAAGACGTCGAGCGCGAGCGCTACGGCTCACCCAACAGCAACCCAGTGAGCGTCAAGCTCAAGATGCACGACGACAGGGACAGGAACGTGACGTTACGGCGCCTCACGGAGGAAGAGGCACGCGCAGCCCGGGGCCGCAGTCGCGCCGACTCGGAAAGCAACCTGTCCGAGTACGACTCGCCCAGCCAGGGGCGCACGCGATACAGACGGGGCTCGAGCCACCGGCGCGCCGAGTCTGCTGCGGAGCGACGCGTCGAGGATGAGCGAGACACGCTCGCTCCCCTATCGCCGCCCAACCCAGCGTTCGCCAAGGGGAGACGGAACAAGGATTCGGCGTACTACTCGGGCGCACAACCTGGACCGTCGGGGACGTCGGCGGCGGCAGGACAGACGGTGTCCAGCCTGGGGAGCCTCGCTAGTCCCGAGAGCCACGGGACGTGGAGCCAGATGAGTCCATCGCCGAGCGGACCTCCTGCTGTAGAGAAGCCTGGACCAGGATCAGCGGCCGACAACAGGAGGAGAAGGAGGCAGGAGAGGAGAAGAGGGAGCAGTGCGCAGCCGTCAGCGGCCGACATGTTTGATTAGAGTGGATGACAGTAATGGCGTTTGGGGTTGGGAAAACGTCGAGTGATGTGACCTAGACTTTCTATTTATGATTAGATATGAGCTATGTCGATTAACTTTAACCAAAGGCTCTCCTTATTACGATTAATCTTCCGCAGATAATTCAGTGTTGAGTGTGTGGTGTAAACTAAGTACGAGTTTGTGAAGTATAGGGTAGCCATGTTCCCGGGTGAAGAGCCTCGGCCCAGCTGTGACCCCAAGCTGAAGAGCCGAGCGACGTGGAGCTGACCTGCCTGACCTGAACCCCAAGGCGGCTGGCGATCGCGACACCACATGCATGCAACACTACACTCTCGCCGCTACCAGCAAGCGCCCATTTACGACCAAGGACCCTTCTTCCTAATGGCGTGAGGTATTGTGGTGCCATCAAGCAACCGAGACACCAGCGACCGAGGGCCAATTGCAGCAAACCACCATCACATCCATGGCCACCACAGCTTCCGACAGAAAGCGTAGGCGGCGCACCAGGCGTCGCCAGGACAAACCGCCCATATCCGCACGTCTGGTCCTCGATGACCAGATCAAGGGCGACGTTGGCGTGCTCTCGCCTGATCTGTTCCACGAGCTGTTCCCCAATCGTGCGTCTGCTCTGCCCGCCACTGTGAACCACCAAGCTGACAAGTCCTAGACACAGAAGAGGTCGCTCACATTGCCCTCGCGCCCTGGACGCCTCTGGCTACACCCTCCGATGCCCCGTGGTCCGTCGTCCCCGTCCGCCCAGCCTCAAACCCTCTCCATCCGACGACCGTCCACTTCTCGCCGTCCTCGTCCTCGCTGCAGCGCTTTGCCGTCGCCCTCCAACGTCTCGCGCCCTCGAAGCTGGCCGGCCACAGGAGCGGCATTGACGTCCTCATCCTCGACGCCGCTCCCATCCCCCTCGACACCGTATACGTCAGCCTCGAGGGCGAGCTGTCGCGCAGGCTGGAGGCGGGCGAGGGCACCTTTTACAGAGACCACCCCACGGCTGGGCACCGAGGCAAGGGTCTCACGGAGGATGACAAGCTCGCGGGCGCCTTGCGCTATGCGCTGAGCAGCTTGAGCGTTGTACACACAGAGGATCTGTTTCCCCTGCCTCTGCCACCTCATCCCGTGACGCACATTCCGGCCAACCCTGGCAAGATTGTGCTCTGCGAGCCAGTGGCGCAGGGCGTCCTGACTGACGCGACGAAGATCATCCTCATGCGCGGACGCGGTCACGGGAAGAGGGCACGACTGACAGCCCCAGCCATGCCGGCAAGTCGCAGGGCGATCAACGGCATCCGCGAGGAGGAAGACGACGAGGGCGCGACGACGGACCAGTTCTACTCGGCGGCCGAAGAGCGGGACCGATCCGAGGCGCCCAGCGCGGCGGAGACGGAGACGGCCACCGAGACCGAGACGGAGACGGAAATGTCAGAGCTGGATCGTGACGAGGGAGACGTCGACGAGCTCTCGGATGATTCCATGGACGACATGATCTCCCTGCAGGCGCCGATGTTGCCTGCTTCGTCAGCCAGCGGTGTGTCCACCATGCAGCCTGGCTCGCCTATGACAGTGGGAACCATCCGTGGGAGGCGAACGAACGGCATCGCGACGCCTGGCTCCGTCTTCTCCAACATGACGTCCATGACGGCCCGTCCCGATCGTCCCAGGGGTCGTCTCTTCAAGGCACAGGGGCTGATGCGTGGGATGCCGGCAGATCTGCTCCATCCCAAGCCCGCGCCCGAAGATGATGACGAGGCGCGCGTCTACGTGCACGTGTCCTCGCTGCCCAAGATTGGCTGCTTCTCGGGCGACTGGGTCCGTCTGGAGGCTGCGTCTGAGCCGCCTGTCAACGGCTTTGGTGCGTTTGGTCTGGGGAGTTTTGGTCAGCAGGAGGTGGAGACTACTAACTGGCGACCTGTGAGGGTCTATGGCCTGCCCGAAGGATACGCACCGCGGCCGATGACGAGGATACCGAGCGCCAGGCACGGCGAGCGCAAGCTGTCCTTTTTCGCGTCGCAGGTACAACCGGCCCCGAGTCCGACGGCCTATGCCTCGCCTATTCTGCTGGCGAACCTGGAAGACGCGAGCTACCTGCGCATTGCGCCGCTCAAGAGATCTGCATATCAGGGGAAAGGGACTCTGCCACGGTTCACGAGTGCCTCTCGTCCGCCGTACGCTCGCGATATCACCGTGCATCATGTGCGGACACCCGTCTCGGCAGAACGCGCCTATCAGACCGCGGTTCTCGGTGGTCTAAAGCACTACTTTGCGTCCAAGACGCGGCTTGTGCGTTCAGGGGATCTGATTGCGGTGCCTGTCGACGCTCAGCTCGGTCGAGCCCTGCAGGAGATGCCTGGCGCACCCGGTGGCGGTTCTGAGGTGGACGATGTTATGGCCCTGACGACCGGTGGTCAGAACCACTCCGCCGCGCACATTGATGGCGTCGCTTGGTTTAAGATTGGGCACATTCGCATTCAAAAGGCCGACGAGGACGAAGACAGCTCCGCCGAAGCCTTCTGGGGCAACGTGGCCTGCATCGACAGCTCTTCCGTGGGCATGCATGGCTCCGGGTTCCAGACCAGCCGTATACCAGGGACCAGGAAGAGCACATGGCAATATTATCTAGGCCTGCGGAAACTACCACTACGCGACCCTGAGGGCCCGCCCGCGGCACTGCCGCCACCTGAGCGCGACCAGCAGCAGCAGAGCTACGTCTCGCCGTTGCGGCACCAGCTCAGACAGCTGCTGGCCGCAGCGACAAGCAAGAGAGCGATCGCGCTCAAGATGCCCCCCGTCGCCATCCTACTGACCTCGACGCATCGCAACATTGGCAAGAGTACCCTCGCCGCCGGGGCCTGTGGCGACATTGGCCTACACACCTTCACCATTGACGCTTTCGACATCTTGAGTGAGGGCGGCAACGGGGGCGGTGGCAGCGATGTCAAGACAGAGGGATTCCTTCGCACGCGCGCCGAGCGCGCCATGAGCTGCGGGCCTGACTGCTGCGGCCTGCTGATACGGCACGTCGAAGCACTCACAGCCGACAGGATCGAGGTGACGCTCAAGGAGATACTGGACGACACCAGGGTGCTTATCGCCACGACCAACGAGGTTGACAAGGTCCCCGACGGCGTGCGGGCCCTCTTCACCCATGAGCTCGAGATGGGCGCACCCGACGAAAAGGAGCGAGAGGCTATTCTGCGCAACATCCTGGACGATCGCGGCCTCGGTCTCGAGCCCAGCATCGATCTCAACAGCGTTGCGCTGAAGACGGCCGCGCTTGTCGCAGGTGATCTGGTCGACGTGGTCGACCGCGCCTCGGCAGCGCAGCAGAACCGCCTGGAAACCCTGATCGCCGACACGCCCCTGACCCTCCGGGACGTGCAGATCGCCGGCGGCACTATGGCGCGTTGCCTGACGCGGGGCGACCTCGACGCAGCCGTCGAGGCGGCGCGCAAGACATTCTCCGATTCCATCGGCGCCCCCAAGATCCCCAACGTCACCTGGGACGACGTCGGCGGCCTGTCCAACGTCAAGGACGCCATCACCGAGACCATCCAGCTACCGCTCGAGCGACCCGAGATGTTTGCGCGCGGCATGAAGAAGCGCTCCGGCATCCTCTTCTACGGCCCGCCCGGCACCGGCAAAACGCTGCTCGCCAAGGCCATTGCGACCGAGTACAGCCTCAACTTCTTCTCCGTCAAGGGCCCGGAGCTGCTCAACATGTACATTGGCGAGTCCGAGGCCAACGTGCGCCGCGTCTTTCAGCGCGCCCGCGATGCCCGGCCCTGCGTCGTCTTCTTTGATGAGCTCGACTCGGTCGCCCCCAAGCGCGGCAACCAGGGCGACAGCGGCGGTGTCATGGATCGCATCGTGTCACAGCTGCTCGCCGAGCTGGACGGCATGTCCTCGGGCGACAGCACGGGGTCTGGTGGTGTCTTTGTCATTGGCGCCACCAACAGGCCCGATCTGCTGGACCCGGCTCTGCTGCGACCGGGTCGATTTGACAAGATGCTCTATCTGGGAGTGTCGGATACGCACGAGAAGCAACTCACCATTCTGCAGGCGTTGACGCGCAAGTACGTTCTCCTCTGTCCTTTCTGGCAACTCATCTAACCCTCACAGGTTCACACTCGATCCGACGCTCTCGCTGCGCAGCGTCGCCAACCAGCTCCCCCTGACATACACAGGCGCCGACTTTTACGCCTTGTGCTCCGACGCCATGCTCAAGGCCGTCACGCGGCAGGCCCAAATGGTCGACAGCAAGATCCAGCACCTGCGCGCCGACATGTCCACCGCCTACTTCTTTGACCACCACGCCACGCCCGAGGACCTGGCAGTCGTGGTCACCGAGCAGGACTTTCTGGCCGCGCAGCAGGAGCTTGTGCCCAGTGTCAGCCAGGGCGAGCTGCAGCACTACGAGAAAGTCAGGGCCACTTTTGAGGGCAGCGGCGAGAAGAAGGCCGACAAGGGCAAGGGCAAGGCGATAGAGTACGCTGTCCAGGATAAGGGCAAGGGGAAGGCGGCCGAGTATAGCTACGACGACGGCGAGGCCAACGGCACGGTGAGGAGGAAGAGGGACAAGGGCAAGGGGAAGGCTATCGCGGGTTTTGAGGATGGCACGGCAAGTGATGATGACGGTTTATATTAGTGAGTGTAAGTACAGAGGCTTGTGTGTAGATATACAGGGCGGATTTTGTGTGCATGTGTATGGCACCTCCAACCATGACCGTTATGGCTCTTTCTTTGCGCTGGCAGGCTCGGCAGCAGCTGGCGTGTCTGGTTTTGTCGTTGCGGCGGCGGCGGCTGTAGGCTTGGCGGCAGTCTTCTCGTCGTCTTCTGATGACTCTTCGTCCGAGTCTTCCTCATCATCCTCGGAATCGTCCTCCTCTGAGCTCTCTTCTTCTTCGTCTTCCTCGTCGTCGTCGTCATCGTCGTCGTCCTCGTCACTGGACTCCGCAGCAGTTCCTTTTGGAGCCGGTTTCCCAGCTGGCGTCGTCGCTGTTGCCGTTAGCTTGGCAGCTTCCGTCGCGGGCTTGTTCACGTCCTTGCTCAATGTCGGTATGGCGCCTAGTGGCGCAGGCTTCCATGTCGCGCTCGTGGGGCTTTGCACGTTGGCTGCAGATTGCGTCGTAAGGTCTTGCTTCCACGTGCCGCTCGTGGGGGACTGCAACCCAGGCATTGCGATCCCAGCTGGCTTGGGGGCTGGCGTCGCAGGCTGTTTGTTCTCCTTTTCCGACTCTTCCTCTGAGCTCTCCTCTTCGTCATCGTCTGACTCTTCCTCGGAGGAAGACTCTTCCTCCGAGTCGTCTTCGTCGTCATCGTCCTCACTCTCCTTCTTGTCCACAGCGGCCTTGGTGACTTCTGCCTCCTTTTTCTCGTCAGGTTTTCCTTGTCCCTCGGTCTTCTCTTCTTCTTTCGGCGACGCCACGCCTGCCTTCTCCTCGGCCTTTTTCTTTTCAATGGCGGCGGCACCCTCTTTACCGTGGACCTTCTCTCGCAGGCTCTTCAGCCGAAGCTCCTTAGCCTTCTGGGCTGCTTCGTCCGCGACCGAGCGTATGGGCAGCGCCTCTTCCTTCTTCTCCGTCTTCTTGGCGGGAATGGCAGCAGGGGTCGACTTTTTGGGTTCTGGCGCTGGAGGGGGGTTCGCTGGGGCCGGTGTACCGGTCGAGACCTCTGTCTTGTCGCTTGTGGACGTCGTGTTCGGTGTGGGTGTGGTCTTTGACGCACCGGCCGCGGCGGCCGCCGTGCCAGCTGCTGCAGACGCCTTCTGGACGGGCCGTCGGAGCTTGGGAACGGGGTATTTGTAGTGGATGTTGGGTATGGTGTTCTCGTCGTAGTAGATCTTGACATGCTGCTTTAGTTCCCTGTACTCGTTCCACTCTTCAATTTCCACAATGTCCTGTGAGGTTAGTGCCGTTGCGCAGGGATACGCATCAGGGACGGTGGCTTCGACATACCCCAATAACCAGACCCTCCTGCACCAGGCCAGGGAGCTTGCGCACCCTGCCGCTTGGGTCTTTACCAGCTCGTCGACCCCATAGCATACGCGCCTTTTGATCAGTCGCAATGTCGAGGGCTTTGAACGGGATGCGATTGGCGCGGAGGATGGTCTCGAGGCGGGAGGTGGCCGTGACGATGTGCGAGGAGCCGGCTGTAAGGGACGTGAAGATGTAGAGAGCTGGGTCGTCGGTGAGAGTGCTCATGTTGACGGATTCTGTATGCAGAGATGCACGATGCAAGGACGGTGGGAACGCTTCAATGCTGGGACAGTGGAAGAAATGCTGCTGGAGTTGGATGGCTGGAAAGGGGGAGGACATGGGCTGGAGCCACAGCACGTACGTACCTCAGGCTGGTATGTAACAGCTACCAGGTATAGAGGGGGCGGGGTTCGGCATTGGGCTGCTTCAGCTGACATTGGGCGTCACACTTTAGGGTAGGTAGTCCCCTTTGTAGCACGTGAAAGTGGTTCAGGGTAGTTGAGTGCTGGTAGTGAACCCTGGCCACGAGAGCAATGTTCCCCTTTCACAAACCACACTCTCATCTCTAGCCTTTTTTATCAGGAAAAGTTCCTCTGAAGGCGAGAATATTGGTATCTCAACCCATTTCACAACAAAAGAAGCCGACTGAAAGCTAATCTCGCGATGCTGGAAGAGTAGTCTCAACAGCCATCACACGGCCACCTCAAAGTCTTTGTCGAGTTGTTTCTGAAGCTCCGCCCACTGACCCTTCACCTTGCAAGCTGAGGTCCAGTAATTGCCCTTGTCATCCTTCCCAAGGACAAAGAAGCCGTCCACGGGTTTGATGGGGCCGTGGTTCTCCTGGACATAGCAAGGGCGGCATGGCGCGTCACCTTCTCCGGCGTGCCTACGCGCCGGAGCAAAGTCCAGGTCGAAAAGACCGGCCTTTGACCAGTTGGAGAACCCTATCTGAGCCATCCCTCCGTTCCCGATGATGGCGATGGGTAGGCCGGTGTTCGATGCGCGCACCATGGCGTAGTAGGCCTCATGCTGCGCCCGCGTGCCCTGCTCGTTGATGGCCTTTCGTACCTGGCGCGCGAGCCAGCTCAGCGGCTTCGACGAGACGTCGCCGGCACTGACGAGCACGTTTGCCCACCCGAACGCGTTGCCGACGTAAGGCCGCTCAGTCGACGCAGGGATCAGATCGCCCTCGAATGCCTTCCGAAGCGACATGGCAATGGACCCGGCAACCTAGTCGCAGGATTAACTCGACTATTTCACAACAATGATACGTGTAACTTGTCCAGCGGGGTCAGAACCTACTAGTCTGTCAGGGCTCATACCCATCGACCTCACAACACAACTCATGGTCCATGCTGTGAGAATGTCGCCTTCCGTCAGGAAAACCTTGGAAGGATCCTCGCCCCTCCCGACAGCCTCCGCGCGGAGCTCCTCCACGGCCTTCTCTAGCTGCGGTCGCCAGTACGTCTCCGGGATACAGACCATGCCGTTGTCCTTGGCTCGGACGAGCATGTCGAAACCGTAGCCTAACCCCCACCTGAGAATACCGACCAGTCCGACCCGTCTGTCCGCTAAGACGTGCTGCTCCGTGGCAGTTCGCGTACCCTTTGCGATGGCGTCGAAAGGATCCGATTTGGCATCACACGGCGTTGGGATGTCTGCTTCCTTGCCCCAGAGCATGTTGCTCCACCCCTCAACGACGTACTGCATCCCGAGAGCATCAAAGGCAACGTGCTGCCACTGCAGCACGACAACCGTCTTGTCAGTGAAGGAGTTGACGCGCAGGCCCAGAACCGGGCGATCGGAGGTGAGGTAGTCCTTGATGCCTCCAGGTCGATACCCGGGCTCCCACGCCAGATCTGCCAGGTCATCCGGGTCGCTGACCCGAGCGGGTCGGGTAGAGGGCTGCGGGATCTTGCAGGCCGCAGGGTGAGAAGCAGCGGACATGCCGTGGTCTACGTGGGAGAAGCCGATGGCTGGCCGCTCGCGCGTGAACTCGTTTGGGATGTGCCATTCGATCTTGCCAGCGCCCTGTGCAGCGAGACGGATGACAACTTAGCATCTTCGTCATTGAAGCCGTGGCTACGATTTTACTCTCACATTTGTCCTCAGCCGGCCTCCCAGCTTTTCCCACCCTGGTCTCTTGACCAGACCCTCTAGAGCTAGCCGCAGCTTCTCCGGGTCAAGAACGGAGTCGAACACGAGTGAGACGGCCATGTTGTTCCCCTGGACCAGTGGACTGTCCTCAAAGAAGTGAAGCGGCAGGACTCGGTCTGTGGGGACGACCTTGACGGCAGGCTTGCGGCCAAAGAGGTAGTCCATGTTGGTTGTTGTCGACAGGGAGCATGCGGAAACAAGGTCGCTTGGATTGTCTGTTGTGACGAGTCGTGCTTGTTGGACAGGACCGGACGCTGCTCTCGGAAAGACGACAGACAAGGGGATATCGCACTCTTATCGTCAGCCTCGCTAAGCAACTCGTTTTGGTACTTTGGTGCGTTGGTGGTGTGGGTTTGACAGGGGTCCGGACGACATGTTGACTTGTCAGTTGAATCCCCAGTCCCAAATTTCAAGATGCCTGTCCGTGCATACGGAGTACTGACAACCTGCATGGGACTGGTGTGATGATCCTTGACCGTCACAGACTCACAGCGGTCACGGCCTAGTCATAGAGACTATCCGTACTCCGTATCAAAACCGCATGCAGGAGAGAAGCAAGAGTTTCTGATTTCTTATTGTTGGTCCTCGAGCCCAAGTCCCGTTTATTAATTCGCCCCGAATGCTGGGACCAACATGTCGCCTTGGCGACCCCTGAGAATGGAGTTTATAAAGTCCTTGAAATAATCGTATTCTCGGCGTCTTTATCCTATTGCTAGCTCCACCGCTATTGTTCTATCTCCGTCCCCTCTGCGTATCCCACCACGACGATGACCAGTGAACAAATCGACCTGTCGACGACACCAGGCATGCAACCGCCGGGAGACCAGGAGTCGCAATTCGATGGTCCGTACAACTCGGTGCAGATGGCCAATGTGATTGCTTTTGGCCTCACATATTTCTTGGCCACGGTTGTTCTTGGCCTCCGGTATTTCCAGGCTGTGAAGCTCATCAAGAAAGTTGAGATGGACCTTGGTATGGACGCCCTCCAAGACGAGACCTCAAATCCCCCGAGCAGCCGGAGACTGACCACAACATGTAACAAGTAGTGATTATCACGATATCCTACGGCTTGTCACTCACCTACTTCATCACGTTGATAAATCGTAAATATTACGACGGGTCTCCTCCGGGCCTACGCATAGCTGACTCGGACAGTGATGAATTGGGGCTGGGGGAAACACCTCTGGGATGTATCACTGGCATCTTTGATGGAAATGAACAAGGCACGATATCGCCTGCCTTGGCCAATCCGGACCACACTTTGGAAGGCCAGTAGACAAACTTTCCCACTAACACCATATAGACCTTGCTGCCCAACACGCTGGCGTACTTGATATGCCCTTCCGTCACCAAGCTAGCCATTCTGGCTGTGTTGTATCAGATCAACCCTTCCATCGCCTACCGCATCGTTGTCGTCCTCGTCGCCGTCGCCATCTTCACATACACCATGGCATGCTGCGTCATCACGGGCGGCCCGTGCAATCCCCTCAAGGAGGGCGCCCTTCAGTGCCTGGAAAACGTCGCGCTTTCGCATGCGGTGTTGAACATTGCATCTGATTTTGCAGTGATCGCCATCCCGATACCGACAGTTCACAAGCTCCAGCTTTTGCTGAAGCAGAAAATCTCGATTGGGTGTATCCTGGCCATCGGATCACTGTACGCACCTACCTCCCATTCTTCCCCCCCTCACGCAAGAAGCGCATTGGTGCTTTCAGACCGCGCGTGATAATCGTTGGAAAAGTTTTGACTGACTGACGTGGCAGCGTAGTCGTGTGCTCCATAGCCCGCCTGCCATATGCCGTGGTCCTCCCTCGCACCGAGGACTCAACGTATACGCAGGCCATCCTTGGCATCTGGTCCATTGCCGAGATCAACCTCGGCATTATATGCGCCTGTGCCATGCGATTCAAGTCGCTGATCCGGACCTACCTTCCCCAGCTTCAGATCTTCAGCTCCAGCTCGCAGGGCGGGAAGAAACAGTCCAAGGGGCCGTCGACGAAAGGATTGCGGATGGACCAAACAGACGCGCAGGATTCATGCTCATACCAACTCCACAGCTTTCAAAAAAGGAGGACGAGTCTGATACCTCGTGACAAGGACGCCAAGTATCAATCGTACAAAATGGATAAGGGCGGCAGGAGTGTCGACGGTGACAGCGCTGACGAGATTTTGGCTTGAGCTTCCAACTCGTGGCGTGCAAGTCGTCGAGGGGAGATCCCACGAACAGTACGCACTTGGGGAAACTATAGTCAAGGCTCAGCGCGATTCAACTCGTGTTGCGTTGTTGTCCACCTTGTCGAGCAAAAAGAACTGCAAAAACATACAACAGCCGGTATTCGCTGGTCGTCACCGACCCAACTACTAATCAGCCCCTCAGGACTCTTTGCTGTCAGGACGCTGACAGCTTGAAGTGGAAGAACAGGCATCTAGAATAGACGCCCATAACCTCCGTTTCTGGAGGTTGTCATCCACGAGCGATGATCCACAGTACCGTTATGTCACATGACCGTCAACAAAACGGGCGATCCTTGAACGTCGATCAGTTGTTTGAGAGTGCAGGAAAATTGTTAGCCTCCATTAAGCGCCCAGGTCAGGGTGGGGTGTCTAAGGGGGTGGCTCTGATCCTTGCTCTTCGTTAACTCAAGAAAATGCAAGCGCTATCTGCTGCAGATAACGATAGCTCCCCGTTCACTCAAATAAAAGCTCGAGATGAGAGCGGACTGCTATCGCCGCATATGCCTCTATAGCCGACATATCCTATGCTTACCTTCACGTCTTGGAAGAGAACGCAATCTTCAACGTAGGTTCAATCATTAACATTTAGGATGACATGGGCCGTGACTGCACTAACCGCGTCTCGATGTCTACTGAAACCTCCGAATTCGAGCGATACCGAACGTGACGCGTAATTCAGCACCCCTAAGGCCTTTATTTAAGCCACAAGACATGTAGCCGCGATTATTTTATAGCCATGCCGGGCGAGCGGGGTTTTTCAGACAGCTGAAGCGCCAAAGGCGAGCCGCAACGTCCCACTTCGCCCTTTTTTACACATAACTAGCTATGTCACGGGCGTCTTTCTGAAGAGGACAGGGAACGTGTCCGGATCTATGGCTACGGAAAGGTACTTTTTCTTAATATTGCTACTTGTCTGGCTACGAAAATGGAGTGCGCGTAGGTCCGTGCGCGATCCACCCGCGTAGCTAGTATAGGGTAGTCTATTTCCTTCGCCGCTGAGCGGTCGAGCTATGACATTAGCCAAGTCCAACCGTGACGGAGACCAAATAGACTTCTGGTGCTCACGGACAAGGTAGTTGGCAAAGAGTCGACGAACAAGGGCCTCCACTTGTGTTAGAGTGACATACCAATGCGGTCACGATACCATAGGTTTTTTATTCCGGGCGTTTTATCTAGAACTTTACCCAACACATGCACCAAAGGCACTTCTAAAAAGTTATCTAGCTTCAAGGCTTCGATTTGATCAGTGTAGAGGTATTGGATAAAAGACTCTATACTAGTGGAACTAGAATTAAGCATTCCTGCTTCTTCTATTATAAGTTGCTGAGTGTCACGGTCTGGCCCACGAATGCATTCGTGAGCCGTTACCGCTGCGATGCAGCGCAAAAGACTAGGATATTTGTTCCCGAGTTCACACTGCATTCTCATGTGGAGCTTTTTCAAACAGAACTCAAGAGCAGCTGTGAGACTGATCGGCCGCGACCGCATGATTTATTTTCTTCCGAGTGGGCAGCAGGAGGGCTTTGGCTCACGTTCGAAATTCTCGTAGATATTCGCAGTGATCTCCCAATGCTCTATGACAGGGACTTTGTTTCTTCGGGTAGTCCTGGCTTCCTTGTCCGAGGCGGTGTGGAAAAGGCTTCGTTTACGTGAGAGGGCGCATAAGGCATTGATTCAGGTCTTCTAGCGCATTGACGGAGGCGGCAAGCGGCGACTAAGTAGGCAGGCGGTCTGCACCAAATAGAAACACAGGCCACCGCCTGCCTTCCTAGGCCGTCAGGCAAAAAATGGAAGCGAGCACAACAATAATCGCTTCAGAAGATGTTCAGGCAACAACGCGTGACATGGCTGCCGACCTGGAGCCACTAACGCGTCACCCCCAATCGTGGTTTTGTTCCGCATGCGGTGAAACATCTAAAGTTGCTTAGTGTTCAGCTTTGAAGAGTGCCACGTTTCGTGTGGTTGCCACTACGGTGGACTGTCGCCGACAGAACAAGACACAATGCATTGAACTCGCGAGCTTGCAGGCTAAGCTTTTTTGTTCTTAGCAGTGGAGCATGATGCAGCGTCGATCAAGCCTAGTAGGGGGTGGGAGAGTAGCCTGGGCCTTGAACGGGCTGCTGTCAGCTTGCAGAGGGCGCCGGTGTGCGATTGATCGCTGAAATAGATCGTCGTGATTATCGGGTATCATACGCTCCAGGCTGCCGTGAGCCAGGGTGCTTGGTGTCGTATATTTCTGTTTGCCTGTTTGGCTAGAGAACGCCGTACATCGCTGCCGGTCCACTGTAACCGCCGAGGCTCTACTGCGTTCGCTGCCCACCTTGACTGTGATGTACCTATTTTCGGCTAGATCTGCATAATATTTTACATACGGGATAGGCTTGAATGCCATTGAATAGAGGCCACGCTTCGTAACAGGGCAAGCCAACTAGCTACCAACCGCCTGTGGACCGAGTTCACAAGTTGTCAAACCGCCACCGCTTTGCCACGACACGGACAAGATATACAAGCCCAATCAAGACGGGCACCTCGATCAGGGGACCCACTGTCGCGGCCAGCGCCTGCTTGCTGTCCGGGCCGTATGCCGCGACGGCGACGGCGATGGCTAGCTCAAAGTTGTTGCTGGCTGCCGTGAAGCTCTGCGTCGCGGACAGCGAGTAGTTGAATCCGACGCGGCGTGCCATCCAGAGGGTGACAAAGAAGACGATGATGAAGTAGACGATAAGAGGGGCAGCCACGCGGACGACCGACACGATCTGTTGGACGACCTGGCGGCCCTGCGACGCGAAGAGCACGAGGACGGTGTAGAGAAGGCCGATAAGGGCCCATGGAGATATGTAGCGTATAAAGACGCGGTCGTACCAGTCTGCGCCGGCGAGCTTACGGAGGACAAACCGGGTAACCATAGCCACCCCGAGGGGGATGCCTAAGAAGACAGCGACGCTTATAGCGACGGTCGAGTAGGAAATAGTACTGGCCGCCGCGTCGCCGCCTATGACGCCTATGAAAAGTATAGCCATCGGGGCGTAGAGGACCATTTGCAGGAGCGAGTTGATTGCCACGAGAATGGCACAGTACTCGGCGTCGCCGCCGGCGAGGCCATTCCATATCAGGACCTGGTTGAGGAAGACAAGTGGTCAGCTGCTGGAATCCAGAATCCTCTGGTAGGTGAAGGCGGAACATACCATTGCGATGCACCTGGCAAGCCCAACGAGGATGAGACCCTCTCGCAAGCCCTCTTCATCGGGGAGGAAAGCCCAAGCTAGGCCAAGCTGCGGGGATTCCTGTCAGCAGCCGAACCGTGCTGGCGATTCGATACAAGACGACAGCACACGTACCATGAGAAAAGGGGCAATGATCCAGTTGATCAGGATGCTGAAGCCAATCTGCTTCCAGATGGCGCGGTGCGAGAAGACCTCGGGCAGCGCCTCGTACCGCACCTTGCACAAAATGGGGTACATCATGACGAGAAGGCCAATGGCTGCCAGGTGACACGAGATTAGCTAGATGATCAGACGGCTTACGGGGAATGGAGGGCCATGGTACCAATGGGGATAGACACATCAACAAACTTGCCCTGCTGAAGGGCCGGACCAATGTTGGGGACAAAATTGCCCAGGATGATGCCAATAGCCATGGCAAGGAAGATCCAGAGGGCCAGGAGCCTATCCAGCCAGCCCAGGGCCTTGAAGGCCGAGCTCTGGCCGGTTCCTCCGGTGGCCTGCTTCTCTCGTTCCCCGGCCTGCGGTGGCGCGAGGCCTTTTTCAGCGTCGGGATTGCGAGGCATCTCCTCGTTGGGCGCGGTACCCGTCGTGGACGAGCCGGCGTCTTGAAGACGATGGTTCTGATGGGACGCATCTGGCGGCGCCACAGGGCTGGGTCCGTGGGAGTGTGTGTACATAGTTCTCTATCAGCAGTCGACGGCGGGAGCGTTTGGCGTTTGGGGCCGGAGGTTGCAGCTGCTAATGCAGTGATGGCAAGTGATGAAGATTCTGGCACGGGCAGGCGATGATGAGCCACTGGAAAGGCTATTAAATAGACATGGAATCGGCTCAAGACGCCACTTCGATTGGCTTGCACGTGGAATGGTTCAAGGGCCGGGACTAGGTAGCCTACGTCGGTTCCGTCCATGACTCGCAGGTTCTCCCATAGTTCATTTTCTCTGGCGGACGCGGCCGGCCAATCAAGGGCGGGTGGTGACAGATGCCCCGATAGGACAGGATTCAGGAATCCAGGGGTTAACGGATGCTTCCACCCAGCCGTCAGCACTCCATGCCGCAACCAGCCATGCTAACCCGCTAGCGAAGAGAAGCTGCCGATTGGCCACTGGTTACATGTGCCAGACACAGGTCTTTGCAAGGAGGCACCCGACGTGCATTCAGCCGCGCACGAGCCCGGGCCTGGCGACTGGGCTGGCTGCGGAAAGGCACGTCACATGTACCGTATAAATGCATAAGTGTTGCCGCCATGTGCCTCGCTTGTGCTTCTTACTACGTTCTTCTGGGCGCCACTTCCTCCGCGTGAGACCCTTAGAATCACACACCGGCCTGCCGCGCCTACTCTCAACTTCCTGTCCATCCTCGCAACCTCCGTTGCTGGACCGACCCTTCCAGAAGCGCCCACTTGCACTAGAAGCCACCTGCACTAACAGCTTCCGAGACCTCGGATACCAGTCATGGATGATCCCACGAAGCCGAGGCACGCCGCCTACCCGGCTCCCTGAGCCATCCATCCGCGCACAGTGACACCCGGCCAGGTGCTAGACCTGCTGCGGAGCCCAGACACCGGTGGCCTTGGGCAGGCACCAAGCTTCGTCCTCGTCGCCCTGCGCCGTCATGACCACGAGGTATGTAACCCTTCCCCGACCACTTGCTTGGGTCGGCTCCGAGACCTGGACGCTGACCCTGGGGGCGTCCATCTATACAGGGCGGCACGATCCGGGGGTCTATCAACCTCCCAGCGCAGAGCCTCTATCCCACCATCCCGACACTATACAGCGTATTCCGGGCCGCCGGCATCCGCACAGTCATCTGGTATTGCGGTGCGTCGCCTGCCATCCTCCCGGAGGACAGTGCACTCTACATGTATGGACCATCCGTGCTAACCCTGCCCTTTGTCTAGGGTCCTCCTAAGGCCGCGGCAGCCGCGCTGCAGGATGGTTCGCCGACCACATCGCGGAGAACGGGGACGGAGGAATGGAGAGCACTATCTTGGCCGGTGGCATCCAGGCGTGGGTCGCCGCCGGCGGGGAGCACCTCGACTACATGCACGAATATGACTCGGCAAAATGATACCAACATCATCAGTAGGCGCGAGGCAGGCAGGCGAGAGGAATAATAGCCATGCTTGCTGCCGAATAACCTAGCAGGACCCTGTTTGTACAAGGGCCCTCTGCTCCACAGCGCGTCCATCACCCTTGACAGTGTTACCAACGCTATTTCAATACAGGAGCTATCGAGTAACGACGTACACAGAGCGTCTTGACATTGTACTGTGCTTTGCCCACAGCAGATCTTGGAAAGACCAGCCCCAACTGCGGTGTCATGCTGTGCCGCAAGGCCCCGTGGCGTGGCCCTCCCCGGCCGGGGCCGTGAGTGAATTGATGCCCCAGGAAATCTCTCCGCCATTTTGCCTAGGGCTGCATTTTTTCGACCTCGCCACCTTGCTCATTGCGCGACGTAGGGGGGCGGCATGAGGTCCTTCATCGCGGGATCAGCATTGACATCAGGCAGACAGGGTGTGAGGGCATGGTGAGTGTGTACGCACATTGTTGCTTTGCATGTCTGCGTCCATAGCGGAGCAGCACACATTGTTTTCCAGCGAGGGCGACGGCGCGGGACCCAGGCGCTCGACGCCTGTCTGCTCCGAGTCTCGCCGCGCGGCGCATGGGTAGGCAACCTGGAGCGGGAAAAAGAGGTACGATGACTTGGCGTAGACCCCGCCGATGGATATCTTTGCGATGATGGCATATGACGAGGCCACATAGTCGCCGCAGAAGCTCGGCTGCAGCCTCAGCGGTGGCTCGATGGGCACAGTGGCATGGGTGTGCCAGGGTATAGTATCCTCCTCAGCGGCAAGGGTCGGCCGGCTCGCCTCTTCTCGAACCGACTCTCCGCTTGGCCAGAAGGAAGCAACACTCGTCGTGCTCGCCCTCCGGGCGTCTCTTGTGCTCCACTGCAGGGACGAGAAGCTATGAGCCTCAAGCTAGACCGTGTCCGCGTGTAGCCGGATGCTCCTAGATTCGTTGACGGCTTCCCTATGTGGCGTCCCCGCCAGCTTCGTCCCGCTGTAGTAGGTCCTGATTTGGAGCACCGGTTCGACCTTTATGGACGCGGCACGGAGACGATGAAGGTCGGCCGGGCGGCCGTCGATGGTGATCCAGAGGATGCAGTCGGTTGCCGAGGCCTGTTCGGAATTGTAGACTAGAGGCGGGGGCTCTCGCGTCTCGAAAGTAACGTGCCCCAGCTTGCGGCCGACGAACGACCCCCAGACGGTCTGTCTGGCGGAGAGGACATATTCTTTGGGGAAGCAGCTGGTCTCGATTGGAGGCTGCGTCTCGAGGTAGGGCAGGCAGGTCAGGGGGTGGACGACATGGGCAGATTTTGGACGGCCCGGCGCTGCGTCTTCGGGAGGGCCGGAGTACTGTACGGAAGCCCGCAACAAGTACGATATGAAGACGCTCGGTGGCACGGGCCGGCTCCAGGCGGTGAGCGCTGAGCGCTGTATATCGAAGGATGGTGGCAGCGGCTTGCACCTGTCTTCAGTCCGGTCACTGGTCCGGTCGAGCCCGGGGGGGATGACGAGCACAAAGGGGACCGTGTAGACCCTCTGGCCATCCTCCACCTTGTGGTCATCATCCAGCTTTACGCGGTGGCTGAGGTGGAGGAACTAGAGAGGGGGGAGATTCGTGTCAGTGAGGGACGCTGTTGGACCACGGGTGCCTGCCACGTCCACAGTGACAGTGTAGACTCAACTCTTTCCGCTCTGAAATGGTCTCGGTACATGCCATCGCGGGACGGTACCGCGTCCTCGGTCATGACGGACTGTATGCCTTTGTGCGGAAGTGATCAGCTTCTGATTAGAGAATGGGGCGCAGGTCGTTACCTTGCAGTGACACCTCGACCCAACTGCCACCCATGGCAAGCCCTGTCTTGATGCGGTAGGACCCTTTGAGGGTGTCGCCCGGCCGTACGAGGCAGACGCTCGACGAGTACAAGCCGGACCTGAAGCCACTTTCCACCGTGAAGGCGAGATCCAAGTGGACGGGACCTTGGTCCGAAGACGTTGTCCAGCGATGCTTGTCTGTTTCCATGACCAGCACGCTTGCGGTGGCCAGAGCGTGGTCTCGAGTGTCTCAGAACGATCAACAGAACGTGAGCCGCAGGTCACATTATATACACAAAGAGACAGCCACTCGACCACTGTCTTCCTTGGCCAAACGGCTGAGGGCCACAGCCGCTTCTAGTCGTCTGTCTGCCTGGTCGTCCGACCTGTTGCTTATTCATTCACAGCCCAGGCAAAGTCGGGCGCAGAGACGGCGAACCGCAGAGGAGCGATGCATGTCATGACCAACATTTGATTGGGCCGTCGAGCCTCCGGTGGGCAGAAGGGGCCGCACTCTTTCGTCTAGACGTTGCATGTGATGACTGTAGGTGGGGTGGACGGACGTAGGCCCTTGCTGGTCTAAAGTGTGTGGCGGGCGCTCCACCGAGTCTCTACACTTGGCTTCCTGGCCAGGCTTGGCAAGGACCCAGACGAGATGCTGGTGCTCATATGAGCAGGCCAATCCCATCGAGGGCATCTGTCAGTCCCGCAGCGACTTTTCAAGGCTTGCACCAGCGTCGGTCCAATTAGGCGTCGTTGCCTTTTGGATCGAGGTGGTCGGCAACGACATGTCCCACTATGACTACCTCGAGTCACAAGTCCTGTCTCGCGCAACACCGTCGGAGATGGCGCTGCTATGAACCACCCTCTCGGCCAGCGTTGGACAGCACCTAATGCGCCCTGCAATGAACTGACACCTCGTGGCGTGGCGAGTTTGGCGGGCGTGTTCGTCGGGGTGGGGTCTCATGTCCATGTTCATATCCATGTCTATGTTGCCAAGGCTCGTTACCCGCGCGATAAGGACAATAGAAGAGCTCCCAGGACGCTCGCTAGGGTGTCCACGACAATGGGGACAGATATTGTGCCACCTTCACATGCTACGTGTGAATTGTGCTCCCAAGCCGGATCTTGGAGCCCTCTAGGCAGGCCACTTGGAGACTGTGGGCTCACCACCGACAGGGAGAGTCCCTGCATCACAGGAAGCGCTTAGCTCTTCATGGTCAGAACATTGCTAATTGAAAATAAGACTCTAGAATATGGAGCTGCTAACCAGACACCTGCTAAAGCCCCGGGACACTCCAACTTGACCACCTTGGCCCACCATTGGCTAGTGTCGGAGGTCCAGGATTTGCTAGTGAGCTTGTGTTTCTCCCTCTTAGTCGATTGAAGGAAAAATTGGAGAGGTCCCGCGAAGAGCTCTGCCATTCATCGTCGTTGTCCATCCCACGTGTCTCTCTCGCGGTGCTTGCTGTAGGAGCATGAGGACTTCTATATAGACCTCCAAGGCACCATAGAGCCAGCATCCTGAACTACTACCTCTCTTGTTCTTCAGAAGTAGTTCCCTATCTATCTGTCCCTGCTCTACCCCTTTGTTCCCAACTCGTCCATCTTCCTCTCATTGCTGCTTACTGCGCCTACTCCGACCCGCAGGTCAAGACGTCCATCGGCTCACCATGGCGCCAGCTCTGCCGCAGTACTGGTGGATTCTCGCCATCACCACCGTCGCCTTCTGTCTGAGTGCCTTTGGCAATGGCGCGAACGACGTGGCGAATGCCTTTGCCACTTTGGTGGCAGCGCGCTCTCTGACCATGGCCCAGGCGGGCATCGTGTCCGTCATTGCAGAGTTCTTTGGCGCCGTCGTCCTGGGATCCCGCGTGACTGACACAATCAAGAACGGCATCATTGGACTCGATCGCTTCCGCAGCAACCCTGCCGCCCTCCTCGTCGCCATGGGCAGCGCCGAGATAGCTTCTGCGACCTGGCTTCTCACTGCCACAAAGCTCGGCTTCCCCGTGTCCACCACCCACACAATCGTAGGTGCCCTCGTCGGAGCGGGCATTGGCGAACAGTCATCTATCACCTGGGAATGGAAGGAGGGCAGCGTATCCCAGATTGCTGCTTCATGGGTCATCTCCCCGCTCATGGCCGTGTCCGCCATCTTGTTTGCCACGCTCAAGTACGCCGTCCTCGAGCGCAAGAACGCATTCAAAAAGGCGCTTAGGGCAATTCCGTTCTACCTTGCCTTTACCGGCGCTATCCTAGCTCCTAATCGAAACGCCCGGCGCCCCTTCGCTGGAGGATCTGGGTGCAGGTGTCGCCTGCGGCATCATGTTCGGCACCTTCTTTGGCGTCCTGGCGCTCTCTCACGTCTTCTTCAGACCGTACTTTCACCGCGTCGTCATCCTCGCCGATCCACGGATCCGCCCTTGGCATTTACCTCTCGGCCCGCTCCTGTGGCGGGAGAATCCGCCCCTCTACTTCCCGGGCAAAGAAACCATGCTGGTCGACCACTACCAGAGCGCACACGACAAGACGTCCACAGACGGAAACCAGCCGTCCGTCGTCGACCAAAACACCTCGAGCACGGGTACGGGAATGGTTGCAAGCGAGACACGGACCCCCAAGCAGGTCCCAGAAGAAGGCAATGCCCCTGGGGACCTGGAGGGCCAGTCCGCAGCGGCCAACCTGCGTCCCATGAAACGCCAGCCGGAGCCGGAAGAACGCTTCCTCGGCCCGACGGATCATCTCCCCTTGTATCATCCGAGGAGGATGGGCAGCTACGTTGTCTACTTTCTGCTGCAGGGTGTCACTCGGGACTGTGTCACGCACTCATCGGCGCATCTAGGAGCGGTGCACAGCAAGGCGCCCCAGTACGACAACCGCATCGAACATCTTTGGACGTACGCCCAGGTCACGAGCGCCGTTATGATGTCAATTGCCCACGGCTCTAACGATGTTGCCAACGCCGTTGGCCCCTGGGTGGCAGTGTACGAAACATACACGACTGGAGAGGTTGGCGAGGACAATGACACACCTGTCTGGATCCTTGCGATTGCTGGTCTGCTGCTCGGGCTGGGGTTCTGGTTCATGGGACACCACATAGTCAGGGCACTCGGTAATAAGATCACCCAGCTCAGCCCAACCAGGAGTTACGCGATGGAGCTCGGGGCAGCCATCACTATCTTGCTTGCCAGCCGCTTGGGGCTGCCCGTGAGCACTACGCAGACGTTGACCGGGGCTGTTGTCGGCGTTTCTCTGATGAATCTGGACCTTGGCGCCACGAATTGGAGGCAGCTCGCCTTCATCTTCTTGGGCTGGGTCCTGACCCTTCCATGCGTCGCCACAATCGCCGGACTGCTTACGGCCATGAGCCTCAACTCCCCAAGGTTCGACTGAGGATGATGCCCAGGTGCGTATCGGCACAACCACCTTGGCCTGCTGGGCTCAGAACGCCGCGACAAGCCCTCCGTTGCTCCGAAGCGACAAGGTAGCGAGGAGAAAATGGTCTATTCCGTCTGGTCCACAAATCTTGTCCTTCTCGTTTGCCGAGAAGCTCAAGATAAATTAAGCCTCTGTATCATCTGCGTTCAGGTCCTCAGGGCATGCCGTGACTCGTGTTGGTCGCACACAAATAGGCACAGGGTTCCACAAGCCGATCACAAACAATACCACTAGTAGGACAACGTCGGAGAAAAGGAAGAACTACACGTGCTCGCGGAGGTTGACAGAGAGGATGGAGCGTTGATTGGGCTTTCGTGCAACACCTTCTTAGCTTAGCATATCAAAAGAGCCGCGAGTCCTAGGGAGGCCATGACTAGCCCAGATACCGGAGCACACTACGCAGTAGCTGCGTTGCCGTTACTTCTTATTCGTTGCTTCCATGCGATCATAGCCTGCAATCTGAACAAGAGCTCTCTAATCTCCTGCGAACCCCAAAGCGACCCACCGCCTTGCCCATTTCGCTGTCCTAGACGCTCGCGGAGGCCATGCTACATGCATGTATACACAGCGAGAAGATCTGGGGGTTTCCGGACTTGAATCTGAACTGCTTCAAACAGACAGAGAAATAGCAACTAAATTAGGCCATTGTATCCAGTAACTGGAACACGCGGGAATTCTGAACAAGACAGTCGTCTGATTCTTCACAGTGCAGCAGACCACGGACCTGGTCGGAATCCACACTGTTCTACAGCCCAGTTAAGATTTCAATCGCTGTCTTGCAAGATAGTCCTCTGTTCCAGTGGCCTGAGACGGAAACAGGTGAGTCAGGTGGGCAAAAGCAGTCCGTCACCGGTGGGAGTATGTCTGTGCGGCTACCATCATCAGGGAAGCTATCATTACAAATGAAGGAGATACTCGCACGGTCTGGGAGTTGAGTGGTGGGTGAATCGTAGGAAGGACCCTTCTGGTGGTCGCGGTTTGTGGTGGCGACGCCACCCCTCTCTGCTACATCTGCTGACCGAGTCGATCTAGCAGGAGCTGGAGTTTCCAGTCCGCGACTTGTTATAGACGACGGGGAGTTGAAGGGTGGCGTACTTAGAGGCCGTGGAATATTGTCCATGTCCTGTGGATAGGTCGCGATTGTGCGTGACTTGTCGGTAGACGGCTGTTTCATCGCATTGCATCGTTGTGCGCGAGGCGAAAGTGGACTAGTGCCTCTCTGAAGAAATTCTCGATGGCATGGATTGGGTTCAGTGCCAATAGACCCCGTCAGCGAGAGGTGAGCATCGATATCATGTTGCGAAACCCCCCGGAGATGGAGTAGGCCACGGAGATGTTTATTCTCCCATGCAACAGCCTGAGCCACCCGCTGCATGCCAATGCTGGCCTGAACGCCCCGACGTTCGTAGTCCTGGAGTTTGTGTTGAAGCTCCTCAATTAGTTGCCGACGCCGCGCACGTGAGCGACGCTGGTTATCGCGATTCTGGACCGCAGGGGCCGGGATCCGGTTCTATGCGCGCGAGCAAGTCAGAGGTTATCTGTCGGCATGGATTGGTATGGCATACCTTTCTAGGCATTGGGGATCAAGAATGTGCCCAAAGAGTTGAGGAACAGGCTCATGTGATGCAGAGGACATTTAGCAGGGACGTGTTGGATTTGAACATTTTTCCAAAACCACCCCTTTAGCGCACAACGATGAACGATGATGGCCGAAGGATCCACGTGGGCGGCATGTCAGAAGTGGGACCATGATGTACTCCTACGAAAGGACACCTGTCATGCCCCGATTGTCATTGGTTGGGAAGATGGCGCCAGGCATGTATGAGGCACCTTTTCACTCTTCTCAGTGTTCCGTTTCTGACAATATCTGAAATATCTAATCCAAACGTATCTATAGAAGATAACTAATTTGTGGTAGTGAAATAGAAGATTTTGTATGTATTGTAGCCGAAAGTGGTGCACTCGGTGGGGTGGTGCATCCGACATGTTGCGAAGGTCTATAACGTGCCTCTCGGCCCGATGGATGAAGTTGCTTGTCGTTGCCGAGCTAGACACAGTAATGGACAGAATCAGCGAGCTAATGACACTTGGTGCATATGTTTTGTCAGATCGTCACTGATTGCCCATACGTGGGTTGAGAGCATAGTCACACTGCAGCATTCGAATTTTGACGCTGCCCTCATTCGAGGAGATATTTGATGTCATAATATATTCATGAGTCTCAAGGAGCATCAGACGGGTATTCGTTAATGGCAAGTCATTTGAAAAATGAGCCTAAGCTTATTATTGAAGTCTTTGCACTTCTTCGATCCCCTGTCCTCTGCGATACGTGCTCTGGCCCAGGTGGCGCCTGCTTGTGCTCTACGGACCCTACACAGCTCCCACAAGAATACACTTACGACAACATAAGAAACGCCGGCGAACACCTGGGCGTAGATGTAGGACCTCGAGCCGAGACTTGACTGCCTGATCTCAAGCGCTATAACCTCGGCAACTACCATGATCACAACGTCAGTTCCTGGCAAGCGAACGAACGGCTACGGCCGTTTAGGCCATACTCACATAGACTAGGCAGTGCCACTGAGATCCAGACAAGGTTGAGCAGGGCGGGTAGTTGCTTTAAGCCGACGACATCTGCTGCCAGTGGACCAATGACCTGTGTAAATCAGCGTCTGCAAAATTATCTGTCTGTAAGAGTGCGCGAGGGGTAAAACGCACCGCCCAGAAGACACCCAAGATAGCGCCGCTGACGATGGCAAACACGACCAGCGCGGCATATGTCGTGCTCGGAAGCCAGAGGACGAAGATGAGCAGGCCACAGGTCAGGGTGAGGATACCAGCAACATGCACCCTGCCGAAGCGATCGCTCGCGTAGCCGATGAGGGGACGCCCGAGCGCCGTGCCCAGGTTCAAGAACGTGGCAATATTGGCCGCATCCTGGGAAGAGCTGCCTATGGCGCGCGCGTAGTCGGCCAAGGAGAACATCAAGGTGATGTACCCGAACATGAGGACGACACTCCAAGACAGGAGTAGGTTGACTTGATACGAGCGGAGCAGGTGGGCGTTGAAGATACGCAGATCAGGCTGGATTTCTGCGTTGCGCGATCGAATCAGGAGCGTCGCTGTCAGATTGACAAGGAAGACGACAGCGGCTGTGATCCTCAGGGACCAGCGGAAGCCGAGTGTGTCGAGCATGGCGGCAGTCGAGAAACACACTATCAGACCACCGATGCCAGACCCGGCTGAGCAGATGCCGTTGGCGAGGCTGCGCCTCTTCTCGAACCACTGGGGCACGACGGTGGTGGCGGGAACGTTTATGAGGCCAATACCAGCACCGACGCACAAACCTTGGGTCAGGTAGAGATGCCACACGCGTGAGGCGAAACTGGCTGCGATGAGACCGCCAGAGAGGAGAACCACACCGCCAAGCATGGGGCCTCGGACGCCCCAAGGGTGCCGAGAGGCAACAGTTGCGAAAGGCGAGACGAGCACAGCAAAGGCAAAGTTGAAGCCCCCGATGAGGGCATAATCCAGGGGTCTGCCCTCGGCGAAGAGATTGTTTGACAGGTAGTGGGCGAGGTAGACGCTGTAGCCCTGCAATCGCGGGACGGCTCCCAGTCAGTTAGGTGGGAGTAGCTGGTCGTAGATATTGCTACGTACCGCCGCGACACCCCATGTGAAGCCGTTTACGAGGAACTGCGCGAGCACGCAGACCCAGCCGTAGCCTCCATCGGGAGGTGGTGGTGATCCAGGGCCGTCAGGGTGATCGTCACCATTTGGCCGCGCAGCAGAGCAAGCCTTGCTGCCAGTCGCCATCTTGTTTCGTGACTGTTTTGACAGCGCAGTATACTGGTCTATATAGAGGCGGCAGTTGTGTGCTTAGGGAGGGGATTGAGCGGGGAAAAGGATGGAGGTGAAGCCTCCAACAACCCCGACCACCACACTACCACGGGTACATGCATTAAATGCATGTAGGTGTGATGACTGTTCGTCGGCCCGGGATGGACAGAGCCGTGAACTGCCTATTTATTGTACGACAAGCTACATACATGGCGCACTGACAATTGGGGGGAATTATTCGAAAAATGATGAATTAGAGTGCTTCTTACTTAGGCCTGACTATGCACCGGGCTATATTGCAGATTATGGCAACATCTTGCTATCCATCTATATGATTATGCGACTAGTAACATGTTTAATGTTACGTTATAGTCCTTGGAATCGAAACGGTCCTACCAAAGTGTTGAACAGAACTTCTGAACCCAACGCACCATTCTCTGCCCATCTGCTCATGCTTTGCGAGACCCCCATCGCCTGGCCACTATCAGCACCAGCACCAGATATACCAGCCCGATCAAGACCGGCACCTCAATCAAGGGTCCCACCGTTGCGGCAAGTGCTCGCTGACTGTCCGGCCCGTACGCAGCTCTAGAGAGTGGGCCAAGGCGGCAATGGCCAAGAAACTTCGAATGGCGTTGCGGGTCGTTCCGGTTCTTCATTTGCCTGCGCAGGTGACCAATCAGAGACAGGGCGTGACAGATGGCCTCTTCCTCACCTTTTTCCTCTTCTCTCGCTGGTGCATTTGTAAATAGTGCAGCCACTACCAGCATGCCTCGTGTACTATCCCGGCCGCATTCACTTCCGGGTACCCTCAGACTTATTCACGAGCTTTCGTCCCTGCTGTCTACAACCAGTCACCTCAAACAGAGAACAAGACAGATCATTCGCCCACCTCTACTCCCCGCCATAGAAGCAACCACCAAGCAGTGGCACGCCGCCTATCTAGCGCCTCGAGCGGTCGATCTGCGCAAACTGACACCCGGCTAGGTGCTGGACTTGCTGCGGAGCGCGGACACTAGCAGCGGTGGGCAGGCACTAAACCTGATACTAGTCGACCTGCGCCGCAATGACCACGAGGTACGTCCGCTTCTAACTCGTGCCTTTGTCCTCTGCTCGAGATCTTGCCGCTGACCGGGAGGCATCGACACAGGGTGGCACGATTCGCGGATCCATTAACCTCCCAGCCCAAAGCCTCTATCCTACTATCCCGACGCTATATAGCATGTTCCGCGCCGCCGGCATCCGGACGGTTATCTGGTACTGCGGTGAGTTGCCTGTAGCTTTCGTAGACTTTTTCATACCTGGGAACATTCCTATTAACGCTGCCTCCCGTCCAGGGTCCTCCCACGGCCGTGGTAGCCGAGCCGCCAGATGGTTTGCTGACTATATTACGGAGCGCGAAGACGTAGAAATAGAGAGTGCCATCCTGGCCGGAGGTATTAAGGCGTGGGTCGCCGCCGGCGGCGAGCACCTCGACTATATGCATGAGTACGATGCGACCAAATGGGACCAGCAGGTGTGATGAGGTGGAGCGGCGGCCTATTTTGGAATGACTAGTGGCCACAATCACCTTGTATGTTTACAAACAACTGCTCTAGACAGCGCTCAACTTCCAAGGGTGCCATGATTCGTATAAAATCGCTGCGTCCTAAGGCTCCGCTCCGCTCCGGATCACGGAGGAGAAGCCGGAGCCGAATCCGGATCGGAGTGGAGTCCGTATCGGGCCTTGGTGTGATTTCCCTGGCCAGGAAGGACTAAAGCCCCGGAGTCCTTCCAGCCTCATCACGCTGCATACAGAGGGGGCACCGGGTCCTATACGTAGGGGTCAGCGTTTCTATCATGCTGACAAAGAGGGCATGTTACTAGTCTACGCACATTCTCACACTGTACGTCTGTGTCCACGGCGGTGCAGCACACGTTGTCCTCAGGCGACGACAATAATGCTGACAGCGCGAGGCCCCGACTGTCCTCTTCTTTGTGCACTGAGTCCTTCTGCGCGGAGCTCGGTGGCAGCTTCAGTGGTGGCTTGATGGGAATATTGAAGGCTATATGCCAGGGCGGGCTCTCCTCTTCGGCGGTCGTGGCAGGAGCGGCGCTCACTGTGCCCCCTCTGCGTACGTCTCTTGTGCTCCACTGCAATGGCGAGAAGCTGTGCACGTTGAGCTGGATCGTGTCCGTGTGGGGCTGGATCCAGCTAGACTCCTGCACGGATGTCCTGCTCGGATTACCCGTTAGTTTCGTCCCGCTGTGATACGTTCTAATCTAAAGCACCGGGTCGACCTTGATGGAACCTGCGCGCAGACGATGAAGATAGAACGTGTGGCTCTTGATAGTGATCCACACAGTGCAGTGCGTCGCCGAGAGCTGCTTAGAGTTATAGATGAGGGGCGGTGGCTCTCGCACCTCGAACGTGATGCGCCCTAGATTCTGCCCAAGAAGCCAACCCCAGGCGGTCTGGCTAGCAGAGAGGACGTACTTGTCCGAGAACTTTGCGCTAGAGTAGTGCGCGCAGCTGCTAGTTCTCATGTTTAAGAGCCTTTACAACCCGTTGTAATTCAACGCTCGCCTGTACACACTCGCGCTCCAAGCGGGCAAGTTTCTCTTGTAGTTCCTGGACGAATTCTTTACGGCGAGCCCGCGAGCGACGCTGATTATCTCGGTTTCGGGCCGCGGGTGCGGGTATCCTGATCTGCAGAGCGTCAGTCAGCAATGAGTGCCTGGACGGGTCAGAGCGAGGGCGCTCCGGATGAGCGGAGCCAGGCCTTTCTGGGCATGGTGACAATATACAGCCTGGAGAGGGCGTTGTTCCTCGATAGGAATTAAGGTGACGATCTTCCCGCACGTTCAGAGAACAATTTAATAACCATCGACAGACCGGCTGCCGGATTTATCGGGAGAAGTGTTCTTCTGGCCATCCGGGAAAGGGTCACGATGACTTCACATCAATGGATGTGTTAAGGGCGGAGATATAACAAGACCACTTGTCTTACTTTGGATTCGTCAGCGCTAGTACGCTGCATTAAGCCTAACCTACTAGGAGCAGTGGGTTCAAACTTCGAGCTCCGTACTTGTCACGTGGATTCATTGTGATTCATCTGCGAATGCCATTTTGAAAGGGCATTAGTGTCAAGCATCCCACATCAATTATTGAGCACATCCAGTGGTGCGCCGGTAGCGTAAGTTGCAGCGGACCCCGTCTATACGTAAATCCACTCTCTTGCAGCTTCACCTCGACGAACCGTACAAGCCTGCTTTGAGCCCATCGCCAACCCTAATCATAAGTGACTAACAGGGCTGTCCTGCGAGGATAGAGCTGCTGCCCGCGAATCAGGGCATCGTAGCATTATCAACGAATATACTGATTGTTTCACCACCGACAGCCTTACCGCGGCGTCTAGACCGATCAAGATAATGAAAGTTGCCTACACAGCCAAAGTTCAGCTACGCAGTTGTGATGTGTTTACACAACGGCATCTGCCACACCTGGCCCCACCGGGTATGCTCAATAACAGTTGTGTCAGTGGTTACTCGTACCGCACCCCACCTCGTCCACCTAAGACGAGGTGGGGCACGGCACGAGTAGTGATCCCTTTTGAAAACTTCGCCGTTTTCAGAGGGACATGTGTCACGCCCCTGTTATGATTGGTCAAGATCAGAGCCACGTGTACCCTGCGGGCGATTTGCGCGTCCGTGGCTTTTGTGCTGGAGGCCCAGGTTGGGTCGGGTAATCTATCCGTTCAAACCTTGCCAAGGTATTAGAGCCTACACTCGTAATTGCTGCTTGATAGCAATTGGTCACTAGTCAAGGAATGGAGAAGACGCAGGCTCATTCCATAGCGAGTTAGCAAAACCGCCTTTGTGAGCTGATCACGGATAGAGCAATTTCCCGTTTATGCGCTTAGGCGAGGTGGTAGTCAATACCTTGCGGCTTCCAACTCGTCAATCCCATCTCCATTGAAGTCACTGCTCCCACGCAGGCATGGGCACTCGCTTCCGCATAGCGAATATCTGGCGTTCGTCAACTCTTAGGCCTCAGTTGCCGCGATATCATAGGCTTCCTTTTCCTTCCGTCGTCATGTCATCCTTATTGCCCGAGAAAGCGGTTCACAGCCATGCCAATGGGTCATTCTCGCAGTCTGCGAAGGTCAACAAAAGCGTGGCCCCAGCACTAGACCTATCAATTGGCGAGGCAGAAGATGACTCTGACATCAGGGCTAAATACAGGCCATTTATCTTGGATCACGAGGACACAGCAAGCGACTGGGTTTCCGAACTAGAGCTCGACACAGTTATCGACTTGGCTCAGGCCAATCTAGAAATGACAGGCTCCCGACTCAAGATTCTTGTTCTATATGGGAGTCAACGACAACGGTTAGTGATGTGACCTTGTGCCCAGAGGCGTTAGCTGACGCATTATAGATCCTATTCCAAGCTGGCAGCATTTAAGGCCGCTCGTATTCTCTATCGGCTTGGGTGTGACGCGCGCGTCTATAATCCTTCGCAGCTTCCTATCCGTGATTCCGTGTCGACGGACCACCCAGCCGTACAGGAACTTCGCGAGCTGTCACTGTGGAGCGATGCACACGTCTGGTGCTCGCCAGAATAGCATGGTAACTTGACGGCCGTCTTCAAGAACTAGATCGACTGGATCCCGCTATCCACTGGTTCTGTGAGGCCGACATAGGGCCGAACCTTGGCTATCGTTTAGGTAAATGGCGGCAGTCAGTCCTTTAACACCGTCAACAGTCTTCGAATTCTGGGTCGGTGGATAAGGATGTTTACTATCCCGAACTAGTCTAGCATCCCGACAGCGTTCAAGTAGTTCGAGGATGAGGGTGGCGATGGCAGCGGTAAGGCTCGTTTGCTGCTAAGTGGCAACCGTGATAGACTGGTGGACTGCATGGAGGAGTTGGTTAAGTACACGATTCTCATGCGCCCTCATCACGCACTGTTCGGAGACCGATACAGCGAACGGAAGGAGAGCGCTGCCAAGGCGGTAAAGAATTTTTCCAATAACGCTGTGAATTGAGATTGGTATTTTAGACATATCTCAACACAACTTTTATAGACCAAGGAGGACACATGGAATATAGACGGAGCCGTCTCCAATGCAAATGCCGCGAGTCGCAAACGCAATTAGTCGAAAGCAACGCATGTGCGCAGAAATGTGATGCGAACAGGCATGACAGAAAATTTCTGCTGATCTCAGAAACTCGATCTTTAGAAAATTGGCCGATTTGTCTCTAGCTAATAGCCCCGTAGTGCTGATTTGGGTCGTTCAAGTGCGGTGATAAAGAAGGCAGCGGTGACAAAGAAGGCAGGCGCTCTGCGATACAGACCATTTCGTTCCTGCCGGACACATTGTGAGCATGATCTTATTGCGGACGGCGTTAGCTTCGTGATCTCCGCCAAATGCATGAGCGTCAGTGCGGTTCGGGCAATGGCAAAGCAGCCGGCAGCCCTCCCCACACCCCTGCCCCTCTTGTCCTCCCACAGCCGGCACGGCGATACAACGCTGGCTTCGCGAAGGAAATGGGCAACGAGTCTGCGGATGACATGGTGCCTACCTACCGTCTACGAAATGTCAATAGTGATGGTATTAGTTGTTCATCTCGACCTCCAAACTTGCAGCGTAAATGGCGCTCAAGCTGGTCCAGGTTCCTTGCGGTCGTTGCATCAGGGCCAGCAGCACTTAAAGCCATCGACGAGGTCAGCACCTCAACAACCATTGCAGGCCTGAATTTTGCATGGAAAGGGTCGGGTTCTAGGGGTGCAGGATGGCGATTAAGTTCTATTGTGGCTCTCGAAGTATTGTTTCTAGTATCCTCCGCGATCGTATGCCCTAAATACACCGGTTTTCAATGATCTGCCCCGGCAGCTGTTAGTCGCTGCTCCGGCTTTCTCGCTGTCCACACGTATCTACAGCGCAATTAGAAATTACCACAACACTGACCTGCACATAGAAAAAAGACCACGCAAAGGGAACTAACCTATTACAGTAGGCACGGTACTTCAGAGTACAGATCTCAACCCGAGCACTGGCGCATAACTCACGAACTTATTCGTATTCCAGTCCATCCTTCTCTATCAAGGGCATCATACTCAGAGATTCGAGACTATAGCTCAACCCGAGATTGAACTAGCGCGCAAGCTCTTGTTCATGTGGATCGAGTGACGAGGGGGACACATAGGCTTTGATAACTTGTTGCTTAAAGTCAACAAATCCTGCGGCCTGGATCATCTATTTCGTTGCTGTAGGTGTGACTGTCACGCTACGGCCGCACTTATTCATGCTCGTATAGAATAGCTCTGACTATTTTAGGAATGAAGAGTCTTTAGGCTTCGCAACATCGTCGTCCCATCTCGGAGTGGTTGCTGACCGACGTTGTTTTGCGCTCACGAAATTTCATGCAGTGGCACAGTTACGTGCTCGCATACGGCTTTTATCGCTGCTTTGGTCCAAGCCTTCATCGGACTAAGCAACATTGTCTTTTCAGGGAAACCGACGGTGCCTTGATATAGGAAGACCTAAACGTTGTGGACCCTTAAAGTCTACAAAGAATGAAGGTGATGGATATTGAAGCTTATGGATTACGCGATGACCTGTTAATCGGCGGCCAGCTTCTAGCCACCATTAGCTCAAATGATCCATCAATGAGCACTCGGATACATGAAGTGAACTTCCAGAATGAGAGGCTGGTTCCTCACTCTTCCACGAACAACCCTCGGGCGATCCAAGAATATTGTCGCCTTTGAGGCTGGAAATTAGAAGAATAAAAGTAACTTTCTGTCCTGGCTGAGGGAAGCGCCATATAGATCAAAGTTATGGTCGAACTTATTGCTATTCGGAAGATAAAGGCACTTCGTCTAATACAAATTTTTTTCAATAACATACCACAACCGCCGTAGCTCTTGGACCTATATAGAAGCCTTTTTTCTCGGTATGCTTCTAAAGATCTAGAGAGCTAGGATCTTATAGCTACTGCCTTACGAGTCCTTGCTACCTCTCGTAGACGGCTAAGTATTCTAGAACTCGCCTAGGCCGCTACTTTAGGTATAGCCGAGCAAGATATTACGACTATCGCTACTCTTGCCGAGCGGGTGGACTACTAACGGGTTATAGACTTAATCTAACCTTTTATTACTATAGTCGATTTTAACGACGTTAAGAAACGCTAAGTTATCCTTACGTATTAATCTATTAAGGACTTTATTATAAGAAGGTGGGCTTATTATTAAAACTTTAGCTTAAATACTACGCTACCTCCCGTTATAGCCGAATTATCTAGTTTCTAATCTAATCTACTAAGCCTAGAGGTATATATTTTGGATATATACTTAAAATATATTTTACTAGATAAGATTAACGACCGCCCTTTCCTATCTACCGAATAAATTATAATTAAGGAGCTACCGGTATCTCTGGATCTATTTACTAAAGATAATAACGAGGTAGAGTACGACCTAACGGTATTATAGGAAGCCTAGGAGGAAGGTATAGTCCGATACGACCTAGCTAATCGCGGCTTTAGCGAATTCTTTATCTATATATCCTATCACTAGATTAACTATATCGGTATTATAGTAGCCGAGCCTTTGCCGGATCTATATACTATCGTAATAGTATATAAAGCAAACTCTATACGAATTAGAAACTAGACTAGTTAAAACTCTCGCCCTAAGTATACCGTTAAGGCGAGGTTTATATTTAACGGCGGCTTATATAATCCGCTAAGTATTACGGCGCTCTATGGCTCGGAAGTAATGCTACTTAAGATACTCGAAATATCCGATTGCGATAGCGATTATTTCTTACTGAATTTAGCTTTAGCCGCAGCCGAATAGGTTTTATAATAAGGCGATCTATCGAGGCTTAAGTTACTTTTTCGGTCTAATAAAGTCGGGAAATAACTTTAAACCCTTAACTTCTTCCGAAGCTTAATAATATCCTTCGCTACCTATAGTAACGATTACGGATAGGATTAGGACTCGGCTTTTAATCTAGTTAAGGATGCTATAGATATTATCGTCTAAGAGGGATAGGGGAAGGAGCTTCTATCTCTAGCTGTTAGCATAGGTTGCTTGCCGGTTACACGACGCTTAAAGGATACTGCCCAACAAAACGCAGAGCTTAAGAGGGAGCTTTTATACGGATCCCCAGGCGACTTTCAAGACGTGCCCCATTGATTTGACTCAGGAGTTAATTAGCGAAGTGGCATCGGATTGGCAGAGGAAAGCGGTGTCGTAAACCATTTCTTGAGGACGCTCAATGAAAGCCAACGCCGCGTCAAGGCCGGTCCTATGACTTCTTGCCTTTCTATTATAACGAAATATTCAGGCGTGAGAATTTTGCCAACTGGTGTCTTTCTTCCTTGTATCTAGATGGCAGCGCTGGTGCTAGTAATTTGACGGAGTCTGCACGGGCGAAGCTGTAGAGGTGGCCACGGTTCAGAGTGGAAGGTGGGAGAGGCGACGCTCTCTGAAAGCCGTCGCGGCAAGAATGCTGGGCGAAGCGGCGCTGGGGGCCGCCTCACGTAGCATGACGAGGCGGAAATTGCAATTTAGCGCAGGCACTAGCCCAGGAGTGAGGGCGGCGAGCATTTTGAGGACAGCTTCGGAGGAAGCGAGGTCGACAAGATATATCGGAGGGGTGGGATAGGGGTCGGACATTTATATGGCGGCGAGGCGGCATGGTGCTGAGCATGGGTGGCGGGGTCACGGCGGCGAGGGCGCCTTACCCGATTGGGGATGCCTCCATTCCCGGAGGGGACAACAGCGTGTTCTCGATTACATCAACCGCCAGTGTCTCCTGCACCGTTTTATCAAAGCCTCAACATTTGACATGCCGACTTCGAGAAGTACGACTATCTTCCGTGTTTCCTGGGCTTTTTTTTCTTTTCCTCAGCTGGGTCTTCATGATAATCGACGGGCAGAACTATGCTTGCGAAGCATGTGTCCGTGGCCACCGGGTCAGGACCTGCCAGCATCATGGTAAGTGTACGGGCAGTATTTGCCGCTGCGTCTCAACCGGACGCTTGGATCCTGCGCATATCGCTTAACTGACTGAAACAGAACGTCCTCTGAAACTTGTTAGCAAGAAAGGCCGGCCTGTCTCGCAATGCCAACACTGCCGTACTTTGCGGAGGTCGCGCTCCGCTCACGTCAAGTGCAGCTGTGGAAAACAAGTAAATAGTAACACACTACAGGGAATTTTCACAGAAAATGTAGCAGGCAAGTTTTCCCTGGGTACAATAATATTATTTGGCTTTTAACTCTTGGCTCTTAAACATAGGCAGCTGCTATTGTAACTACGGCGGCCGCTGCACCTGCGCTTACAAGAAGGAACAACCACCACTAGATGCGACATTACTTACGAATTCTCAGCCCGATTATTCAACGGAGCTTAACTTGCCCAACATGCATGGAGTGGAAGTTCAATCCAGCGGCTCCAGTCGCGAGCCACTTCAAGAGCATCCCCACGTAACGTCGGAGATCCCCATAGCACTCTCGAACCACAACACTATCCCCTTCGCATTTCAACATCTCGACACGCAGCTACCGCTTCCCGAAATGACCTGCAACGTCGGCGAGTATTCGGAAAATGTCAATGTCGGGCTGTTCGGAAGTCCACATACGCCAGCTTCAATATTCAGTATGGATCGGAGTTCTTCCGATATCAACTGGACTAACTATCTGTTCGACACAATGAGCAGTGACATTCAGGCGCAAAACTTCAACGATTCCGACTTCACATGGCTTTCGCAGCCGCTTCTAGGCTCCACATCCCTTTTGCAAGAAGTGCCAGAGGCCGGAGACTGTGGCACTATTACTCAAGACCTGGGTGATGGCCCGGCATCACTAGAACCTGTTTCCCCTGGCGGACCGAATTATACTGATTCCTTTTCTGAGGCAGAAAATTTGGGTTGGTTTAGCTGGGACGCATTATGAGCAGCGTAAATTCAAGTCATGACTTCAATGGAGAACAAGACAAAATGATCTACTTTACTCTCATTTCTCTTTCAAAATCAGCAAAACCAGAACACAAAACATTGATCCGAGAAACCTACGGAATTGTCTTCTTCAGGGTCCCTCACGCTGGTATGGATATTGGCTGGCTTATCGCCATGGCCGGGTAGGCCGAACCGCTTTCTTGTCGAGTCGATCGGGCATCACAGCTCGCAGGTTCTTACCGCTCAGCAACGGGAATTCCATACAGCGTTAGGCGGAGAGGGCAACTCGGAAGTTTTCTGCTTCTACGAGACACTTGAGTCGCCAACGGCGCAAAATGTATACTTTAATCCATTGCTGAAATTCCATGCACTAAAGTTGAACGGAATGCGGCTGGTGACTGGAAGATGCAAGGCCCACCGGCGCTGCTCGTCACGAAGTTCTCGGCGACAAACAGCCGCTCTTGGGAGAACGGGCCGGAGCATATTTGTGCCATCGCCCGCACGCACTCGGACATAGTCAAGTTCAGGGCCCATGACCACGACTATAGAAAAGCATGCGGGATACTACGAGGGCTCGCGCAACGAGCTTTAGAGCGTGGCCGTCGAGATCCAGCGTCCAATGTGCCATGTACGTAAGAAAAGTACGAGCCGTTCGTCCGATATCAGTTCTGGTGCCCTACGCCGAGAACACAGACTTCATTGGGCGATCCAACGTGCTAGAAAAGCTCAAGGAGCAGCTGTGTTTCGGTCAGCCTCCACAAGGTGCAGGAAGTGTAGGAAGTCGGCCAAGGTATCGTTGTACGGACTAGGCGGCGTTGGGTAGGTTGAGAGTTCTCACACTGCTCCATGTTCTGGGTGCACGCGAGCAGTGTCGAACGATTTCGCCAGTCTTTCGTATCTATCGCTCTTGAATGCCGGGTTCCCGGTTGTAATGACCCCAAGACCGATGTTCTACCGCTCGTTAAGCGGTGGTTAGAGAGTACGGACTGCGGGCGGTAGTTGATGGTCCTGGATAACGCTGACGATGCGGTGCTCTTTTTTAGTGAACCAGCTGCGCCGAATGCCACAATTAGCTCTGACGATGCTTGCGACGACTCGAAACAAGAAAGTAGGCTCATGGCTAGCCCCTGGGACCCCACCCGTCGAAGTGGGCCAAATGAGCGAGAACGAATCGGTGGGCTTGCTGCGGGGGAGTCCTCGACAAGCCGATGAAGACGCGGAGCTACTGAGACTGTCTTCTCGGTTAGAGCATCTTCCACTCGCTCTCGCCCAAGCGGCTGCGTTCATACAGGAGAATAGGGTACCTGTAGGTGAGGTTGCAGTACCTTCGACCTGAGGCGCGTTGGACGTCCTGACCTGATTAGCGCGGAGGAGCCTGGCTCTGACTTTTTTTTGGTCTTTTCGGTAAATGTAAGCTGGCTGAGGTGTTTTGAGCGAGTGATCTGATCTCCGCTGGTGGTAGGACATGTCATATTTAGGCGCGTTGGCTGCCAGCCTGACCCCGCTCGGAGGGCACACAGTGGCTGCGGGTAATAGCGGCTATAACTAAGTAAGAATTCCGGTGGAACTCTTGCACCTTCCTTGACTTCCAGCACTATCTCGGTTCCTAACCCACGAAATTCGGATAGGAATATAAAAAAGTACTTTAATAATAGGATACGACTATTGCGGTCCACCGGCTCTATCTACTAAGCCGGTCGCTATACTATTCGCGGCTCCGATTAAGGCGACGAGTAGTTACTAGAATTCTTACTACGATAGCGGGGATAGCGACGCCGGGCCTCTCGAGACTAAAGACCTAGGTTAGGGAGAGCCTAACTAGGAGAAATTAGATATTTATTACTCTTTTAATAAATACGCGGATAACGAAGCCGATAATAATACTAACGCGCCTAATTATTACTATAGTAAGGTTAGCTTATATTACGATATATTATACCTTAACCGCTTAGCTATATAGGACTATAAAATAAGTATTACCGCTATACCCGGAGTAAACGCTTAGATAAAGAGTAAGTAGCCGCGCTTATAGAAACTAAGTCGGGCTTACTAACTTATCTTAGCTTATAATAGAGTTACTAATGGTAAGGTATATAGCTAGTATAATACCTCTACCCTTAATCGCTATAGCGTTACTCTCTAGGCCCTCGGATATATCTATAGTACTTTTATTACTCTCGGCTAGGAAACTTATTATTAAATTCGCGAGCGCTATTCGTTAGATAGGAAGTAATGCTCTAAGAGGTCGTTTACTCGCTCCTTTCTTCATACTTCGTTAGATTCTTATTATAGTAGCGGCTCCGTTACGTAAGACTAGGCTACGTAAAACCGCCTTTACTAACGCACGGGCTCTAGCGAAAGCGTTAGATTTACTAAGAAGTTATCTATAGTTACCCGCGTAGGCTCTTATTACTCTAAGGACAAGCCCGCGAAAGAGCCCTCTATTAAAGGTAGATATTTTAAGTCTTATTACTCGGAGGGGGAACTTACGAAGGAGTATCCCCCCGAGACTAGCTATGCCGATGCCTATTACTCTTCTTCTGCGCTTAATAAAGGGTTAGAGGTTAATAAAGCCCTAATTTAGGCTATTACCGATATAGAGAAGTAAAGCACCGGTAAGGAGTATATTATTCTTAGTATTTCCGGTATAACTTATACTAGCTACGAGATAAAGCTTAATCGAACTCTAGCTATAGTTCCTATTATTAAAGACCTAAAGACGAGCCTAGTTCTCTCACGAGCTAAGTTTAATATCGACCTTAGCCTTAGCTTAGTAAAAGAAATTATAAAATATCTAGAGCGGACGACCGAATTTAAATATAAAAGAGTTTAGAACTAAGGATTTAACCTAGATCTTCTTATCTTTAATAAGCCCTCGAAATTTATAAGTTAGATATAGCCGGAAGGTATTATTAATATAGCGCTTATAGATAAGTAGATAATACGAGTTATATTTAATTCGAAGATTATAAGAGCCCGTGACCTCGCCGAGAAGATCTAAGGTCCGCTAATTAAACTTACTCCGCCTCATAATAATCCTTCGCTAGAGGCTAGGAGTAAGTATATCCGTTATATTAAATATATAACATTACTCTCTATAATCTTAACGTTTCTTATTCTTATTATAGTATAAGCTCCTCTTCCCGACTAGGAGTTAGCTTATTCCTCGGCCTTACTTATACTAGTAAGTATTATCTAATTTATTATCGTAAGACCTTTCTACCCTAAGGCTCTAAAGGCGTTTATTTTTTCTAGAGTTATTGAGATAGACTTCTTAATCGTTTTAAGTATTAGTGCTACCTATATCTTCTTTATAGTCTCTTTTAGGTACTTTATTATAAGAAAATCTTTTTCGACCGGATAATTCTTCGAAACGAGTACTCTATTAGTTACTCTAATTATAATCGGCCGATAGGCTATAGCACTTACTCGTTAGAAAGCTATTAAGTCTATCTCTATTAAGTTACTCTAAGTATCGATAGCTATCTTAGTCGATAAAGAAACTAAAATAAAACATAAGATCGATACTTAATTTCTTTAGTATAGCGATACTTTTAAGGTTCCTTTAAATACTAGGATTCCGACTAATAGTACTATCGTTACTAAGTCTTCTAAAATCGACGAGTCTATACTTATAAGTAAATCTAAACCGGTAAAGAAATATCCTAAATCGGTAGTAATTACTAGATCTATTAATAGACCCGGAGTTATAACTATTCAGCTAAACTATCTACTTAATAATAATACTATCTACGCTATTATTACGATAGTTAACGAGGCTAAGCTATCGAAGCCTAAGTTATAGGACTTAGTAAATCGGGTTATATCTTACTTTATCCCCGTAGTTATAGTATTAACGATTATTACGCTTATTATCTAGGTTATAATAAGTATAGCTATCCGTAGTTATAGAGGATCTAAAGCTATTATTTAGGCTATTACTTACGCTATTACTATTCTTATCGTCTCTTACCTATATATAATTAGATTAGCTATTCCGATAGTTATTATAATTACTAGCGGAGTCGCGGCGGAAAAAGGTATTATCTTTAAGTCTACGGACGCTATTAAAGTCGCTTATAAAACTTTATATATCGTGTTTAATAAGATAGGAACCTTAACTCGAGGAAAGCTCTCTATTATTAGAAACGAGTATATTAATAAGGTTAAACTTCTACTTTTTCTAGGTTTAATTAAAAATAATTAATACCCGGTTTCGGTCGCTATAGCTACCTACCTTAAGGATATAGGAATTATAACTTTAACTATTCCCAAGCCGAAGAGTTTAATTAGTAAAGGTATCGAAACTACCTTAGGCGGTTAGAAACTTCGAGTTAGTAACTCTCGCTAGCTAAATTTATCGGACTATAAACTTATTTAATAAATATTTATTTAAGGGTGCACTATATTTTACTTTATAATCGACGGTAAGCTAAAGGCAATCTATAGACTTAAGGATAAAGTTCGATCCGATACTACGGAGATAGTTAAAACCTTATAGAAGTATAGTATCTCGGTATATCTAGTCTCTAGCGACGATAATAAGGCCGTTCGGACCTTAGTATTTAAGCTTAGTATTCCTAGTAATAATATACGCTCTCGAAGCTCGCTTATTAATAAGAAGGATTATATCTAGACTCTTATCGGTACTACTATAGATCGTAAAAAGCCGGTTATTGTTTTCTACGGCGATAGTACGAATAATACCGTCGCTCTCGCATAAGCTATTATCGGCGTATATATAAACGAAGGTATAGATATCGCGTAATCTACTATAGACGTCGTTCTTATATATCCTTCCCTAGCTAGTATTCTAACTATAATAAACGCGAGTCGAAAATCTATTAACCGTATTAAGTTTAACTTTACGTGGAGTTTCTTATATAATATATTCGTAGTTTTTCTTACTACCGGTGCGTTTATTAACGTAAGGATTCCTCTAGAGTTTATAAGACTAGGAGAATTAATAAGCGTGCTATTAGTTATTACTACCGCGGTATTTCTATACTAGTCGAAGATCTAGATATAACGCTATTATTTTATAAGTAATAATAGCTAAAGTTTTATAGACTCTCTTTAATATCTAACTAAAATTATTATTACTAAAGATAGAATATAGTAACTCCTATCGTAGCCGGATTTTTTATTGTATTATAGAATACTATAGTCCTATCGCTATCGATCGTTTTATAGCTTACTTTAGTATTAGAGACGGCTCTTTTTTAGTAGTCTCGATACTAACCGTACCGTTCTATATATATCCGTTCTATATATATCCTATCCTATAGGACGTACTCTTAAATAACCACGACTCCTCGAAAGTTAAGTTACGGTAGGGATTCTATAAAGGGGCTTATAGTTTTCTTACCTTAGCTATACTCTTACTATTAAGGGAGTGTTTATAGCTGCACCTATAGCTAGCTTTTATAATTAACTTAGTATCTCTAGCGAAACTTCTAGCTAAGATCTAGATATTAAATATTATACTCGCTTACTAGCTAAGTTTTTATTATATCAGCCTACTATCCCTAGAAGAGACTTAACTTAGCCATACCGTAACTCCATACTATATGCCCCTTGTTTGGAATTATAACGTATTAAAGAACTCGCCAAACCACATCCAGCAAGACAGGATAGGTACAACGGGCGGTCGGCACGACTGTCGACTTCTGTTAGCTGCCCGGTAGCTTAGTAAACGATGAGGAGGAGGACGGGCCTTGCTAGCGTTCCTGTTCCGCGTACTCTCTGTTGCGACGGTCATCTGATCCCGTTGTGTCTCGAAAAGGTACGTGATGATTGGGCGATTGGGGGCGGTTGCGCCAAAGCAAAGACTGCCACATCCAATGACTTCCACCGACGCGGGGCCTCAATGGACTAGGATTAGGACGACCCGGCTGATGCCGCACGAGTATGAGGTTGGTGTGAACGGATTCTAGCTGTGGCTGCATGTGCCTTCCCCGTTTCCTTCTTTCGCCTGTCCTTTTCCCTTTTCTTCTTGGGTGAAAACCCTATGGGAGCCTCTTCTATATTTTGGGGACCTAGCTAGCGGGTCGCCGAAACTTCCTCAGCAACGGCATACCCACAGTCTACTGCAACTCGCATAGCTACTAGAGACGGCCAACCTAGAGGATGCCGGCAGGAAGGACTAGCGACGGCCCTACATCTCGAAAGTGAAGCCTCCTGTCACTCTGGCCCGTTAGGGTTTGTGGGAAATTGCAATCCTAGCTGATGTGCGTTCCGGTTCAACCCGGCATAATAAGCAGACCAATCCACGTTTAGCTAGCGGAGGTCATGACGCCACCCCAAAGCGGTCAAGACGAGATGAGCAACGAGCGCACAAGGCCTCAAATACCACAAGCTCCCTGACCTTCCTTTTCCCACCCCAACCATCACCGGCCCTACTGCAGACATGATTTGCGTTTCTCGACCAGATAAGTCCTACGCCGGGGAGGGACATAATCAGAGTCCCAACCCGCTCTCCAATGATCAGACGACTAACGAAGATCTCAATGGCATGGTCAACACGCGGAGGATCAGGTCAGACGACAAGCCGCTGTCGGACTGCAACTCAGTTACACCACCCGATGACGATGGAACGGGCGGCGACAGCAAAGGGCAGCATGCTGCGCGGAGGGGAGAGGCGGTAGAGTCTACAGACTCTGCGCCTCTCCCATTTCGCTCACCTTCTCCCAACCCTGACAGTGAAGCTTCTGGCAATAGTTGGGTAGGCCTTCGCATCTTTAGGAGATTGAAGAATGGCATCCTCAAGTTCGGCTCGTTTATCGGACCAGGATTCATGATTGCCGTCGCATACAGTAAGGCCCTGCAGGTGCAAGAGTCACAGTTAGAACTGAGCGGGACATGGACAGCTAACTCGCTCTACTTGCCAAGTTGATCCCGGAAACTATGCCACAGATATAGCCGCCGGAGCCAGCTATCGGTTTAGACTTCTCTTTATCGTGCTGCTTGCCAACCTGTTTGCTATCTTCCTCCAAACCCTCTGCATCAAGCTAGGGACTGTTACCGGGCTTAACCTTGCCGAGTCATGCCGAGCCTTTCTCCCGCGTTGGCTGAACTATGTCCTCTACTTTTTTGCCGAGGCGGCTATCATTGCCACAGACATTGCAGAGGTACGTTGACCCGGGTAGCTTGGCGCCAAGGCTGCTGGCTATCGCTGGAACTTATATGGGTTTCTCTAGGTCATTGGGTTCGCCATCGGGCTGAACCTGCTCGCTCCCGCGATACCCTTGGTGGCCGGATGTGCTATTTCAATCCTTGATGTCATGATAATTCTCTTTTTCTACCGGCCACACGGGTCCATGAGTGGACTTAGGGTGTTCGAGTACTTTATTATAGGCTTGGTCCTCAGCGTAGTGGTTTGTTTCTGCATTCAACTCTCGCTAGTCCAAGATACGTCCATAGGAGACGTTTTCATGGGCTACTTGCCATCGGGTGCGATAGTCGAGCAGCAAGGGTTGGTTTCTCCCCTCTCGCAACTAACTCGACCGGGTTTCTATGCCATGCTAATACCTATCCAAGACTCTACCAAGCCTGCGGCATTCTTGGCGCAACAGTCATGCCGCACAGCCTGTACTTGGGCTCCGGTATCGTGCAGCCTCGTCTGAGGGAGTATGATGCAAAACATGGGCTCCTTCCTACCGAATACTCTGGAGATCAGGATGGAGAAGGAAACGTCGACAATGGCTATTACGTCCCGTCGCTTCAGGCCATCCGTCATTCGCTAAAAGCTTCGTCCGTCGAGCTCGCAACCGCGCTCTTCACGTTCGCCCTGTTCGTCAACTCAGCCATCCTTATCGTCGCGGGTATATCATTGTACAACAACCCCGAGGCTCCAGACGCGGACATTTTTAGCATCCACAAGCTGCTCACAGACTCCATCTCCCCTGCGGCAGGCACCATTTTCGCACTCGCGCTGCTTCTTTCTGGAGTCTCGGCAGGCATCGTCTGCACTATTGCTGGTCAGATGGTGAGCGAGGGAGCTTTGAACTGGAGGCTTCGTCCCTGGCTGCGCCGTCTGGTGACCCGTAGCATCAGCATCACGCCCAGCATTATCATTGCAGGCGCGGTAGGCAAAAAGGGACTGAACGAGGCGCTTAACGCGTCACAGGTTGTTCTCAGTGTTATTCTGCCCTTTGTCACGGCTCCGTTAATTTTCTTTACGTGCATGAACAAGTATATGACGATTCAGCCTGACGCGGCTCGGTACCTTGTTACCTCTGGCCAAGGGGGCGGTCAAGTTGGTGGCACACAGCCTCTGCGGGCAGGCGAACACGATACTGGTCTCGTCAAGATGGCCAACTCATGGTACACCGTTGTGTTTGCGGCGCTGGTATGGATCATTATTACCGGAATGAATGTTGCCAATTTGGTCTTGCTGGGAAGGGGAAATTGAGTGAAGACTTATGTTGACGACGCTCGGTGAGGAGCGCGCTCACGAGCATTAGTAGTCGGTGCATCTGAGAATTTGATGCCACATCGAACTCAGGGCCGTGTCTTATTTTCTTTCTCCTCTTTTCTTTCCGTTCGCCCTTTTTGAACTTTTTCACCCTGTTGTCTGTCAACATTAGAGATATTGTCATTCAACAATGACACAGCGTGCTTTGACTGAGGCGCCATGCATACCGACGCCTACGGACAAGAAGTGCGAATAGCCGATAATTTAAGAGCCTTTCGTAACTATTCATCCCACACCTATTGAGATGAGAACTATACATACAGTGTCACGGGCGTGCATGGTTTGGGAAAATGAGTGGGGTACCATCAGAGTCACGTGTGGGCCGCATATCGGGTCGTAACCCATTCCGACGATTAAATTTATTGATGGTGTAAGGTAGCTTTGATTGTTAAGCTTATATGCATGTGACTGACGTTGAATCCTGCACACGGACACGCCAGAAACGCACGCCAGCCAGCCTACACGTTAGTATGCTGTGCGGTCCTTCAGCTTCGTGTAGTAATGTACCTGGAGACTGCCCTTCGTTCGCTGACCCGAAAACCTATCGTTGAATTCCCGATGGATTGTCGTCCAGCTCCGCTCGCCCTGTCCTTCTTTTAGACTTAGAAGGAATTCGTTCTCCGCCGCCGTGTAAGCGGTACTTGAGTTTGTGTTTCCCCTAGGCCGGGCGCCCTTCCTTGACGACGGAGCTCGAAGCCCGTTGCCACTGGGACAGTTTGCTCGTCGGCTATTCACGTGCGGATCCTAATCAAATTGCAATTGGAAAGTCGTTTGGCCGCCACTAAACGTGATGCGCTTCAGCTTTGCGTTTGGCAGGAACCACTCCTGCAACTTCGCGCCTGTGAGGAACAAGATATTTGTCGGATTTCCAGGAGCCATAGAAGCGCCCTTGAATCCAGCACCCATCTTTAAGGTATTCATGCTCGCACGCCGGTGACATAGTGACCGACGCCCCGGTAAGGATGGAACTCAGAGTGGCTCAATCGTCGCGGCAGCGTCAAATATTCCAGATTAAGATTATATCATTCAAATCGCGAGGAAGATAGAAGATACGGACGGGGTCCAGTCAGCAGGGTATGTCATTCCATTAGCATACCTGCTTGCACACGTGACTGCAGTCAGGTGATACGCTGCAGGTCTAACCCAACACTAAAAATTTATAGCCCCCATCAAAGCCAATCCCTAAAGAGCACTTTTCCTTCATGTCCCATTACAAAATAGAATACCCTGTAGGGTACGACATACATCCAAATCAAGAGGACGAGTCAGATCATCCTGCGCTCAGTAGCACGAGAAGTTGATGAGAATAGCAAACTTGTGTTTCTCTCTGCTTCAAGGCACTTCAACAACATTCCAACGCATCATTTGTTGTATGTGTAGATGCCTCGCCGCTCACGAAGGACGTGTGGGGTAAGCAGTATGTGGCTCATGTGGCCGACCTAGAATTTAAGACCCTGCTGCACCGAAACAAGATCAGCGAGGCCACCGTCTCTATTTTAGCACAGCGTAATAGACAACTATCTAAGTACACCGTCTTATCGAGTCAAGATATATTAAAGAGCACGCTTGATTCTCGTCTAGAGTCATCCATATATTACTTAACTATATTCTCCTCGTATTAATATTACCTCCGCATACCCTTAATCGCTATCAAATAATAATACTTAAGGCGTAAAACTTAAGTTATATTTTAGACTTTTTAGCGGCTTTATATAACTAGGTCTTTCCTTATAGGATTCGTCACTCTTCTAGTAATATTTATAATAATTATAGTCGCTAAAAATCTAGAACATACGTAAGCAGGGCAAATTATTTAAATTCTTACGAAAAAAACTCTAATTCTAGTTATTAGCTATATTTCGTTCTCCCTAGGTACTTCCGGCGTATCCTAGTATATATAGAGTATAAGGCATAACTAGGTTTAGATTTTTAATAATATTTTATTATAAGCTATAAAGCTTAGAGGTCGAACGGAACTAATAAGGACGAAGGCCCGGGTTTTAGAATACTATTCTCGGACTTCTAATAATACTCGTGTGTTACGACCTAACATGCGACCGCATGCGCCTCTCACGTAACCCCCGCTTTTTTCCTCCTATTATACGTCACCCGCATGCCGCGTAGGATAGACGACTATAGGCGACTAGCGACTATAGTCGACTACGCTATAAAGGCGCTCGTAGACGATAGTCGACTATCGTCGACTATATAACATTTACTTAGTATATAGGAAGCCTAGCTTTACTATAGTTAGTCTCTACTAGCTCCTTAGTTATTAATATAATTATCTACGTAAGATCTACTATCTCGCATATAGACTATAACCCGACTGCTTAAGTTAACGATATCCTAGTATACTTAGTTTATAAACCGACCTTAGATCTACCTACCCTATAGTTAGTCTAACCCGAATATTATATATTAATAGCTCTTATTTAGTATACTACCGTGTTAAGTACTTAAGTAATACGATATTATAACTAGCGAATCCTCTAAGATAACCCTTAAGTCCGCCGATAAGGGTAAGGCTACGGCTAAGTATACCGAGCCCTCCTAGACGGCTTAGTCTATAGACTTAGACTTGGACGAGTCCGATAACGAGGACACGAAGATCCTTAAGGGGTAGATCTAAGAGTTACAAGGGCAGCTACGGTAAGTCCTCGATATATAGGCCCGCGATAAGTAGTAGTACGACGAAGCCTACCGTTCCTTCCACGAAGGAATAACCTTATAATAGTAATAGGCCGCTTAGCTAAGAAACGAGATAAATAGCGTGAGCAATAATACTATTCGATAGGCTACCGGTAAGGACCTAGGAGAGATTATAAAGCCACGCTAACTAGGACTATTCGATAGTACGACTAAGGACCTTTAAGGGTTCTTAACTTAGGTTAGAGCCTACTAATAGTACTTCCCGTCTATCTTTCGTACGGAAGAAGATAAAATACGCTACGCGGTAGGATATTTGTTAGGAGCCGCTCTCGTATAGTTCGAACCTACTCTTAGGGAATTCGTAACTAATACTTACTAATACCGAAAATAAGAGACGAAAGATATCTTCGCGTACTATAATAACTTTAAAGAAATATTAAAGGCGACCTTCGGGACTATCGACGAAGAACGCCTAGCTAAGAACTAGCTAGAGGCGTTAAAATAAAAAGGGTTAGCCTTAGATTACGGCGCCTTATTTACCTAAATCGCGTCTAGAATTACTAAGAGTGAAGGAGATAAGATAGCCTCCTTCTACCGAGGTCTTAAGGACGAGGTTAAGGACGAGCTATATAAGGAAGACCGACCAGCCACCCGCGTTATCAACGACCCATACGAAAAATATAAAGCGGAGTTCTACGAGTATGCATACGCAGAATCTAGCATAGGATATATAATACTAAGGTAGTTAGCGAAATACCCCGAAGTATACGCACGAGACTAGAAGACGTGGCGTAGATATTAGTTAGTAGACTACCTACGACACGCTAAGGCAAAGGTATTCGATTAGCATAGGACTAGGGAATAAAAAGAGATAGAAGAGCTCCGACGATATAAGAATACCGTAAAAGTATTACTCGGCATTAAGATAATCAAGAGTAAGGAATACGCCTTAAGCTACGGATAAGGGTATAGGGGATATAAGAAGCACCCTAACGGCATAAGATTACTATTCGACCCTACCGAATAAGCGGACCGAGACTATATTAACTAAGGTAAGATAAACCGCGAAAGATATACTAGAGCGAAGGAAACGCTACGCCTACGATATAGGATCGGAGCACGAGAATACCTTATTCCGTAAGGAAAGGTATATACGTAGTATATTATATATAGGTATTACGAAGGATATATATTAGACTACGGAGTCTACTACTACGGGTATATATATCACCCGTACGAAGAGGAAGGGAAATAATACCCCTCGACGTACCTAGAGTCGTACGATAGTAGCTACGTATACGACCCTAAGGATAATACTATCGATATAGAATACTACCCGTTAAAAAACTATTAATATCGCTTATAAAAAGGGCATAAAACGACGAAGAAAACCTAAAGACCCTCTGCTCCGTAGAGATAGACGGAGGATAGAAAACGGTTTTAGAAGTCTAGATTAATAGATATTGCCTGCGAGCACTATTAGATAGTAAGGCAATAAGAAACTATATCTTACTAGCGGTAGTTAACCGATATACGCTACTATAGAATTATAAGGCTCGATTATATAAGCTTTTTAATATCGAAGGATAAAGCTTCGATTATAATAGTAAGACTATCGACCGCGAGACCGATTATCTTAACGTAGCGATATAAGGATACTATAAGATAATCGTCTTCGATATTATAGACTTATATAAATACGATATAATACTAGGTCACCTATAGTTAACGAGAAGTAATCCGGTAGTCGATTAGCGCACTAGCTAGTTAGCGTGGATAGACACGATAACGCGATAATTACTATTTAGCTAGAAGAAAGCGAATATTCGCGACGACTTAGCCTCTAGAGTATCTTTATAGGAAGATATAAGCGAGCCGAAGCAGGCAAAAGCTATAGTATCGACCGAGAAGGCGTTATAACCGGGTATACGATATAAATAAGGAAGACGAGTTATCGCTAATATTATATAAAAGATATTCGAAGTAAACCAAGCCCTATAAGAAGAAAAGAAGAAAAAACCCACGATAGAAGAAGAACGAATAAAGAACGTACCTCTAGAATATCGCAAATATAATAGGTTATTTAAGGAAACCCTCGAAACGGGTATTCCCTAATATAGTTAATAAGATCACGAAATCTATCTTAAAACTAGAACCTCGACTAAATTCTATAAACTCTATAACCTTAACTAGAAGTAACTTGAGATACTACGAGAATATATCGACGAAATACTTAAGAAGGGCTATATTCGAACCTCTACCTCGGAAGTAAGATACCCCGTTATATTCGTACTAAAGAAAAATAGGAAGCTACGATTAATCGTAGACTATCGGTAGCTTAACGATATCACGATTAAAGATAGGACACCCCTGCCGCTTATTAACGAGCTTAAGGATAGACTTTATAGCAAGAACTAGTTTACCGCTCTTAACCTAAAAGGAGCCTATAACCTAATCCGTATAAAAAAAGGAGACGAATAGAAAATAGCTTTTCGCACTAAGTTCGGTCTATTCGAGTATTTAGTAATACTATTCGGCCTTACTAATACTCTAGCTACCTTCTAACGAATAATTAATAATATACTTAGGGAGTACTTAGATATCTTCGTTATAGTATATCTAGACGATATCCTAATCTTCTCGGAGACCCTTAAAGAACATAAGGAATACGTCTATTAGGTACTAAAAATACTTTAAGATACGAACCTCTTAGTTAACCTAGAGAAGTACGTGTTTTATATATAAGAGACTGTCTTTCTTAGATATATAATTAGACTAAACGAAATCCTAATAGAATAAGTAAAGATTAATATAGTTAAGGAATAGCCCTTACTAGAAAATAACCTTAAGGAAGTATAAGTATTTATAGGCTTCGTAAACTACTATCGGCGCTTTATACGCGACTTCGCGAAGATCGTAGCACTACTTATAGAACTTATAAAGGGTAAAAAAGAGTTCTACTTCGGAAAAGAATAAAGGAAGGCTTTCGAAACGTTACGAGATAGTATAATATCTAATACTATGCTTATAACCTATAACCCCGAAAGGCTACTCGAATTAGAAATAGATATATCGGATTACGCTATAGGAGCGTAGATTAGCTAATAAGATAATAACGGTAATCTACGACTAATCGCCTTCTTTTCGAAGAAACTCCACGGCGCGGAACTAAACTACCCTATCTACGATAAAGAATTCTTAGTAATTATCGCCGCTATTCAAGAATTTAAGCACTATATACTAGGAACGAAGTTTAGGACTAAGGTTTATACCGATTACTAAAATATCTCTTACTTCGCTACGATATAAGAACTTAGCTTACGATAAGTACGATACGTTAAATTCCTAGCCGAATACGATATTAAAATTATCTATCGGAAAGGATCGGAAAACGGCAAAGTAGACATACTTAGCCGCCGACTAGACTACGATACCGAAGTATAAAAAGCAAAAGGCTAGATACTTTAATAAAATAACGAAGGAAACTATATATAAATAGTACTTAACCTCCTTATATTTAGAGTCGAAGTAGATACTATATACTACGATAAAATATTAGATTAGGTATCTAAATACGAAAAGGAAGTTCCGGACGACTATATAATAGAAACGGGAAAAGGACCTACTAGGAATAGACTACTCTAGATACTACCGCCACTACGCGATAAAATCTTAATTAATATTTATACGCACCCTACGGTAGGATATTAAGGAGTTAGGAAGACTCTCGAACGAATACGATAAACGTACGACTACTAAGGAATTAAAGTAAACGTCGCACGTATCGTCGGATAATACGAAGACTATACACGTAGTAAGGCTGCACGGTATAAACTATATAGAGAACTAAAGCTACTACTAGTGCCTTTAAGACTATAGGAATTAATAGCCTTCGATTATATTACGAAGCTACTTAAATTAAAGGAACTAGGATCTAATATCGAATATAATAATATATTCGTTATTATAGACCGAATAAGCAAATTCGGATATTTCCTACTATACTAAGAAGCAATAGATATAGAAACACTCGCATATATAGTGCTTAAATATATCGTGGCTAACCACGGCCTTCCGGAAGAAATTATTTCGGATCGAGGAATAATATTTACCTCGAAGTTCTAGCAAGCTCTAATAGCTTAACTCGGAACTAAATATAAGCTTAGTATAGCTTACTACCCTTAGACGGATAGATAGATAGAAAGGTTAAATTAGATACTAGAATAATACCTACGGTACTATATTAACTACGAATAGGACGATTAGGTCTCGAAGTTACCACTCGCCTAACTCGCCTATAATAGCGCACCTATAGAATTAACTTAAATCTTACTATTCTATACGAACTACGGATACGAGCCCGAGTTCGGTAGTAAAACACTAAGGGATAGACCTCTTGCTAAAAAAGCAATACTTAAAGTAGACTAACTACGCTCACTATATAAATATATAAAAAGATAGCTCGAATTCGTACGTATACGAATAACGAAATACTATAATAAGAAAAGATCGAAGGGACCGATCTTTCGGAGGGGAGATATAGTCTACTTACTACGCAAAAATTTTATAATAACTCGACCCTTACTAAAGCTCGACTATAAAAAGCTTAGACTATTTAAAATCGACGAAGTTATCTTAGATACTAACTATAAGCTTTTGTTACCCTTAAGTATAAGAATATACCTAGTTTTTTATATCTTACTACTCGAAAAAGCACTATAAAACGCAAAAATAAACTACGAACTAGAAGTCCTCGAAGAACTCTACGAACTAGAACGAATTATCGATAAATAAATAATAGACGGAGAAATTAAATACCTTATTAAATAGAAAGGCTATATAAGTAGCGAAAATACATAGGAACCCGCTAAATACCTTAAGAATTACCGTCACCTATTACGATAGTATTATCAAAGGGAAATATATCGGATATAGCGCTCTAATCGATAACCCTAAACGTACCTAACTCCTAAGCACGCCTAACTACTTACTACTCCTTAAGAATAGCCTCTTCCTAAGAACGCACCCTATCCTCCTTATCTAACTTACGTATACCACGAGATACTAACTCCGAGGTCCGACTTCGAAGTAGTTCTCGTTAGCGATAAAGGCGCTAAACGCGCCTTAGAGCCTCTTAGAGCTCCCTCTCGGATTTTTCTAAATCCGCTTCTACTCGTTTCTACTTAGATACTATACGCGTTACTAAAACGTAGGTTAGTATATACACAAAAAACACATATAGTACTCACGATACGACGCTACGCTAGCACTATTATAAGTTTTCTTTATTTCGATACACGACGTATAACGACGAGAATCACTACTTATATAACAAACGCGCTTAGCGCGATAATAACGAGTATAGGGTATCTCGCTCTTAGAACCGTTAAGATAAATAGCTTTAATTAGGATAGCGCGATACGAGTCGTTAGTTCTCTTATAAGAAGAGGGACGTTTCTATATACGGTTAGGTATAATAAAAGGAAGAAATTACCGAACACGACTTACGACGGACGGCCAACGGGTTTTAGCTAATTCTAGGATAGAATCTCGGAAGGGGAGATATTATATTACGACCTAATATACGACCGTATACGCCTCTTACGTAACCCCCGCTTTTTTCCTCTTATTATATATTACCCGTATGCCGCGTAGGATAGACGACTATAGGCGACTAGCGACTATAGTCGACTACGCTATAAAGGCGCTCGTAGACGATAGTCGACTATCGTCGACTATATAATATTTACTTAGTATATAAGAAGCCTAGCTTTACTATAGTTAGTCTCTACTAGCTCCTTAGCTATTAATATAATTATCTACGCAAGATCTACTATCTCGTATATAGACTATAACCCGACCGCTTAAGTTAACGATATCCTAGTATACTTAGTTCATAAACCGACCTCAGATCTACCTACCCTATAGTTAGTCTAACCCGAACGTCATATCGTGAGAGTATATACCACGTAGGATAGTTATTGGTCTTCTCTTGCGATTATAAGCTTCTATATTGCCGGTATCTACGGGATTTTGATAGTATCTACTATATTGGGTTTTGAGATAATTCTTTTTAGGAGGTTAAGAAGCTATTAGCAGTAACGAACTACTATATCTTAGAGTATATTACCCACCTTAACGCCTGGAAACTTGACACCCTCAACCACCGCCCTCTTTTGGCTGTTCCTTCTTAAAAGTAGCTAATGAACTTAAGTCAGAGAATTTCGTTTGATCCGATTTTATCACACTTATACAATCCTGCTCTGTGTGGCTGCGACCGCGAACGCATGAGCAGGCACTTGCGGATGCTAGTTTCTGAGTTGTTGGAAATGTCGTAGGCAGGATGTTCGCTGTTGATTCGCAGTGTTGAAGAGAGTTTGGCTCTTGATCGCGTGCAAGAAAATCTGCCACAGCTGCCGAGAGACGCTTTCCTTCCGGATGCTTTCGGGCGCTTTCCTGTTTATCGTCGGAAGGCATCGCTCGGCGGCGGTACAATTAACTACCTAGGCCTTTTGCCGCCGCCAAAACACACCCTTTCTGGATGACCGATCTTGCTCGTTGCGGGCCATGACTGTAGTGCCGTTGAGCGACTACATAGTTGATTTATGGGAAGAAGCCATTTTGTCTGGCCATACGGGAAGTCCTGTCTTGAGACCTTCAGCCAAAATGATAACTAACTTCTGCCAACCAATCGCTAGGCGCGTAAGATTTGTCCAATGGGACCACTAATCAAGAAGCACCAACTCAGGTGAGAGAGCACTGCTCGCCAATCATCTTCAAGGCCAGGATCATCTGGAGACTGAAATTGCTGGACCCTCACCCCGCGAATTACAATGCTGATCTCTGCATCCTTGGTGCGACCTAGCATTTGATAAGTTCAAACATGCTCTCGAGGCAGGCTGGGTCACCTTCCCTTTGACCAGAACACGCGGTAAAGGACCTTTCCATTGAGTCGTGTGATCACAGCATCTTCTCAATTGACTCAAGCCTGCCTAACCGGAATTCAAATCGAACCATCATGCGAGCGAGTACAACTTTCGCCTAGTTCTTGAATGGCTGCGATGTCCGCAAAACAGACCGAAGAAGAAGGATGGATCGCTACGACGTTTGAGCGGAAATATTACCATCGTGAGAGAGTGTTAATCAAGAGAAGCCTCCGTCCAAATGAGTATCGCACCGGATTTCGCGGGCTACACGTCCCTCGCCTCGGCAAGGAACGTCTTATGAACGAAGCCAAGTCTTTACAATTTATTCAACAGCACACTGATATACCAGTACCGACTGTGTATTGTTATTTCGAGGATGACGGAGCATATTACTTGATCACGGAGTATATTGAAGGTGTGAGCATGTCCGAGCTTCCAGAGGGGCAAAAGGCTGTGGTTAGCGAAGAGCTCGAGAGTCACCTAGCGAAACTCAAGACCTTGAAATCCTGCCGGCTTGGAGGTCCATCAGGAATTATTATCCCTCCTTACCGAGTTTTATAACACATAGACATAGACTACTGGCATCTACGGGCTTCAAGTCAGGATACATACGTCTTCTGTCATAACGATCTATCCTAACAAAATATCATCGTCGACCCGCACACACTCGATATAAGAGGCATTATCGATTGGGAATATGCTGGCTTCTTCCCGCCTCGCTTTGAATACCCTTTCCACAGAAGGCTTGGCCCTTCATCAGCCATCAAAGGTGAAGTCGATGACTCATTCGACTTGCTCCAGTTTCTCCAATCCGAAGCAAGTCACAGCTCCTAGGCTCCGCCACGGTTGTTAGGTGGAACTGCCTTTGAATGATCTGGCTTCCTCAAGATTCGGTTCTCGAAGAAAGGTTGAACTCACGATGGAGGAAGATAGAGGCTGAAGGAGTGTGGGCGTCGGCACAGCCACTCAGCACGTATATTTGTGGATTGGTAATGAACCGGCTGCAAAGAGAGGCAAGCTACAGATTGGAAGTAACTTTTAAGGACAAGCGGAGATGTTATAAGTGGTTTCTGTAAGCGTATATGAACTCAAAGCCCTGACGTACTATGCAGATTTCTAGGCCGTGACCCTAAAACCACCGTAAATGTTGTCGTCCGAATCTACATACACCACAAGACTGTCGACTCGTCCTTCAAGAATAGATTGGTCCCTTTCTTGAAGCTTGGTCGCGCGTTTCATGTAGTGTTCTCTTGTTCTAGGCTTTGACCCGGGATGGAAGCGATAGCTTTCAAGCCAGACGCGAATAAGCCGGATATTTTGAAGACCGCTCAGGATCTCCAGAATGTCATCACTATCCCACACATCTTCCTCCACGATAATGTTTTGTATGTTGTTCAGCTGCGAACCGTAATGGCGCTGTAAGTCGGTCATAGCCAATGGGGTAACGTTCTCCGACAGCCAAATGAAATCCACTTCGGGATAGAAGTGAAGGGCCGAGTTAGGGAACAGAGGATGTTCCAAACGAACGATTTCGGGACGAGGCATTGATCCTGCTATATCGCTACACTCAAGAGGTTGGATGTCTTCATCAAGAAGCTTTCCGTTCTACTTGAACAGTATTTCAGACGTATCGTGCTGCAGAAAGGTCTGTAGCTTTCCCACCAGCCTGAAGTAGCTTAAGTCAGCTAAATCATCGCTTACAGCGGATGCTGAATCCAGGATTGGTGGCTCTGGGTCGTCGATAGCAATCTCGACGACTCGCGGTTCCCATGTCGTGAAAGGCGAGGAGTCGGTGAATTCTATTAAGGTTCGCCGTCAGTGTTTGAGAATTTGCGATCAAAGGAGCCCCTTACTTGGTTTTTGAGCCAACATGACAGGCGTGCGGTAGCAATGAGGCCAGAAAGATTCTGAAACCCCAAAGCAACAGCGCTGCACTGCTAGCTTTTAAAACCTTCCGCGGACTGTCAACGTGTGGCCGCAACAACGACAGGTAATCACCTCAGAACTGAAGTCGATAATATGCCGCGTCAGCCACTCTGACGTACGGTGCCGCGCCGTCGGTACTGAGGCAGCGACCAACACTGCTACCATGGATGAAAATATCGGCGATACTTTCACTTAGGACCGATCCCATGCGGCGGAATCACCATCAGAGATCGCGAACCAACAAGCTAATCAACCAAGCACTTGTTGGTTTGCACAGAAATCCTTCATGGGGCAAGAACCTGGAGGATAAGGGAGTCTTTCCACGACATAGAAATGTCGAGAACCAAATTCATGGAGGCTCACTCGTACACCGCGAAGCCGTCACCGGAGTTGCGAACGTCATTCAACATTCTGGTGTGGAAGGAGAACGTCAAGGGTAAGAGCAGCATCAACAGTCCGAACAGGGGGGTTGCGAACACCCCCGCTGCCCCCACAGTTTCTGAAAAAGTGCCTAGATGCATGGTAAGCGCCAACTGTTTAAAATAGCCGCTAGGGCAACAAATGACAGGTTCGCGGGAGACCAGACATCTGACGGAACAGTTCGCGGCCCATGCACGCTACTCAGACAAGACAGGTTGGCTTTCCTCACTTACAAATGGTACATGTTACGGGACATATTATCAGCAGGACGGCGCGGCACCCGGTAGTGGACAGCTCCACTACTTCCTCAATGACGAATACGTGCGGGCTTCATCACAATCGGGTTACAAGTGGGTCATGCCTGAAGATCACGTGCGAGCCGCATGACGGCGCATGCGGTCGCATGTTGGGTCGTCACACAACTCCTTTCTTTTCGCGCGGATACATGACATCGATCATGACTTTTGGTTAGACTGCTGGAAGGTGAGTTTCCGGATCACAGGGAGACTCGGTTTCGCACGGAGCCCAGACGGCCCGCTGTTAGTCAAGCTTTTAGCTCATGGCGAAGAAATTTTGTTAACGACCAATATCGTGATCAAACGTCGTGCCACGGCCAATTGTTTGCCTTGTAAAGCACTGCTGGCCGCCACCAGTACGAACAACCAGGTCTCAGATTTGGCCTCCCACTCTCAACGTCGGCGTCAAAGGATGGAAGTGCATTGGCCAGCGTCTTAAAGCTTCCAACCAACATTCGACATGGGCGGTTCAATCTCAGCCAATTGCCAAGGCTTGTAAGCCTCTCGCGTTAGTTTGGGCTTCGAATATCGGCGCCGAACGATGCACCGGAGACCATGGGCGGCTAAAGGTCAGGGCATAACATTAGTAAAGTATAGAGGTCTCTTGCTCTTCGTGAGGGAAGTTCTAGTACTATCAAGGCTCTTATCAAATTTGATCACATCATTCCTCACCAAGTATGTCCAAATTCATCAACTCGTTCAAACACGTCCCCCTTCTTCTATTCCGCCTCAACTCCGGAAAAAGCATCAAGCTTCGCGAGTATTCGGCCAGGAGAAGCCGGAGTTTCGACGTTCTCTCCGAGGCTGGAACGGTCAAGGCAAAGGCTTTGACCCCATCAACGTATGAAGGTGTGCATACAGGCTTTTCCGATGCGCTTCAAATCAGTTCATGTTACTAAACCCGACTATGAAGCGCCCAATGGTGCCTCTATGCGGCCCCTCGGCGAGTTTCAAACTGCATTGGTCGAAAACTTTAAAGGTTCCAATGTGACAGTCTATGCTGTCCCGGAAGGTAAGTTTATGAAAGTTGTCCCTTCATGCGACTGGCTAGCTCAACAACGCTTTCGAAGGAACCCAATTACCCGACGACTTGATTCTCGTGCACGAGCATACAGATCATTATTCACTTCAACCTGCTGTGGATATGCCGCTATCTGGTGCGTGAAAGGCACCCGGAAGTGTGGTGATTCAGTATGACTGACACAGCGGCCCAGAGTTGAACGAGAAAATCACGGCGTTCTTGAGGACGCATGGAACAACTTACTCCCGGGACGAATGGCTTGCAACTTTTCAGCAAGATGAACCTGCTTATCCTGAGTGGGTTTGGAGCGAAGAATACCAAATGCACTATTATTACGACGATAAGGGAAACTGCGTTTGGGAGACGGAGGTTCATCAACAACAAACCGGAAAGTCCTCCAAGGGCAAGACAAAGAAACGCTAGAGTGTGCCCTTCTCGTGTCAGGCTGCTGACGTTGCGGTAGCTCTGATTGGTGGTGGACGCGACATGAGCGCCGGGTACATCTCGATTTGGATTGGCTGTGAAATTTAGCGCTGTTAGCGGATAAATTTAACGCCGCTTGTTGTGGCGGCGCTGTTCCGACATGGGCGACCAACCCTCTCCTGCTTTCCTCAAGCTTGTGCTAATGCTCATCATTGAACAGCCCCGTGTCGCTCTTCCGCTATGATCAGTTGCTTTCCTCGCCGGTTCCTCGTGCATCAACCGCCACGTCTGCTTTCACGACGACTGTTTTCCGTGAAAGCAGTCCATTCCTCCTTCCCTGCGACCTTACACTACTACTGCCCGCGCCGCGGCTCAAGCCTGTTCGATCACCGCGAGAATGACGACCGACCAGACGACTTGTATGACGAAGGCGTAATTGTGGGAAAACATGGATTGGTATACCCAGGTGTGAAGGGGACATCAGGTTAGAAGGGCTAGGTCGACGCGCACAGACGACATGTACTAAGCGGCTCATAGTTTCAAACGGAGCTGTCATGTTTCCAAACACCTTCATGATGCAAGAGCTAGCGCGCAGATACTTCGACGAAGTTCTTGATCGTGAAGAGGAGGGCAAGCAAGTTGATCGACCATTTATCTATACTATTCCTCGAGGTATGGAAGCTAAGTTGCAGTGCGTATACTGCATGCACCTCAATCAGCTAACTCGAAACCCCTAAGGAACGCCCCTCCCTGGCCATTTCGTTCTCTTCAATGATTACATGTCGCGATTCTCTCTCCAACCTTCGCGGGGTATGCCGCTTGCAGGTTTGATCCCTCGAGAATCTCCCTCGCTGAACTCCAAGCCTAACAGTCGTTTAGATCTGAATCGGTTGTTGAATGAGTTCTACAACACGCATGCGCAAGAGGAATCCGCCGAGAAGTGGTTGGATGCACACCCCTATCAGGCAGCCATAGCAGACGACGCAGACGCCGAGTGGATGGCGAAGTAACTCATGGCAGGCGCGTTGGAGTACTATATTGACTCGCACCGGTGCTTGAATTTTTTTTTATTTTTTTGGAAGGCCACATCTGCCTTCTACGTTCTCTCCATGTTTTATTTCTCGAGTCGCGTGTATATTGGTTTAGTGAAAACAAGATCACGAAGATTACGATTAATTCCCTTGATGAGCCGTCGAGAGCTATGGCTACAGCTCTCTCATTGAAGCACCTACCTGGTGGAACGCAGCAATATCACCCGGTGATGCATGATGTATTGTCCTCCCTGGTGTCACTGACGTCCGCATGCACTAGATCCTCATCCTTGCTACCTTCCAAGAGCCTTCCAATGCGAAAGGAGTGCCCCTGCGCTGAGGTTTTGCGATGTCGTGAGTCTCTGGAGGAATTTCCTCGGTATTGTGCTCGTTGGACCGCCTGAAGAACCTCCATCACTGCATCCTTGGGGAGCTGATAGCGCCTTAACAATTTATTCTGAGCAAGTGCACATGTAAGTTTGGTGTCAAGCTGGAGTCCAAGATAGCGGCAGGACTGTGACGCCGTGATCGTGGCATGTGGGAGGCGGAGGGCGTGTGTGGTATTGCAACTAGTGTCTCTGGAGAAATGCACAAATTCATACTTTACGGGGGCAAACTACGATCCATGCTTTAATACCCATTCGTTAGCCTTCCGGTGGATGGCCTTGAGGGTCTTATAGTTACGAGGTGCCGTTGGGCCGATCGCTAGAATTGACACATTATTAATATACCCGACTACTTCTGTCTCGCTTGTCTTATAGGCCTTAATAAGGTCGGCGTTATAGAAGAGATATAGGATTAGCGAGATAGGTGAGCCTTACGGGATGCCGGTCTAGATCGCTGTCGAAGGGTCTGTGTATTCCTAGAGCTTGAGGCTGGTCGATCGATTGGTGAGAAATGAGGCGACCTAGTTCACAATCTCCAGACTAACGCGGCGTTTCCTTAAGTTATGCAATAACCTTTCCCTTGATACGTGCACTTGGCTGCGTCCTTGACCTGTTGGAGGATCTCCCGTAGGGCTGGCTGTCTTAGGACCTTACCAATCAGCACGAGGGTGGAATCTAGGTATATTTACACGATATTCTATGGTACCTAGTTATATCTGCCTCTATCTACGGCCTATAGTTAGTTATATACTTCCTTTAGGTATATAGTATACTCGTTAATATATTCCGGGCTATTATTAACCTATAGCTACTTAGGCGCTATTACTATAGATAGACGCGTTTTAGACGCGTTTTCTGTAATAATCGCTAAAATTAATATAGGTCTACTAAAAAGAAAGCAGAAATTTACGCGTTTTTAAAAATTTATTCGGAGCTAGGTGTGGTGTTTTTTAATTTACGTGTGTACGTCAGTCTTTGCTACTCTACTAGCTACAAGTACACCACTCTGCTAGTAACGCAAGCTAATCCTAACTCTTAGTTTTTAAGTCTCGAGAAGCGCCCTCCGTATGTCCACGGAAAAGGCCAAGCACGGCAGAGAGTTATTCAGGCTCGGGGTTAAACCAGGAAAGGTAATACTCGAGCTCCACGCCGGAATACATAAGGCTATTAGCTCTACTATCACCTAGATACGCACCGGCAAGATTAGCTTACGCGTATACCTCGCTAAAATCGATAAAGCTAAAATAGATAAATACGAATATAGCTATAGCCCGCAGACCGTGCGGTATATCCTCCTAAAGTACCGACACTAGATAGAAGAACGATATAAAATATAAGTAAGTAAATAACTATATATTAACTTTAAACGTATTCTCTATAGCTCGTTAATAGTAGTTTAAGTAGCAAAGACGATAATTAAGACGGGCCTGCTAGGATAATTTCGAGCAATCCCGTCTACCGTACTAACGTACTTAGCGTAGACGAGTAACTACTATTAAATAAAAGCAAAGGACGGCTAGGAAGGGCTTAATAAGTTAGAGATATAGAATAATTTTCGATAGCTATAGATATAAACTAGCGAGAGGTTACCTACGAGGAGTTAGATAGGAGGACGAGACTCGATAGTTAAACGGCCTATGATAGTAGGATATTTTATCGTGGGGTGGAAATCTAACCTAAGAGCTAAAAGTGGGAGGCCCTGACCTTATATTTATAGTTATACGCTACATAGCTACTAATAAAGGTGGCTAGGACAGTCTATGAATTAATCAATTAATTAATTAATTAATTAATTAGTTTTTAAGTCTTGGGAATTTTACTAGGAATCAAGAGTGACACCGAAATTAGAGGTCTCTTTGGTTTGCTGATATTCGATGCAATACCCCTGACTCAGTTTTTCAATGACATTTTATCTACCAGTATAATATACTCACCTCGAGCACTTCAACGCACACTATGAGCACCGCGACCGCTCAACTACATAAGCCAAGACGTGAACCAAATGACTGCTTCAGTTCAGGAGTTCGGCTACTCCAAGGCATTTATCGAGAAAGAGCGCTGCCCCATGGATAACTATCAAATAGAGGCTCAAAAAATCTTTCGAATCTGCTCGTGTCATGCCCTACTTAAGGTAGAGCTCGTAGCGCTTGATGTGACGTTCAGGACTGGACTAGCTACCGGGTAGGTGGAACAGAAGTCGGTTTATGAGCAGAGTACAATTCGATGTCGTTGACTTGAGATAAACCCAGCTAGCCAGAACAATCGCAGCTGAAAGCTGAAACCGAGTAGCGATGCGATTCAGTTCAGTTCCGTTCTTCGGCCGCGATCGGTATCCGCTCATCGCGCGGCTCTAAGACAGCGATCAGGGAGTGTACATGCCTACGGAGATGCGAAGGGAGGGCAGACATTGACAACCTCCTTTGATGTTCTTGCTGGGTGCATACACAGGGCACGTAGATCAAGCGTATTGACTGACACCTTGATATCGCAAGGAGCCGATAGAGTCAAGGAGATTCAGCTGCTCCTTTGAACAAAGCTCGTCAAGTCGCTGGGCCGATTTACCTCCACACACGAAGCAGTCGATTCGATCTCTCCGATTCGCGAAAGCCTGGGTACCCTATCCCCGGGCAGTTGGTTCATGCAGCACCTATGTGAGCATGCCGCCTGCAATTTTGAGTGGCCGGTGCTTGATCAGTCATCCTGCTCACCCAAGTTTCGTATGAATATTTGTCGCACGAAAAGCCGGTCCTTGATTAGTCACTACGGTCGCTCATAATTCGTACGAATCTTTGTCGCACGAAGAGCTAGTCCATGATTAGTCACTCTGCTCACCTAAGTTTCGTACGACGAGCCGGCACTCGATTAGTCACTATGGTCGCTCACTTCTTCGTACGAACTTTGGTCGTACGAATCAATTTATCGGTGGGTAAAAAACTCATAGGGGAAGTACAAGTCGGGGCCTACCCTATAGTCTGCCACGACCGACATTATATACGAAGACATGCCGATGCTTCTTGTAAAAGATGGCTCTGTGCCTGGCTTACAATTCATTCACAATGCCCCTTGGGTTTGGAACGTCCGTTTTTATCACTGCTTGCATAGCATGTTGACTTGATCTCGAAGGTGAATTTTAATTTCACGGACCTATGAGATTAAATAAGCTAGCTATATAAGATATTTGCCCTAGAAACCTCTAGGCAGCTCAGATTAGGATAACCGCCTTATCCCCGAGGGCTTGACGATATGCGCGTATTGCTAGGCGCGAAATATATTCCAAGGAAGGGTGCGTAATAGAGAAATCTTTTCTGCAATAGCTATCAGAGACTTTACTAGGCAGTGTCTCGAGATATATATATCTTAGTATCTGCCTTGGCTGAGTAGGCGAACCCCAGAAATATCGATCTACCAATAATACGTAACCAGCGTCTAGCAAATCGCATACGATAGACGACTTTAGACCGCGGCCTTCGTCCTTCTAAAGCCCTAATATACGTGTTAATAAGAATAGTAGAGTCGTTATAACCTCGATAGCTTTAGAGTTATCTATTTCGCCTCTTACTCGCGATAATCGGTTAAAGAAATATTAGAAACCTCGCTAGTCGCACGTAGGTAAGGCGATGCTACTAGTAGGGTCGGGTGTCGTCGGATATCATAGCGTCGATTATTTAGAGCTTAACTTATATATCGGATATAGCTATAAGGGGGTCTGCCCTAGATATATCTAGCACTAAAGTCAACTAGAAGCTAAATATTTATCCTATATTAGCCTAGAAGGTTATCCACGAATCTAGTTAGATTAGTGGTGAGAGCAGAGAGAGTTAATCTTCGTTTAAGGGCTCGTTTTAGGTAGACATTGCGCTAGTAGGATATATCGACGAGGCTAGAAGAGTATCGTTTAGTATTATATGCCTAGCAGCTACTAGACGGAGAGGCAGCCGGTGGTATTTTAACTAAGGATCTACTAAAGTAAGTATCTTAAAACAAGTATCTTAAAACAAGCATCTTAAAACAAGTATCTTAAAATAAGTATCTTAAAATAAGTATCTTAAAACAAGTATCTTAAAACAAGTATCTTAAAACAAGTATCTTAAAACAAGTATCTTAAAACAAGTATCTTAGAACAAGTAGCTTAAAATAAGTATCTTAAGTTAAAGTATATCTATAAAAGAGTGTCTATTAAGCGTATCTATAAAAGAGTATCTATTAAGCGTATCTCTTAAAGAGTATCTATTAAAGTATATCTATAAAAGAATATCTATTAAAGCATATCTATAAAAGAATATCTATAAAAGCGTATCTATAAAAGAGTATTTATTAAGGCGTATCTATAAAAGTATATCTATAAAAGAATATCTATTAAAGCATATCTATAAAAGAGTATTTATAAAAGTATATCTATAAAAGAGTATTTATTAAGGCGTATTTATAAAAAAGTATTTATTAAAGTATATCTATAAAAAAGTATCTATTAAAGCGTATTTATAAAAGTATATCTATAAAAGAGTATCTATTAAAGCGTATTTATAAAAGAATATCCATTATAGCGTATTTATAAAAAAGTATTTATTAAGGCGTATTTATAAAAAAGTATCTATAAAAGTATATTTATAAAAAGATATTTATTAAAGCGTATTTATAAAAGAATATCTATAAAAATATATTTATAAAAGAGTATTTATTAAGGCGTATTTATAAAAAAATATCTATTAAGGCGTATCTATAAAAGTATATTTATAAAAGTATATTTATAAAAGAGTATTTATTAAAGTATATCTATAAAAGAGTATCTATTATAATATATCTATAAAAGAGTATTATTAAGGTATATCTATAAAAGAGTATCTATAAAAGTATATCTATAAAAGAGTATTTATTAAAGTATATTTATAAAAAAGTATTTATAAAAGTATATCTATAAAAAAGTATTTATTAAGGTATATTTATAAAAGAGTATTTATTAAGGTATATCTACAAAAGAGTATTTATTAAGGCGTATCTATAAAAGAGTATCTATAAAAGTATATTTATAAAAGAGTATTTATTAAAGCATATCTATAAAAGAGTATCTATAAAAGAGTATTTATTAAAATATATCTATAAAAGAGTATCTATTATAGCGTATCTATAAAAGAGTATCTATTAAGGCGTATCTATAAAAGAGTATTTATTAAGGTATATTTATAAAAGTATATTTATAAAAGAGTATCTATTAAAGTATATCTATAAAAGAGTATCTATTATAGCGTATTTATAAAAGAGTATTTATTAAGGCGTATTTATAAAAGAATATCTATAAAAGTATATCTATAAAAGAATATCTATTAAAGTATATCTATAAAAGAGTATCTATAAAAGAGTATCTATAAAAGTATATCTATAAAAAAGTATCTATTAAGGTATATCTATAAAAGAGTATTTATTAAGGCGTATTTATAAAAATATATTTATAAAAGAGTATTTATTAAAGTATATCTATAAAAGAGTATCTATTATAGCGTATCTATAAAAGAGTATTTATTAAGGTATATTTATAAAAGAATATTTATAAAAGTATATCTATAAAAGAGTATCTATTAAAGTATTTCTATAAAAAAATATCTATAAAAGTATATCTATAAAAAAGTATTTATTAAGGCGTATTTATAAAAGAGTATTTATTAAGGCGTAACTATAAAAGTATATTTATAAAAGAGTATTTATTAAAGTATATCTATAAAAGAGTATTTATTATAGCGTATCTATAAAAGAGTATTTATTAAGGCGTATTTATAAAAAAGTATTTATTAAAGCGTATCTATAAAAGCGTATCTATAAAAGAGTATCTATTATAGAGTATTTATTAAAGCGTATCTCTTAATAAGCGTCTCTTGAATTAGCGTCTCTCGAATAAGTATCTCTTAAATGATCACCGGCGAGAGTGGCATCGGCAAAAGTGGCATCGGCAAAAGTGGCATGGGGGCGAATATAAGAACACCATCATCTCACATTGTGCTGGCAGCGTTTCTGTTGCGACCCAGCATGCGACCAATCGCGCCTCTCACGTGTACCCCGCTTTTTCCTCCAATCATCAACGCTTCCATGCGGAACCTTAGGCCCACACGCCAATCTGGCAACCTCGTCTCCCTTGCAACTACACCATACTCAATCGTAATTCGAAATGGCAACGGCCAAATTGATTGCAGTATTTAGAAGGTTTCCCAAAGAACTCTTTCGAGTGAATAATGGGAGAAAAGTCCAGTTGCGTACCTGGACGCCAAGGCGACGCGTGTATGATATCTCTCTGACAAATGGGCTTGTCCAGCCAAAAGCTACGAAGCCCACGAGTTATGAAGGTGAGAACTCTAAGAAAGACTTGTGCGGCAAGATTCCTCACGGCTAATCTCATATTAGCTCCCAATGGCGCGTCGATGAGGCCTAACTCACCCTACCAGCAATCGTTGGTCTCGTGGCGGTTTCGGGGCGACGATGTTATTGTCTATGGAGTGCCTGAAGGAACTGCGCTTCCGGACGATCTTCTGCTGGTACATGAACGATCAGATCATTACTCCCTCCAGCCCGCGGTGTCAATGACTATCACAGGCAAGTGCGCCCATTTCGAAGTCTAGATCAGTAGACTAACGCATCCGTGTCAGAGCTCAACGGAAAGATCACTCGTTTCCTCACCGCAAATTCAAGAGTCTTCACGAGAGAGCAATGGATAGAGACGTATCCGGAAGCAACCGAAAGCTCTTAGGCACGAGACAAGCGCTAAGCACATCGATAATGTTGTTCCCTGTCAGGAGAGAGCAACGGTGACGACCAGCGACCGAGCTAGAGATGCTGAACAATAAAACGACGCGTTCGCAATGCAACAACCGCTACTTGCGCGATGTTGGTAACTGGGATTATGAAAAGTCCATGGCCGTAGTAAACAAACAAAGAGCGCGGCCATCAGGCACGCATGGCTCGATCCTACAGGAGAAGGCGTTATAAGTCGGCAGATAGTACGCCCCAATCAAGTTACGTGACATGACCAAATTGACCCGGCTCAACTGGCATGGCTGCGGGTGAGTAGCGGCTACAATTGAGCAGGAATTCAGGTCAGTTCATTCCAGTCCCGGGCAGGGCTAGAGAAACACTGCAATGTTCGCAAAGGAAATGTAGTCTGGGAGAATCGAGACAATGCCACGAGCGGCGGCCTACAACATGCGGAGGGCAATACTTGCTAGCCTCGGGAAGAGGACGTCGTTGGTCGTTGGGGTGCTAGAACCTTCGTTTGTACCTGCTAAACCAGATACGCGTTTCGCCTCTGTCGCATTTTTAGCCAACCAGCCGCTATCCTGCCATCTCCACCGGCTAGGGTAGGCTCTAGAAGTATGCAGTCGATCGCGAGGATAGCTACCTTTGCCATTGGCAACCTGAGCTGCCGAAGGTCTTTCAGTGCCTGACATAGTTGAGTAGGAAGAGCAAACAATGTGCGAAATATAGGAGGTCAGTCACCTTCCATTTGAACGCTACGACTATTTAAGTGTTCGCACCATGCGTAGTTGACCACAACGCATGGGCGACTACACGAATAGTCAGGCAATCGTTCGGGGACACTCACAGTCCGGGGACACTCACAGTCCGGGGACACTCACAGTCCGGGGACACTCACAGTCCGGGGACACTCACAGTCCGGGGACACTCACAGTCCGGGGACACTCACAGTCCGGGGACACCTACTAGAAGTCCCGTTCGCAACGCGTCACCTCCACCTTTAGATTTCCCCGAACATCGAGTGGATAGTCCGTTCGCTATCTCGTTATGTCGCCAACGTAGAGACGGGGTATAGTCAGGATTTCACGGTTGCCTATATCCCCGGACGGTGAGTTATCCCCGGGACGTGGAGTGTCTCCGGTACCTATGCAATTTATAGCCTATAAAGTATCTTAAAAGAAAAATTCTGAGCTATTGGTGGTGTCTATTTGGGTGTAGACTAGTCTAGTTATAGTGTGGAGAATTAATATTTGTGACTGGCGTTGGACAGGAAACGCCGTCCCTTTCGTTTTTGCTATCGAGCGTCGCCGCCAACCTTGTGACTGTAAATCGTTGTTGGGCAGAAAGTAGGGTTCCCAAGCCCCAATTTCATCGTGTGGCTGTTGTATAGTATTTAGGGAGATTCGGCGGTCGATTTTCGGCGCGTCGACGCGTCGCTGAAAGGGGATGATGGCGTTATTGAGCACCTCCTACATATTGCATGGCCTTGCCATTCGAAACAGCTTTTGAAGCTCTCCGAAGTTATCCCATTGCGCTGTTAGGGTGATGATAGGATCCAGGGGTGAGAAGCGTGGTCCGGTCGCCTTCTCCCACCCACTCACGGGCTACTAACAGCACCAAGTAGGGAGAATGTTTACGGGGAGAGTTTTTTCTCCCTGGGACACTCACGGTTCTCTGCTGTTTCAATCTGTCTAGTGATTGGTCTGAGCGCCGGGGCAAGTATATAGTTATGGTGTGGGAGGATGAGTGGTTCGCCCTTCCTTGGCTGCGTATTTGTTGTGCGCGTGGCCGTCAATATTTAAAAAATAGAACGGCGATCAAATTAGTAGCACGAGGTCCACCGGGATTTGCTAGCAGGAATAAGCTTAGTTAGTCATATTATAGAGTATTAAGATAGGCGCTAATATAGCAATATACCTAATTGTTTTTTCTACGATATGCTTAGATCCCTTCGCGCCTTCTAAAGTATCTCTCTTATACGGGCGTATAAACCTAGGTCCTCTATTTCCTACCTTCCCCTATCTAAAAACACCACCTTACGTAACCTATTAACATAAGGGACCAATGGCTAATAGTATAACGTAAAGTATCTCTTAATAACCTTAAGGAAATCTCCTTCGTTATCGATTTCACCCTTTTTTAAAAACGCCAGCTCCTCCGTGTCGATAAAGTTCCACTTATCAAACCTTAGCATAACTCTACTCTCGCCCGGCCCGTTATAATAGATACATATCTAGAACAGGACCTAGAAGAATAACTCGAGATTATATATAAAAGAATGCTACTCGCCTAGAAGCGCTCCGATTACTATAAACGCCCTTATACCTATCTATCCCCTTGCTCCTAAGGCGCTATTTCGTTTCTCTTTAACGGCGAGATTAAGATTAATTAAGAAATAAGACTAAGAAAGGTTGGTTTTATCCTCGTTAATTATAAGATTATTAATCGAGATATCCCTATGCAAGAATCCTACCTTATACAAGGACTCGTATCCTTTAAATACAGCCGTTAAAGGCGGTAAGCAGAGTAGATTACGAGCTCGCCTTATAGATAGCTTTTCTATAGTCGCGTAGAATAATACGTCTATAGACTCGATTAGGGATAGTATCGCTATTTACCTTAATTAGAGATGCCGAATAGGATCGTTTGCCGGGCGGCAGGGGTAAGCTAGCTTGGCTCGATAACCGCTTCCCGCCAACGGGACAGGTCGGGTATGTTCGTGAACAATCTGCCGCGCTTATGCTCAGAGAACAGACCGATCACTCCGGCCGATAGTTCCGCGCCTTAGCAACGTCATGTTCCTTCTATAAGCAAGATGCGCTTCGACTAGATTACTCCTCGTTCCTTATCATAGACGGTGTAGCCGATGTTAATTAGCGGTTGTGCCCGCCAGCAAGTGCGCCAGGCATAGACAAAGACACAACGAACCTGACCACCACCCAACTTCTAAACATGTGTTCACAAGCTACTAACTATTGGATAGTAGTAAAAGACTTTATAGTTTCGAATAACTAGTCTTCGACAATCACGCTCAACATTCCCTAGGGTAGGCTAGTTCCACAGTTAACTCCTTGTATTTTAGCTACCCTAAGGATTATATTTCACTATCGTGAGTAAGCTATGACGCGGAAACCTATTATATATATATAAACCCCCTAGTATCGTGAAGTGCCTCGTTACTATTAATATAGCCGTCGTGACGACACGGGTATTAATATACCGTAGCACTTAAAGGCATATAATATACTTATTAATAAAGTAGTTTTAGAAGAACTTAGAAAATATTTAACGAAGGCGAGATTCTAAATAGTTTCTAGCTCGAACGTTTGCGTAGACTAGTAGCTTAGCCTTAAGTGCTATCCTATAACCGCTATAATAGGAATACTAGGTGATAGAGTAAGCCCCTTACTTTATATTCGAATAACTATTAATAAAGCTTCGTAGAATATCGGCGCGATACGGTTATAAGGTAGTATTAAGAGGCTATTAAAGATAGCAAAAGCGACCGATTTAATACTTATTTAAAGCTCGGGAGTCTAGAATTTAAAACTCTATAATATAGTAAGTATAGAGGAAGCCTTATTAGTACTAGGGAATTCTATCTACGTTACTAAGGATATTATACTTATAGTCCTAGAGGGTATAATAATCGATTTCGTTTTTATCTCGGAGTCGTTATAAGTCGACCGCGGCGGTTGCTTCTTAGTATTGGCCTAGTTCGCTAGGGGGATGTCGCCTTCTTAGCCTAGTTCGTGTGGATGCAGTATGTCCGTTATCCTATTACTAACTTTAATCTCGATTAGCTAGAGCACTGCCGGGTTAATATTAGGTTCTATAGTTCTAGATATAAATAGCGTATCTAGATTAGAAGCAAGGAAGTTACTAGGTAATAATTATAAGGTGCTAGTAATGCCATAGCCTGTCCTAGTATTTAATGAATTTGCCCGTATAACTATATCGATAGTGGAAAGGGGCTTATTAAGGTGCCTATACTTATACGAGTATAGAGCGTCGACGAACCTATTATACGTAACGGAGGCATAATGTCTTTTTTAAATACTAGTTAGCGTTTCTAGATTCTCGATATCACTTAGGGTATCTATCTTACTTAATAGTCTCTTCTCCGGGTAGCGTTAGTCTCTATAAGTATTATATTATAAAGATCGAGTCGTAAGGGTAGGCAGGGTCGCGGCTAAATAAGGCTTATATAAGGCTCTCTTTATCTAAGTAATATATTCGTCGTATACCTTAATAACTTCTAAGGGCAGTAGTTCTAGTGCGTTAAGCGCCGACTTTAATATATATTAAGCTACTTTTACTCTTATTAAGATAATATTATACTTATATCTAAGTTAGGTTAGCAAACTAATTAACACTAGGGTAGCTAAGATAGGATCTATGTCCTAGCTATCTCGATATAGATATAGCTAGCTATTCTCGAAAATATCCCTAGGGCTGCTACGTAGTTAAATAACTTTAGGGACCTTAGCTACTATCGAGAGCTATAGACCCGGAAGCGTAATAAAAAGATCGATAAAAGTTAGGAAATCTAGATCGGAGAATTACTACCCTTTATAGCGGTATTATAACGCGTCCTTTAACGCGAAAATAGCCCTTTTCGAGCGATCGGTTAAGCGAGACCGTAAAGCCCGTTATACGTTAATCTAAAGATTAATACGGTTTATAGTTATATAAGAAAGGGAAATATATAGGTAGTTAGAAGTAGGAGTAAAGAGATATCTAAAAAGCTAAGGGAATATAAGTTAAAGTACCGAGCTATTAATTTAAGTAGCTATATATAAGGTACTTAAGAGCGACCCTAGTATAACCCGTATTCGGTCTCGGGAGGTATATATACCGGAGTATACTAAAGATAGTAAGCTAGCTATTAATTCGTCGGGGGAATATACCGTTAGTTAATTCTCTTACCCGACTATTATAGTATAGGAGGTATAGATATCTTCTAATAAGAACGAGGTCGCTAGCTATAAGACTAGAATTTATACTTTAGTCCGTATTAATAACTTTAATTATCTATATTATATATTAAGAAGCGCTTATCGACTATAATCCTACCTTCCGTTAGCCTATTCTTAATATAAGTTAGTTACTATATCGATTTCGCGTACGGAGGTCGCTAATACCTATAGATAAACGACAGAACCGTTAATATACCTAGAATATAGATAAGTTTACTATCGCTAGTACTCGGCCTATG